TTATTATAAAGGACGTGAAGGACGTTTCATAAGACTTAGTGCTATTTGCCAGCTGGCTCCTAAGATAAATGTTTGGTGGAAAGTGCAGTACGTTTACTTAACTCTAATCCGCCGAATGGGGATTTATCCGTGGGATAACGTCATCCATCCTTTCAAGAACTGAGCCGTTGTCGCCAACAGTTTATTTCCAGTCACATTAACTCAATGCTGGTTGAATCCAACTTTGGACCCTGGCTAATTTGGGAATTAAAAGTTAGACTTGGGTTTAGTGTTTAATAGCATGTCGTGGGTGATGTCGCACTCTTTCTCGGTCGCCCCCTAGCCTGTCGCCCCCGAGTGAAGTTCCGTCGTCCCGAAATGTGGTTGCGTCCTCTCCAAATTGAAATTGCGTCGCCCCTGACTTTGAAGGCGGATTTGGATTGCTTCTCGGTGAAACAAAAGAAAAATAAAAGAAACACAGACCGAAAAAAGTAAACTGATTATCTAATAAAATTGTTGATAAAATTAAGAGAGGGAATTTTTAAAAGGAGCTGCGATAAGAACATATGAGGTTGGAATAAGTTTCACATGATCATTAATCTTCTTTTAGCTCCAGGGTCTTCTAAGGTTATTGTCGCCATCATTGTCGGTGTGGTTGTTTTCGTCATCTGCATTTGTGTCGTGGTGTGTGTTGCAAAATACAAGCAGACGAGACCGAATCAATCAAGGGCCGCTCGGATTCCAATGGCGACACAGACTACTACCTCAGTGTCTCAAACCACACAAGCTGGCGTGATTCGCCATCCACCCCCGCCTCAGCAACCGGCAATCCAACCTCCTTTTCAACCGGTATCAAATCCTTACCCACCCCCTTCTGTGGGTTTTGTTCCTACGGCGCCCAACGCATATCCGCCACCTCCAGGGTACCCGTATCCGTTGCAGCCCCCACCACCCTACCCTGGCGAGGAACCAGTTCCTCAGTATCCACCTCCAGGACAGTCTTATCCATGGCAACAGAGTTCAGAAGTCGAACCGTCCGCACCCCCAAAGGAAGCATAGGTTTTGTTTAACTCTATAAATGGAATGGAAAATTGTTTGTACGGAGAGGATTAATGCAAAAGTATTAAAATAAGCGCTTTTAGTAGAATGAGAGCTTAAAAGTCGTTGAAGTAGTTACATGTACTAGATGATTATATGAATGGTGAAGTAATTGTATTTGTGCCAGCGTCAGTAGACCGAACTGTCTTAGTAGGAGAGCCACGCTTTAAAACAAACAAAAATGTACCATTTCAAAAAACCTAGAAATTAGTTTCTTAGTAGAATTTCGACCTTTTAAGACGTATTTTAACGTGATTTGGTACCTTAGCAAACGATATTTAAAACACCAATTAGGACATTTCTGTAAGCTCCACTAGTGGTGAAATTCGCACCAAGCGAGACATATTTGCCATAGGGCACTTTCATATCACATACGTTTGCCAACACTGCCAACAGCAGTGTCTTTGTGATGCTTTTAAGCTTGTTGAAGTGGAGAGATCATCCACCTGGGTTCAGTTGTTGAAAAGGCGGATTACCCTTTCCATGTTGACATAAAGTACTGCGTTATCCACCGAATGGCGATTTATCCAGAGGATAGCGTTGTTCACCCTTAAAACAACGAGAGCTTTGTCTTTTGTGCAAAAAATATGTACCCAACATGTAATGATGCCTTCTGGTTTAATAGGCCATTCTACAGTTGTGTAATTGGTTTCCAAGCCTTTAATTTGGAGTGAGGCTGAAGGTGATCTTGTTGTGATAGAGACCAGTATCTAGTTACCATGATAACAGGGTAATTTACATTTGAAAAGCAGCAACGTTTGTATCCTAACAAGGTCAGCCTTAGCCTCGCTCCTTTTCAAAGGCGCGGTAATCAAATACGTAACTGTAAAATGGACTATGTAAGGTTTGTTCACAGTAGCGTTATTCCGGTGAACAATTTTTTCCCATTTTTTCATTATTAATTTTTATTTTCATTTAACTGTTGTAAAAAGATTTTGAATCTACGGTACTCACTTTTTTCTCCTGTTTACCAGAGAAATTTGACTTCAGTAGGCGTTTTATAGTTTTTTTTCCCTCTATAGGGAAATAGATGAGGCGCTTAATGCACCCAATGTAGATGGAAATTGAGTACGTTGATACTTGTGTTTATTTTTATAGAGATTTTGATTCTTTATTTATTCACGATTGATATAATTGATTGAACATCGTTGTAAACGTGCAAGCGTCGTTACTCAAGCTAATGTATATCGGTTGTGTCTGAAATTGGTCTGATCAATTTACGACATGATATCATTATTTCAAAACTTTTATCGAAAGCTCGATCGCACCTTCTCTTGTGTAATCCTCCAGAAAACATTAAAATTTACGGTTGAAATGTAGCAGTAATGAACCTCGTACCCTAAAGAGAATATTTTTCTTGATCAAAGCTCTCCATGGAGACCGATGCCACGATTCCAACTTCGGTGTTACCTGCTCCATAGATGGCTGAGGAAAAAACTGTACGTCAAATAAAAATCTGGCAGCACCACTTCATCGAAAGCTCGATCGCACCTTCTATTGTATAATCCTCCAGAGAACATTAAAATTTACGGTTTAAATGTAGCAGTAATGAACCTCGTACCCTAATGAGAATATTTTTCTTGAGCAAAGCTCGCCATGGGGACCGATGCCACGATTCCAATTTCGGTGTGACCTGTTCCATAGCTGGCTGAGGACGAAACTGTGCGTCGAATAGAAATCTGGCAACACCATTTTCGGAGACTCGCTATTGGAAGCTCGCTATTGCTCCTATTCGGGAAAGCGAATCCGGTGTCACCTTGGACTTGATGGTTTTAATGAAACAAGGATCAAAACAACTCAACCTGGAAAATGAATAATGAAGATGTGAGATATCCAGGCTACTAAATTGACTTTAGGCCAGGACTTGAGGCCTGCCCCTGGAAAGTAAAGCGCATTACGGATACTTCTTGACTTTTCCTTCTATAAGAGAGGTCTTGGGATCGAATCAAGTGTTTTCAAGGTTACTCTTAATAACGAGATGATAAACTGTTTACAACCCGTTTACAATTTCTCGTCTTAATGTATCTCCATAACCTCATTTACACCAAGCAAACATGTTAGATTAGACCTCGTTTTGCTGAATGAAAATCAGAAACAAAGAACTGAAAATTGAATTTTTCCTTGTATTTCCGATGCGCTAAATTTGAAGTCGACAAACATCGGTTTAAAGCAGCTTCTATGAAGAAAACGAATTGAAACCTTGTGTAAAAAAACACCCTCATAGCATGTTTAATCTTTGGTGTCAATGGAATATATCTTTGACACACTGAATATATATTGCACAATAATTAGCATTTGAGAGGCTGATTATCACAGCATTCCGCTCGTTTCTTTTTGTTTTCCTGATTTTAAAGTACATAAAATGAGGGTTTTGATAATTGTTGGTACAGTTCTTAGATTTTGTGTTTTTCAGCGATCGAGTTTTTAATTTCGAAATCGAAAAAGGTTATGAAAAAGGCCTTTAAATTCTGAATGTTGGACTGCTATCTCGCCCTCGAATGTCATATTTGTTCGAGCGTCTCAAATACGCAATAAGTGTGCAAAACTTTTCAAGGTACGTTTGCTGTCAGCCCATTTTACATCCATTGATAGATTTTGCTGGTTGTAATTAAAAAAGCCACGTGATTTCTCAGTAGGCAGTGAAAAGTTTGATCATTTCACCGTTAGCAGTTAAGCCCCATACAGGATCCCCAAGAAGAAAGAATATTAACAAGCCCTATGCGTTAGTCAGTGATTTTGACCAAATAGTGAACAGGAAACTGGAGAGGTGCTAAGGAGTGACTTTTGGGTTATGACAACAACTTGGAAAATGATTCAAAACCATTTTCCAAGTTAGAAACCGTCCTGGACGATAGTGCGCCTATGAGCATTATTGGCTACAACATTTCCAGTATACACCATTACGAATAGATGAGACACAATCTCTTCATAAAAATAATAGCACATTTTATTACTTTACGAAGAAGGACAAACACAAACTATGGACTAGGAGATGCATAATTAGGTGATTTAGAGGCCTTAGTTTTAGAAACTAGAAGGGTAGCAAGAGATTATAAACAGTTCATATACTCTTGGTAGTAGTCATGACACTGAAAGGCTCCATAAGTTTTAACACGGGGCCGAGAAGATGGGTTTAATTAGAACGTTGGACAGGACATACATATGTAGAGACAGCCGGTTGAGTTTATTGCAAAACGTACAAAAAATGGATAAAACGAGCCAAAAAACCTTTTATAAAGCAGGATATGCTTTCAATGGCAAGAGAAGCTGAAATGATGAAAAATATGCGTGAACACCTCACTGCAGTAACGTCATGGAGAAAAAACATAAAAAGAAAAAAGATCAAGAATTTATTAGCGTACAAAACAACCTATTTTTTTCCACGGACTTTAGTGGTTCTGTCACAAAATGTTTCCGTCATTTTTCTTTGTTTACAAATTCAATAGAAGAAAGATATCACTTACAGTAAGCCAATTCAAATATTTTAAGTCTAATTTATTTTTATTAAGAATTTACTATTTTATTTATTATTTATTATTTTATCTATTATTTATTTATTTATTTATTATAAATTTACTAAGAATTCTACTTCTCTTTGCAGTTTCAACGGGAATTCGTCATTCAACTGAGGTGTTAAATTTACAGCGCCAATGGAACGTTTGTCCTTTGTGAAATATCTTCCCTTACGGCGAATTGCCCTCGTTTTTAGCTTGTTGGTGTTATATACTATTACTTCAACTCTCTTCATAAACCACCCACCATTTCGTTTTATTGCAAAAACGAACGAAGCAAATAAAATCGCCGATTTCTGTCGTGAGTGGGTACGTCAGCATCGTGCGTGCTCGGACTGGCAGGCCATAATCAAACCGTGTTACGACAATATGGCCTGGGGAAAAGTGAAGGATGGCTGGGAAATAGCTAACAGAACCGACGCCTCAACAAGTGAGATAACATTTCAGGACATCAGGCCTGCTGGAGAGTACAGTAAGATTTTCATCCAATCAAAAACGACCGACAATAGAGCGAAAGTAATTGGTGGAGACACCTGGAGGGTCAACCTACGTGGCCCATCAAGCATTGCAGCGACTGTTTTTGATCACAATAATGGAATTTATGAAGCTCTGTTTCTTATTATGGAGCCTGGTATCTATCAACTGTTGATTCACCTCGACTATAGTCTGTGCGATGGATTCAGGGACCCTCCACGTGATTGGTTCATTAAGGGGAACGTTCATGGGAAATTTCAACCGAGAAATCTTTTAGGCCCCATGGTTGATTACTTGGCACAGCCCTTTCAGAGCGGAACACATCTCGAGATAACCGTAGAAACAACAGATACGATCGTGTCATTAGCCGGTAAGCAACTTGACAGAAATAAAGGCGAACGCTTTGAAAATGAGTCGCTTCGAGCGCGTTGAGAATGAGTCTATTTTAAAACCAAACCAGAGTAATCTCAACAAGATGAACGCTAGTGAGAGCTTAATGTAAAAACACGAAAACAGCTTGAGGTGCAAGAAAACGCGATTGAACAATTCACGATTGCTTTGAGCTTTAGTTAATTTATTGGTTTAAGAAAGTGATGCGAGTTTTCTGGATCATTTACGTCGCAAAGTAAAGCAAAAGCAATACAATCTCGGATTACTCTCGCCACTTATTTTAAAGCTATCGTATACAGCACGCGGATGGTCTCAGCTATAGCTACGATTGGAAGAAATGTGTCAGAGAACTTGAAGCAAGAGTAGCTAATGCTGCGACATCAAGGGTAGTGCTGCTGGAGTGAAGGTAGATCAAGGCATTTACAACCGAAAGAGGGGCTTGAAAATTAAGGAAAATTAAAGATTGACAATTTCAATAGAAAATATACTACAGGTTTAAAATATGAGTAAGACAATAATAATAATACCGCAAATAATGATAACATTATGGATAATCATGACAATAATATGATAATAATAATGATAATAATAATAATAATAGTTAGCTTTTCACAAGGCAAATTATTTAAAAAGTAATATGAAAACAAAACGTTGTTGACGCTAGGTCATTATCACGGTAAAATGGGGGAATGTATTTTTGCCTTGTAAATAGCTCACTTGGAAACTTAAACGAACTCTATGGAAAAAATGATAGTAATGATTATAATAATAATAATCATCATCATATTCATATTTAAGAATTGTATCCTGTGCCCCTGGAATTCTCTCTAAATCCATTCTTGGTAGTACGCCTACTTTCTTAATTAAACTGTTCACTCCCGTGATCGAAATATTAATTCTCCTTTCTGATTACCATATATTTCTTATCAGTAGGACGTGAGAAGTAGGTGCTAAATTAAAAACCATTTCCTGCCTTATGTATTACTTTCTTTTCAGTACGTTTCTGGTGCAAAATAAATTGATGCAATAGGTTGCTATAAAATCATAATTTGTTACTCCTGAGAGACTTGAGAGTACCAGACTTGAGAGGGTTTCTCTTTCGACCAGCTCATGAACAACTGAAATTTCAATTAATTTTCTCTTGATTCTCTCTTCCCTACAGACAAACTTCATTCCCTTGAGTCGTGTTCTTCCACGTGCAATAACTTGTGGGATGGATTTGGTCGGTGGAAGAATGACAAATGGCGGCCATACCTCGAAGGTTAGAACTCACCTACCATAAGCTAATTGAAATAGGATGAAAAAGGGGAGGGAAATTAATTAGAAATTAATTAGAAATTAATAATAGCATTAATGTTGATTACGATGGTAATAATGATAATGATAATATCGATTAATAGCAATAACGATAACGAGTATTTAGCATTGGACATTCTACGAGGTGGCTCATCTTGTCCACTCTTTTCAGTTAGAATTAGAATTTGAAATGTTGGTTTTCCAGCATTTAATCTACTTTACCAGCATTGGGTTGTGATAGGGTTTCGAAGCAAGAATTAAATGAAGAATGTACTGTAAAAAGTGAAAATTACTTATATAACCCTCTTTTGGTAGGCATAGCACTAGTCTAGATTTGGATAGCTTTCCAGAAACAACATTACTAATTAAAGTTGTACCTGTAGTTTTAACCCCAACCCGAACTTGTTGTCAGTTGACTGTTGTTTGGTCATGGGAGGGGTAAGTGTGTGATTGCTTCGATACTGACGTTGAGTCCACTTTTCCTTTGAACAGAATCATACGACTGGTCCTTACCAGAAAACTACAGCTCTTCTGGTACTTTCTGGGTGTACGGTGATTCATTAGGACTTATGCTGTTTAATTCAATCCGCTCTCGTGACCTGTGCACAAAGCTCTACTCCAACTGCAAAAACAGTTATAACTGGCTCTATCCAACCAGGAATGATAAACCAGTCAACAATACACGGGATAACCTCGACTTTCGTCCGGAGATAGTCTTAAATGCTATACGCAGCGTTCTTAATACGACAGACTTACAGCAACCATCCAGTGTACTGCTTTTAAACCTTGGACTTCATTATACCCGAAGCGTCAATTTCACAACTTTTCAGAGGGTCATTGGAGACGTAATAGACTTGTTGAAAGAGAAAACAATTGACTCACAAGGCAAAGAAGTTCTAAAGTTAAAAGCGAGGGTCATTTGGAAATCAACTACAGCCTTATGTAAGCATAAGCAAAGGAACCACAACCCAACAGATAAGAGATTCCTCACACCGCAGGTTTGTACCCTATGATAACAGATGACGTCGCCCCCTTAAATACGTTTGAAACCTTATTTAGACTCAAAAGTTGGGAGCGAGGCAACTATATTTCGGAGCGACGAAACTCCACTTGGGGCGACCGTGTAATAGGGTGACATCACCTACGTATCGATGCACATTGCAGGGTAACATCTGTGATTATAATCTTGGTACTTATCCTCGAATCACCTACATGATTACTAACGGTTTGAGCAGCTGATAGATAAAGACTGGTCCTTAATTAGAGGTCATGACAAAACATTTATGGTTTAAGGTCTAAGGCAAGGAGTAATTGCAATGAATGAGCTGCCAGTAATCGGATCCTTGTGTTTGCGCAAAGATTTCTAGGATCGCCACTGGGCAAACATTGCTACTCGTTATACAGAAATGTATGGGGCAAGATTATTTCCATGTCCAAAAAGACAATTTTAGAGGGAGATCAATGCTTTTTCGCCGCAGTTTTATCATAAATGGATAAAGATCATGTTGATTCGAGGAACGTGTAAGTTTGTGTTTATATTTTCACGAAATATACCAATGAATTTCTCTCCTTGTGTAAGGTTTATTGTGAAATCGTCATCGCGTAATGGTCTCGACCTTTTTCAAAATTAGCCATAAATCTCTATGAAATAACTCATTTAAGTCTTTTCTGTGTATATATCAGTTGTACATCGCTCCTTAAGCGACCCATTTGTACCTACTCACTGTCGCAGAAGAAATGGTTCAGTTTTGAGTCGATTATCAACGCTGGTTCGTTCTCATTGATCACAACAGAGAAGTAGTGTAGGTGTTCCATCGCTTAAATGTATCTGACGATGATACTTAATGCTCAAGCTCACCATCTGTCGACACTTCAATCTCCTACTGTCTCGAGGTAGCTGTTGTAGCGCTCTTTTGTCAGTATTAGCAAGCCAAGAAAAAATGAGCTAGAAATAGACTTAGCACACGTCATAAAAGCTGAGAAAGCTTATTGATTTATTTCTTGGCGATTTATAGCAAATATTTCCAAATTTCGATACTATAAAGCGACGTCAGTTTCACAATAAACCTTGCTTTTGCTCATGGAGGAATGTTAATTGGTAGATTTTGCTACATAAATAAAGGTTGTTCAATCAAAAACTTACGCTTCCCTTGTATCGATTACCCAAATCCATTTCTGATGGGAGAGCGGCGAAAAAGCGATAATCTCCCCCCAAACTAGTTTTTTGGACGTCAAACAACCTTTCGTCATGCATTTCTTTACAGCCACGAGGCGATCCCAAAAACCTTTGCGCAAACAAAAGGATTTAATTATTGGCAACTCATCCATTGATCGTGTTGTCTGATTGTCTGGGTGAAAGTAGACCTGCAAGGGTCTGAGACGATGGTGGAGACTGACGTTAGCTGACACGTTTCGACAGTCTTAACGAATGTCTTTACCAAAGTGAAACCACTCATCTTTCAGAAATTATTAAATGCGGCATGATAAACACTGCAAAGAGCCCCAGTAGGTAGAATTGATTCCTAGAATTTTACTGTTCGTCTGCTAAAATAATAAATGTAATATTTGGAATCCTGGCGTCACTATTTTCCTCAGTTTCTTTACTCGCTCCTTCCGAAAATGTTAGCTCCTTTCAAACGTATATATATAGAAAAGCATTTAGTCATTTTCTTTTATTTAATTAATGAGTGAGTCCTGTGAGTTATGTATGAAATGTAATGTATTGTAGAACTGCTTTTTAAAACTTTGGAATTGTACTTTTCTCGTCTTTCTTCATTTGTTATTTCAATAGGACATTGTAAGGCGCTGTTAAATATGTGTCAAGAACCTACTCAGTATAAATTTCTTACATCAACATTATTATCATCATTGTGGCAGTGTAAAACTTCTGGATGCCTAGATTCCAAGCACGATAGTTGGGCGGTGCTGGCTGTAGCCAACTCCGTGACGAAGCCATAAACTTGTATTGTTAATAAAAAATATGCTAAAACTTTAATTGTTGAAAATATATAGATGTAGATCTAATAAGATTCTTGTTTATCATCGTGAAATAGGAACAAGTTCCATGTGTGACTGAGGCACTCAAAATTATCCTGATATTGTCATCATTATTAGTATAATTATCATTATTTTATTATCATTATTATTATTATCGTTATCATTATTCTTCTTATTATTATCATTATTAGTATCATTATTATTATTGTTATCATTATTATTATCATTATTGTTATTAAATGGTTAAGAATATATGAAAGTCATATATTTGAACTGCGGATAAAGACGTGAATGAAAGTGATCCTCGCAGTAATGTGCACTACTTAGGCAGTAGTGAAAATAAGGCCTGAAAAAAAAAACAAAAATAAAATAAAATTTGAACTTGTACGATTTGAACCCAGACCTCTGAATAAAGTGCATCCTACCAACTGAGCCAACAAGCCAACTGTAATGATGAACTGGTTAAGAATATATGAAAGTCATATTTGAACTGCGGATAAAGCGTGAATGAAAGTGATCCTCGCAGTAAAAAGGTGTTTTTTCAGTGAAAATCATTCACGTCTTTATCCGCAGTTCAAATATATGACTTTCATATATTCTTAACCATTTATTCATCACTTCACGGGTTTATTTAGAACCAGCTCCCAGTTGGCTTGTTAGCTCAGTTGGTAGAGCGCTGCACTGGTATCGCAGAGGTCATGGGTTCAAATCCCGTACAGGCCTGAATTTTTTTCAGGCCTTATTTTCGCTACTGCCTAAGTAGTGCACATTACTGCGAGGATCACCTTCATTCACATTATTGTTATTATTATCATCGTTATGATTATGATTATTTTTAATTTTTGTTATTATTATAACTGTTAAATTTCTTCTCATCTAATTTGAAAAAATGTGTATCAGACCCAAAAAGGAGATCGATAGTTTAATAGATTATTATACGGAGGGCGATGATTTTAGCAGCGTCTCCATCAAATTTTCAGCTTAGTGAATCCAAACTTTTTGCTCAGTATGTGTGTGTGCGACGCCCTCGTGCAAGAAACACGAATATGTGACCCGTGTTCCGTAATCAACTTGATTATATATAGCGCTATCTAGTTGCTGGATGTCCTGTGGTGTTTTACATTTATTTTAGATTTTAGCTCCATAATGTTTGTTTATCCAATGGTGAATGGCATTTGGGGAATGTTCATTCATGAAACCTCCTCAAATTTCGCGATGTTTCGTGAGTATTAAATATCCAATGGTAAATAAAACTACGTGTTAGTGAAAAGTATAGTTTTTGTCTCAATGGAGAAATACTTGAAGCCCTTAAAGTACTCACTATTGGTGAGAAAAAAGCACAATGATACTGATGTTTGGTTTTGCGCAGATTTCGCTATATTTATATATGGTTAGCGTAACCGATTGAACGTCGTTGTACGTGAGTCAATGCATGAGTATGGCTCTTATAAATTTGCAAATTCCGTAATTGATCTGGTACAAAGTTACGGCATAATTTCGTTTATTTTCGGAAACTTTATCGATAGCTCGATCGCATCAGTCTTCATCCATATTTAATCCTTCGAATCACTTTTAAAAGCTGAAGAATAACATGTAAATGTAGCGTGCATTCAACTGAATGTTTTGGTTGAAACGACGCAGCTTTTTTTTTATTTTTTTTTTAGACAAACCTAATATTTATGTCGTAAACAGCAGGAAAATTTCACCGTATGAATCTAAATAGACACTCCCAGGCTGGATCTTTTGTATTATAGTCAATTGAACATAACAGCACCGATTGTGAAATTTCGAATTTATTCACGATGTTTGTGACAAGGAAGTGGTGGTAGGGGAGATTTTTAGAGAAAGTAGAGTAAAAGTTCTACCAGGCCCCCTGCCCCTCATTTTTTCCCAGTGAATATATCTTCTTTTCATATTGAACATCGTAGTGACAGAGTAATCGCAATCAATTGAAAAACCTTGAAATTATGGACTGAGGGTTGGGTGAAGCAAACAATTTGATGAACTGATCGAAAATACAATAAGTTGATTAAAAACGGGAAAAGTTAAGTAGGATCTATAAACTTTTGATCAGCTCTAATATGTAACAAATATGCTTCAGTTTAAGCAGTCTCCATTAAGATTTTGAGGTCTATTTATATCAGTCTCATAAGACTCTAAAACGCATTTTCAAAAAAAAAAAATGAAATCTTAGGCGATTTTAGATTGATAGTTAATGCTGCAGGAGTTTGTCTGATTTAGTTCCGACTACTTTTTTATCCAATGATTCATCGGACGTATCTAAATAGTTTATTTATTTATTTTTTTTTTTTTCAGTTGCAGTTTTGCATAAAAAACAATTAATGTTAATAATTGGAGTACCTTTATTTATCCGTTAGAGAGTTTACCCTACTTAGTTTTAATTTGACTAAGTGTTGCACAAGTCTAAAGTATTTGGTTATGTCCGAATTCCCTGCCTGCAGTTCGACCAATCAATTTTTTTTTTATTAGCCGTACCTTTTCCATAATTTTCTTTTACAGTTTTTATATTTGCTTCCCAGATACCAGGAACTGCATATGGGCTTGGTGGTAAGTTTAGGGACAGTTCTATGGTTGTAACAGTTGTCAAGCTGCGCAATCCCCATAATAAAATCGGCAGAAAACACCTTCAATGCTATCCATTGTTTTAGTACATGCTGATGAATATTATGGGTTTTCCGCCGTAATCGCATAGTCGGCACATCATTTCAGCGGATTGAATTGTGAGAATGCTTACAATGGTTTCACGGCCACTTACAAGGCAGAGGAAAAAACAAATAAGTAGCTTAATCTTGTCTTTTAGTCAATAATATCCCTTAGAAAGCTGAGGCTCTAACCTCGGAAGGCGCTTAGTTATAACAAGGTCAGAAAGAAATTTTTCTTTTGCTACAATACATACGCCAAGTGAAGATCAAACAGTTTTTTTTTTCATTTGCTTGCTGGAACAATTAAGTTGTCAAAAATGTCTGGATCGTAAAATTCAATCCTAGTTATCGCAGGAAGTTGCTTTTCAACATATCCATCTGTTTCTTGTTAATATGTATAGATATATCCAGAATGGGTAGTTTTTTTCACAACTTAAGGGATTTCCTTATCTGTCACAGGGCTGTTATCTCAATTGCTTTGTTGGGAATTTTAATCCTCCTCCAGATTCGTCATTTATTACAGCTGTCACTGTCAGCTTGGTCGTCTTAGTTGCCTGTTTTAATGTTCTGATATATATTCTTGTAAAACGCAGACAGGAGAGACCAAATCATACAGCAGCTGCTGGTATTCCTAGGTCCAAATTTACTAGTTCAGTTTCCCGTTCCCCACAACCAGGTGTGAGACACCTTACCAACTCTACCTCAACAGCCGGAAGTTGAACCTCCTTTCCGATTAGCATCATATTCTAACCAACACCCTCCAGTTGGTTAAGCTGCCGCACCCTTTGATAACTATCCACCACCCCCAGAGTACCCATATCCACCGGAATCACCACCACTCTACCCTGGAGAGGAAGCAGTTCCACAGTATCCACCTCCAGGACAGTCGTATCCATGGCAACAGGATGAGTCGTCTGCACCATCATGAGTTCATTTAATTTTTTTTTTTAGAAACAGTTGGAGAACTCTTCGCATAGAAATCGAAGATTAAGGCTGAAGAATTTGAGTAAATACCTTGGGTAAAACGAGCGCTTGAGAGGATTCCTCGGAAAAAAAATTATGAAAAAATTTTCTTCTGAATTTCTTTAAATGTTACCCACCAAACTTTTCTTCGAAAAATGCATTAAAAATAAAAAACACAGTAAAACGTAAGTCACCATGCCCATTCAACTGGCCTTTGGCTCCCATGAGTGACCGATGTCAAGCAGATAAATGACGAGAATAAAAAAAAAACATACAATTGGGAGATTATTAGCTATTATTATTAGTCCAATACCACATTCTCAAAACTAATATCACAAGAGTTGTATGGAAGACAGTGAGGAGAATTACTAATGAGATCTTGGGCCAAACTTATCCCAGTTATGCCTGTACTCGTGCTGATCACTTGCCTCATTTCATCGGTTCACGGTACATTCAGCGGTAGCTGTAGGCAAGGGTTTTTTTTTAAAAAAACAGTTGTTAAAAAAACTTGATAGGTAGAAAGTCTCGAGCGTATGGAACAACTTGATACATAATTTGAGGAAACATCACGCAATTTCGATGTAATTGCCTTCTCTATAATTTATGGGCGACCGCTGGCACAATAATAACATGCAACAAAATCCTGCAAATGAATGAATTGACACAGTGAAGTCTCCATTCGTCGAATCTCCTATGGCAATCGGCAAAGCAATGAGTATTCTAGGTAAGTCGAGTATACATTTGGTCAAGCCTTTTGGTATATTTCCTACGATGGACAGTGAGTGCGTTCGGCAGCTGTTGTTTCGTGCGGCGTGCCAAATTAAATATGCTTTCCAAGGCTCCATAATCATATGGCTTCTCCTTCATTCAACATTAACCGATTTGAATGTAAAAATTGTGAAAAAAAAACTTTGAATGAAAGGACCCAAGAGTGCGTACCTTTGTTGAGGTGAGCCGTACAGTAACATGGCTTACCAGTAGAAAGGGAAAAAGTAAGTCGACATTGACATTATTAAATGTAGTAAAAAACGAAGAAACCGTCGTGAACAAAAACATTATCTAACGTGAAAAACGACGTGTATGAACGGGAATCAAGACGATCCTTAAATCCCATTGCTAATAAAAAATCGAGCATCGCAGCGACGTAAAAATTTGGCGAATTATAAGCAACATGCCCTGGATGAAATGCTGTCAACAGATTTGCCACATCTATAATTTATTCCAAAGTGATCGAGACATGTCTTGAGAAATATGCAAATAAGTTTCTTGCACGCAACCGCTTGGTTCAGTTTTGTCTGAATTAGAAATTCTGTCTAAAAAATAAAACAAATCTGAATTGGTTTACAAATCAAGCAAATAAACGTGGTATTCAAACGTGTGACATTTTGTTATCCGAGGTCCTTCAAAATTCCGTACATTGGGGTCACTAAATTTTGTCTTTCTCTTCTCGTCTGTCATTTCAAGTGACCCCTAAAATTTCCATCGTTATCTTACTGCGTCAGTATTTCCTTAACTTGAGAATCTTATTTACCTGTAAGATAAAATAAGGTAGTAATTGCAGTTGTTCATTTTTCTGCTACGACTTTCTGTTTTCAACTCATTGACATGGTAGTTGTTTAATTACACAAAGAAAGTAGTTTCGTGATTGAACATTTTCGATGAAATGATCGATAAGACACCGTTAAGACATCAATCACGAGTTTTCGATTCCCTCAAATAGGCCATATGCCTATGAATCCTCAAGAAAAAGAGAGTAACTGAAATGTAATCGTTTGTCTCGCGATGAAGTTACTTCTGACTATGCATCGCAACGTTTCGATTGCTTACGGCGAGTCTCACTTAGGCGATATGGTCGACTGCAGGTAAACGTTACCTTACAAACAATTCTGCTCAGCTGTGATTGGCTGGAATTCCAAAGCTTCTATATCGACTGAGTAAGACTCGCGTCTTGCAGCGCTAGTCATGACGACCAGCGGACAGACTACCTAATATATTATCTATTATTATTTTATCATATTATTATTTTTTTACTCTTGCACTACTATTGTGCATGACCTGAAATTTGACCCTCACGATATTTTTGGGGTTTCTGTTTTTTTTGCAGTTTATGTTTCATTGACGTTTTCTTTGTTCTCATTGAGTTTATTTGCACAGAATAACAGTAAGTTGGAACATTTATTTCTGATAATCAGTACCAATTTTATAAACAGGAAAAGAGCTAAACAATTAATCCAAGACAAATCCTTCCGGAAATAATCATCTCACCTTCTTATAGCTGCTTAAGTATAGAAATCCTTGAACAAGTATAGCCAGGTAAGTGTCACATAAACAAACCTTGCCTTTTTGAAGCAAAGAGTGCAATGCAGTTGTCTTCAGTCGAACACAGCATGTAGCTCATTAAAAAGTTGAAAGATTATTTTCTTCAATAAATGGTAGAGAGACTCGGAGGAAAAGAACTTCAATAGGAGTTAGACCAGTGAGTTCCAATCAGTACTTCGAACGCTCAACCAGTGAGCTTTTGGAGATTCATAGCAAACTAAGCCGTTTAACCATGTTCATGGTGACAAACTTCCTGCAAACTGCAAGGATAGGAATATTGATGTGTAATACTACTGCGCAATGGTGATATTAAAAAGTTATAATCAACCTTTTTTCCAGGTTGTTCCATTATTCCGCAAAGAGTCAATGCTTCCAGATGGCACAATACAACTATCACGAGTCCCAATTACCCTATGAATTACACTAATAACTTGGAATGTAATTGGTTAATTGAAGTTGTCAGTGATCTTCCATCCGTTGGTTTTATTTTGAAGGTGACATTCAATAGCCTTCATTTAGTACAGGGCGGATATCTTGTTTGTGAAGACAAACTTGAGTTCTATGATGGTAACACCACTAGCCTGTCTAATCTTCTTGGATCATATTGTGGAGAAGTACCTCCCGAGGTTGTTTATTCTACTGGACAGCTCTTGTACGTCAAGTTCCAGTCAGATGGACGTTATTCCGACAGGGGATTCAGTTTCAATGTTTCGGCTGTTTTGGAAGGTATGTCAATAATTACTCGTTTTGTTTATTGTAGTGCACCTAGACTTCCCTTTATGTCCATACATACGGGAAAAAAGGAGTGAAAACTGAAAAAAGGAAGGAAAAGAGAAAAACGAAAGGAAGAGAAAAAAGAAAAGAGGAAAAAGAAAAGGAGAAAGGAAAAAAAAGAAAAGTAATTAAAAGCACATTAAAGAAGAGTAAAGGAAAGTAAAGTTAATTATAGAAAAGTAAAGGGAAGGAAGGGAAAGGAAAGGGAAGAATGGGAAGGAAAAGAAAAGAAATGCAACAAACTTATATATAAGCTGCCGCCGCCAGGTTAGTTCAGGTTGTAGAGCACCACAATGCCTTGCGGGAGGTTGAGGTTTACGTGCTGCCTTTGCTATGAAATCTGCGATCGGCTAGACGTTCCAGTCCTATCGAATAACGAAAATAAACCGTAGGCGTCGTCCCCTGCATCTTCTCTGTACTGGTTGGCTAAGGACGTTAAAGAACCCACGCACTTCACGCAAAGTGTTATAAAGCGCATTAAAGCTTGTTCGCATGGAAAATGTGCTCTAAAAATGCGTCATTATCATTTGTAATTAACTTATACGATAGATTTTAAACTGGAGTGCGAGGTTCATCGACGGTTCAGTACTACATTTTATCCCTGGAATGGTAATTAATGTCTGTGTCGTCTCTATTCCATTTAGAGGAAGCCGCTGGTATTTGTCGTAGGACAGACAGACGAGATAAAGTCCTTGAGCTTGGTGGGTCATCTGGTACATTTTTACCCCGGATTACCCTGTTCTTTACCCAATGGGTGTCCAGTGCACTTGGGTGATCTCCGTTCCTGCTGGACGGAGAGTGAAGTTGGCATTTGAAGACTTTAACCTAGGATTAAAAGTTGATGTTATTTGCGAAAATAGGGATTCAACAGATTATGTGCGCATACGAGATGGGCGAATGGAAGATAGCAAAGAGCTTGCTCTGTTTTGTGGATGGCACCAGCCGATTTTGGGAAATATATACGATGTTTATTCCACAGGAAATTATATGCGGGTCACGTTTGCCGCCTTAAGACTCAGTCAGTTAAGTCGACTTGCCTCGAAAGGCTTCAAGGCCCATTACCAATCTGTAGACGCCTGTAAGTAATTTGTCGCTTATGTCAAGATGAGAAGATCAATGTCAGTATCTGAGCAACTGCACACTTACCCCTCCCCTAACCCAACATTTACCCGTACTTGTAATCGTTTAACTTTTCGGTGGGTTATGGGAGGGTAGGTACGCATTTATTCGGATACTGACATTGATCCAAATGAGCGTGATTTCCGACTAAAAGGCAGCTCTATTACAGCAGTATATTCGTTATAAGAAATAGATAAACAATAGTAAATCTATATTTACGTGTGAAACCAACCCTTCCTTTTTGTAAGTTTCACGGCCCATAACAGTAACGATAACGGTAACGATAACAGTAACGATACCGGTCACGATAGTGCAGATAATAAACGCAGAAAATGAAGAAGGTAACGGTTTCAGTTGCCACAGTTACTGAAAAAACCTTAAAACGATGATAAATTAACTCATTGTTTATCCCTTTTTCATAGCTCCTGATGCTTACTCTAAAGAACTATGTTATCGTGGAAACGTTAACAATAACAACCTTAAATTAACTGGTTCAAATGGAACTCTTAGAAGTCCAGAGAAGAATTCAGCTTACCCCCCAGATATGAGCTGCGATTGGCTAATCACTGTGCGAGATGGAAAAGTTGTGAAACTCAGCTTTGACATGTTTGAATTGCAACCCAGCTTTGGCCAGCCATGCACTAAAGATTATGTAGAAATCCTTGATGGAAAGGACAGGAGCAGCGCGAGCAAAGGAAGATTCTGTGGTAAAGAAAAACCAGAGGACATTCAGTCAAGCGAACGGTACATGAGGGTCATATTCAGATCAGACGCTTCAGCTGCGTATTATAAAGGTTTTAAGGCCACGTTTAGAGAAACTTCCAGAGGTACGTTTAACTGACTTTCGGGGCTGGATATTTTTATTCAGCAGTGCCGAGGCGGGGAATTGGAGGATTTCGGTTGCGTTGCCTTATAATTTACCGGTCCATTTCTTCCCCCCCCCCACCCCCTTTATGGTCTGTAGCATTCTTATAAATACCTCTCTCATTGGCAGTCAATTTTCCTAAGCCTTCCCTTTATACTATCTTCGCGACGACCAATCCCCCTTCCATTATCCCTGAAAACTATTTTAACTATGTGATCCCCCAAAATCCGTCGACGCCCCCCTTCCCTAGGTATTAAATAATGACAGGTTCCTTAGGTGAAATTCTTACTGGGCTGTAAATTAGATTAAAAGTAGACGACGTCTCTTTTGGAATGAGCTCAGCTAAATGCCCGTTCTCTTTGATTTCTGTCTTTAGGTTCATCGACGTCCAAGGCTATCGCCTGCACAGTTGGTGCAATTGTTCTTGCTGCTGTGATGATTGTCTGAGTGCTGTGTATCTGGAAGAGTAACAAAAACGAAAAGACAATGCGAGAGTTCAAAGTCAAAAGTTACTGCTTAAGTCACCCCTCCCTTACAGTCAGGATTGCTCGGTTAACACCCCCCTTCATTACAGAGACCATCCGTAGATTTTGCTCCAGCTCCGTCAAATGATTATCGGCTTGCCTCAGTGTACCAAAATCTGATACAAAACCACCACCTAACCTTGGAGAAAGGAAGCTCCACCATAACCTCTCACAGGAAAACTGTAACTGTTCCGGGCAAAAAAAAAAATTTTGCAGCGTCAATCACACACTTTATTACAGTCCATAAGTTGTGTAATAGTGTATGATGATGTACCCTATTTCCACGTGAATTTGAATGTTTTAAAATTTAAAAAACAGTTAAAACTGTATAGATACTGTATAAATATTTAGTCAGAACGTCAGCATCTTTCCATGATATTTAACCCTTAACACCCTAATATTAATATGTATAATCTCCATACTGTCCTCTTTACATTTCCTAAGGTGCTGACAAGGAGAATTCGTTTAACAATCGAGAGTCTTTAGTCGGTGATCACTTCCTTGATTCTCATGACCTTAATGTGTGATTCAGGGGTGATATTGTGAGGAGAAATTAGATGCTGGTCACTCTTAGGGGTCAAAGGGTTAACAAATAGATGCTATTTGACGTGCTTCTGTTCATTCACAGCTTACAGATGACGTCAAAATGCGGTAAGAACAAAACCGCTGGTTCAAAAGCCTGCATTCCTCGGCATGACAACAGGATTGTACAACATCATCCGATATTGTGTCTTTCGAAATTCATAACTTGTAAGATAAAATAAATATAGACGATAGCATTAACACATATTGTTATAACTGAAAAGGTTAATCAAAATAAGCTACACGAATACTTACCAGAAATTAAAGCAATGCCACCATTAGCTGAAGGCCTTAATTGAGAGTTGTAACTCGAAAAGGAGTAAACGTAATGAATAATATGTTTCTCTTAGCTTGCGTAACGGCGGTATTTTCGAAGTTTGATGAAAATTTTAACCAAGATTCACAGACTTGCTCCCTGTCCTCTCCCAGGCCCCTCTTTACGTCGTCTGTCTGTTTTCGCGGTTCTGTAGCTCCCAACTCCCAGACAGCAGTTAAGAGCGCCAGCTTCCTTGAAAGGAATACCAAATAAATAAATAAATTGCTGAATTCTCAACATAATTTTTTGTTCATCTACCACTTAGGATCCCTCGTCGTCGTCCCTATTGTTGTTATTCAGTTGCACAGGAGGGAAAAATGTGGAAGGTTAAATTTCGTGGTATTATATTGTACTGAGATTATTCCGACATAGAGGGTTATTTGGCCTTTTGTTTGACTAGCCCTTTACTATATCCTACTTCTTAGATGCAAAAAAATTGCTGTATCAAGAAATTCTATACTTATCAAAGTTCCTTTGAGCTTGAATACCAAATAAAGGATTGCATTTTGCAATTCATTTATAGCGAAAACCTTTCAATATTTTGAGTAACTTTCAGGCATTATTTTATTTCCGACCATTCTTCCTTGCATCAGAAATTACAAGGGTCCCCAGCGCCTATCAGAGGTAAAGTATTTATGACGAGAGAGATCAGGGCGATGAAGGCTTATTGGAGCAGAGAATGTAGCCAATCCTCGGTCAAGCTCTAATGAAAATCGAATACGAAAAATAATGAATCGGTAAGAGCACCTGCGAAGTTAAAGGAACAGAATGTTAAATGTGATGTTTTTGACTGAAGCACTCACCATCTTCGATAACATTTAGATTTAGCCAAGCTTATAATTATGCATTGCGGGCCAATTCTTTCGTTCCCAGTTCCTTTAGAATCCTTACATGCATCGGTGTAAACAGGGCAGGTGAAGTGTTGATTCTCTCGAAATAATCAAATTTATGGATATGGGAGCCGTCTCGGCCAGCCACATTTTAGGTAAGTTTTCTATCTTGTCTCTTAGCATGTTATAAAGTACTCCATTCGTCTGTTATGTGTTCAGTGCATGTATTAATACTTCGTGACTCCGGGTGTGTTCTTCAGCCCCACGCTGAATTCGGTTGACAACTGATAGCTTGTGTTAGCATGGGTACAACAGTCTTCCGTGCAGTGGTTGAAAACTAGCTTACCATTGGGAAACCGAAGTGAAATTTATTTTAAAATATTACTGTGAAATCCAACACAGGGTGTTTGGCAGACTGCAAATTGGCTGTCAATTATGAATTTTCGTTACCTGCCGATCAGTTACGAGCATAAACAATTATATTAAAAAAAAAAAAAACGTATCAATTTTGTAACAGGTTTCGTAAAGGTGAAATCTGGCGTTGGATTGAAACACTGAAAGATATTTGATAGTTGGCCATTCGATACAGTCATGTGCAACATGCAGAAGCTCCTTATTAAATTGTTTCAAACGATCAGAGCAGACCATTTAAAGCCTGAGGCTATAATTCTAGCAGGGAAGCAGGGGCGGAGAAGCCAAGCCTTAAATTATTTTCCTGAGAAATAATCTTTTCTCGTAAAAAAGAGATTCTACAACCAGTATTCCATAGCTTATTCACTGACTGTTATTTAAAATTATTTGCATTTTGTTTTCTATCAATGACTCTTTGATAAATTTATTTATTGATTTTCATCTAATACAGTCCTCAGGTGAATTAATTGCTTTTAATTACCATCATCTAACCCTTTACACCCTTCTAATTCTCTGCACTTTTCCTGAGCTTTAAACATACATTTTTAATATATTATTTTTTTCAAATTCAGATGTCAAGGAATCTGGTCAAGGTTCTTGTTGACAACCTCATTCAAGGCCAACTCATTGTGATCCCAGGAAAAAAATATACATTTCCTATAGCAATTACAAGAAGAACTCTGGAAAAAATAATAAGAACTTTAATTTCAAGTGTACCATGATTTCCTCAATTCTTACGAGCCTATAATTGATTTTTGATTCTGGAGTGAATACCTAATAACTGGTGAGAAATTAAGGGGCGTAAATTTCTAAAGAAACTGTAGTGCTGTTTCGGTGGGAGAGAATAATAGGATAATTAAGTATTATCAATTGACTTGATTTGGTAAATTGGCCACCGTAAGAGTTTAGAAGCCAAAAGTTTTTAAACTCAGCTTTTAAACTCTTTACAGTGACCAATTTATGTTATCAATTGACTCAATTGATAATAATAACTACCCTGGTGAAAGGTGCTCATGGTCACCCTCAAGGGTTAAAGGGTTAAGTCAAGGTACTGGCTTCTAACATCCTCTTCTACATTTAAACCCTTTAACTCCCATGAGTGACCAAGACTGAATTTCTCCTTACAATATCAATACAATATCAAGCAGACAAGTGATAAGAATAAAGAAAAATATAAATTAAGGGAATATAAGTTGATCCAATACCAAATTTTCTAAACAAACATCACAAGAACTGTATAGCAGACAGTAAGGAGAATCACTAATGAGATCTTGAGAGTGAAAGGGTTAAAAGTACTGTGAACATAATTATTAGAACTAAAAGGAGTTTCAGAGCTGCTATCATGATGGTTACATAGCAATTATGATATTTTTTTCAGAATCATGGATTGGAACATATTAAAACCTCTCTCTTAACAAATGATTTCAAAAGAAATATTGTCCTACACAAATAAATTAAAATAGGCTTTTAGCATTCCAGCCTATGTAACAAAACTTTAGGATCACAGTACTGATAAAATCTTGCTTGGAGCTTTTTAGTTTAGTTCTTAGAGCATTTCATTTGCTTGGAACATTTTAATGTTATTCTGCTATAGCTTGCAAATATAAGTCTCTCATAGTCAGCACTTTGGCACTATGTTGCCTGTGGAATGTGTCTATATACAGCCATGAGCAATGAGAGCCAGCACAGAGTTCACAATGGGTTGAGATAAATTGCCTGAACCCTGGCAAACCTCTCTCCAAATCATGTCCAATCTTCCTGCAGAAGGAGAAACCCAAGTCACTCAGCAGTAATAATGGTGGCTTGCTCTCTTAGGCTATAATTCTGCTCAAATATTTTAGTGTTTGTTCACTAACTGATAGCAGTGTGTTGGATAAATTTACCAATGTTGATTTACTTTAATCACTGGTTAACAGTCAACACTTTTGATAGAAATACAAGTGGGTTTGGATGCCTGCATGGATTTTTTTTGCAGTGAAACTGCAGTTAATGCCACATTATACATCAGGCAATAAACATATGAATAATTATATATATTTTTTTAATCAATTAACCAGTTTTTAAATAATTTCTGTTCTACAGCTTTGGTGTTGATTTTCTTATGCATGCATGGTGTATTTACTCAGGATTCTGGTAAGTTTATCTTCTGTATGTGGAACATTTTTAATAAAATTAACCGTTTTTCCATCCAATCATCCCCTGATCTCCTCTCTAATTGTAATGAGGTGAAACTGTTCCCTCCAATATCCCTTTAACTCTCAGAAGTGATTAACATGTAACTTCTCCTCATGATATCCAATTATTCAGCAAACATCTGATAATGAGAATATTTAAACTTATAAAGTAGAGGTTGTTATCTTGATTTAGCACCAACTTCTCATAACTAATCCTCAAGGAAATGTTAGTCAGATCTTGGAAGTTAAACAGTTAAGTTAGGTTTAGTTTGTAATTCAACCTTAACCCTTTACACCAAACATCAGTAAGTATATTCTCCACACTGTTCTCCATAAATTTCCAAAGAAGCTGATAAGGAGAATTTGTTTAACAATCAAGAGCTGCTTTAGTTGGTGATCATCTCCTCTCTTCTCATAACTTTCATGTTTGATTCAGGGGTGATATGGTAAGGAGAAATTAGATGCTAGTCACTCTTAGGGGCTAAAGGATTGAAATTTAAAATCTGCTTATTACAAAATTCACAATTTTTAATGGTTTCAACTTCTGTAATAGAAGTTTTTGCCAAAATCTTTCTTTATTCAGTTTATATTCTAATTTTAAACATGCTATTACCCTTTCTTCTCCAAATATCTGATCAGCAACTTTCCCTGGTAGCTAGTGCATGATGTTGTTATGCACTTTTTTGTAAGTTCATAGAATTTGATGTTTAATACCAGACATACACATTTTGGCTGAAAAGGTTGTCTCCTTTTATCTCTCTCTTTGTTGGATAATGAACCATTATCATACCCATTGTATATTTTTGCTGATATAGAATTGATTCAAAGGCCTCAGTAATGACTCATTATGCCCCAGCTAAAATTGGTAAATATCCAGGTGTATCCCCTCTATATATCCATCAATTTTTATACTGCAATGAGATATTTTGGAGCATATTTTTGTACCAGGTGAAGGTTACTTTTCATGCCGCTATTTGTCAGGAAGCAGTTTTATTTTTATAAATCATTTCAGTGAATTAAAGGGTACTTAGGTTGAATTATTAGTCTACTGGCCAGTTGTAATAGTATGAGTATTTAGTACGTTAAATACTCACACAGTGGGTAGCTTTGAAGGCACACTTTGATTGGCTAATCAAACTCAAAATAACCTTTGCTGTTCACTTTGGTACAACATGTGGGATTTGGGCCTGAAAATATTGTAATTCAGTTGTTACTGAAAGAAATGAGTAAAAATCATCTTTTTTTGTTATACTAACTTACTATTTTAGTATATAATAATACAACTTTTCACCTCAGTGTTGGTGGCAAACGGCCACCACTTAATATTACCCTAGGCTTGCATAGTATATTTTTTGAAACTGATTTACATGATCAATTTTGTTTTGTTTTGTTTGGTTTTTTTGTTTTTTTAATCATGATAGCCTGTGATGGATGGTATGGTACTGGAGTTACAGTTTCAGAATCTGTGAGAACAATTATAACAAGTCCCAACTTTCCTCTTGACTATGACAATGATAAGAAATGCATCTGGCGAGTAAGTACTTCAGATGCTGGCCTTATTATAAAAGCAACCTTCAATGAATTTGATCTACAATATAACACAATATCAGGAGACTGCCCATTTGATAGTCTGACATTTTCAGATGGTGACTCATCTGGTGGTGATGTTATTGGAAAATACTGTGATACCATTTACCCTGAGGTTATTTATTCAACTGAAAATGGAATGTACATTGAGTTCCAGAGTGATAGCTTACATACATACAAGGGATTCGAGATCACTGTTTCGGCAGTAAAAGCAGGTACCCACAAAAGTAACTAAGTACATTTTAATGATTAATTAACAACTTAAGATCAGTATCCATATTCTCTTGATAGTCTTCTCCTTATATTTCTTTTGGTGCTGACAAGAAGAACTTGTTAAACAAACAAAGATTCTTAGTTTCACAATCATCAGATTTCCTTCATCTCTTTGATCATGATGAATGATTTAACAGTATTACTACATAGAAAAATAGCATGGGTTAAGGCTTTGACTTGGAGTTTATAGGAATACTGTAACTGCATGGCGAATAGAAACAAGCACTTTGTGTTTCTTGTCTGATGTCTATTGCTGTCTGTGATGTATTTATCTGTCATCTCTTGCTGTGAAAGGACCCCAAATGAGGCCTTTGTGATAATAACCCTAGGGGGGTAGTATGGGTAAATGATGGGTGCTGCAGTCTGTATGATAAACAAATGTTTGACAGCAATAGTAACATAGCACTCAGGTTTGCCCGACAGTTTTGGTTTGAAAATGGTAGGGAGGGTCAGGCTCCCATCAGGCTCCATCAGTATGCATATTCTCCATACTCTTCTCTACAGGTTTCCTAAGTTGCTGACAAGGAGAACTTGTTTAACAATCAAGAGCTTCTTAGTTGGTAATCTTTCCTTTATTCTCGTGACCTAATAATGTGTGACTCCAGGGTGATCTTGTAGGAAGAAATAAGATGTGAGTCACTCTTAAGGTTTAAAGGATCAATAGCTGTCATTCATAACTTGAAAAATGTTTCATGAGTGCTGCAATCACACGTTCATTTTTGATATTTATAAATTCATTTTCTTGCCTTCTTATTTTACTAAACCCATTTTATTATTTATTTATTTATTTATTTATTTTTCTCTTTAACCAGAGGAGGGGTTAGGATTGTGCAACCCATCCAAAGGTCAGATCAAGAAGCCCTATGGTTCATCTGGTACATTATATACACCACAATTTCCGATCCCATACCCAGATGACACCACCTGTATTTGGACAATCACTGCTCCATTTGGGAAAAGAGTTAAATTGATGTTTGAGAAATTCAGTCTCCCCCAAGCCCCTTATTTCCTTGAAGAGCCGCATGCTGATGGTGAATATTGTGGTTATGATGAATCCATGGGTGCAGATCTTGTGGAGATACGGGATGGTCCATGGCCTGACAGCAGACTACTATGGCATTTATTGTGGCTACAAGATGCCTTTTGATGTCTTTTCCACTGGGCGCTACTTGTGGGTTAAGTTTCGTTCCATTTCTGATGGCAAGACGAGTCGTGGTATCAAAGCTCCTTTTGAAGCTGTAGACCCCAGTAAGTTAGCTTTTGTCTTTTATGGCAGTTTTCAATTTACTTACCGAAGTGATCTGAGTCAACTGTCAATCATAACAAATGTTTGCGTCATCGTGCCAATGAGGACTAAACGAAAAAACAAGCAAACTACTAAAAGCGCGGTAACACGCGATTGGTTTTCGTTTGCAGGCTGTTTGGTTAGTAAGAAGATGGCTCGAGTTTTCTGGAGCAATTCATGACCTAAGTAGAGCAAACCCAAAGCAATATCGGATTTCTTTCGACACTCACTCAATCGAAAATTGTTCTATGATCATGATACCTAGCTCTGTTTGTTTTTTGTTTGTTTGTCAGAAAAATGAAATACATTTTTTAGGATCGTACAAATGAGGGACCTTTGGGAAATTTTCTTTTCTTAAAAATTGATACAGTTATGACATGCGCGTTTTTTTTAATGTTTGTTGAATTCATTTTTACTTTATCCAATTAACAAAAGCATCTTCTGGCTTTACTCTAGCATCATTGAAGTTTATCTGTGTATCTTAGAAAGCTTTGTTTTAAATCAGTTTATAGGATAGATCGCGCAAAAGATTTACAATAACTGTCCCATGTAGGAAATACTGAATTTTCATTTCATAGCGAAGCTCGCAGCGCGGGAAGCACACGCAGCGAAGCCCCATACTTACAAAAAGTGGTAATACAGCTGATTGGGATTTTTTCTTCCCGCTCTTAGTTGTCAGCGAGGAGCAGTGCTTACCTGGAAACACCCAAAATGTAAATCTGAAACTGACTGGATTAGAAGGAACGCTGCAAAGTCCTCTGAAGTACTATCCACTCAATATGAATTGTGATTGGCTAATCACTGTGCCAGATGATAGCTTTGTGAAACTCAGTTTTGAGAGATTCGACTTGGGCTTAGGTGGTTGCAATGGTGAGGATTTAAGGGATTATGTGGAGGTTCTGGATGGCAAAGATCTTGACAGCGAAAGCAAAGGAAAATTTTGTGATCGCACATTTCCACCCATTATTCGGTCGAGTGATCGACATATGAGAGTAGTTTTTAGATCCGACGGATATGGACCATTTTACACTGGATTTAAAGCTGCGTTCACAGCTGTCGAGAAAAAGAGTGAGTTTGGAATGGGAATTTTTTTATTGGATAGCATTGTAGTTTTCATTACTGCTGATCGATGTGGATCACATAGATTGGATTGCATTTTGTTTATTTTCATTACATATAATTCAAGGCCCAGATGTTTGCTGCGTGGATAATGCTATTTAATACTGGATGACACGCCATCTCCTAGATATATGATAACAAAACTTCTCGCGCTAACCTCCGGATGGAGATTTACTCAGTGGATAGCGTTATCCAAACTGCCAACAACTGTGGCCCGTTGTTCATTTTATTGTCGAAAATAATTTAGGATTTCTCTGGTTTGTCTCACTACGCTTTTGATTCGTCAAGAAACGTCACGTTATCCTCTCAGCCAATCAAGTTAAAATCCTGACCAGATCACGTACGTTATCCTGCGCTTGGGGCTTGAAGTTCTCAAAGTTATGACTCATATCTTAGGGTAATTTTGGTTTCCTTGAGCTTGTGAGGATAGCGTACCTTTCTATTTAAGATGAAATCAAAGGCACTAAGTCTTAAACTATGCTGCAAATTTGTAACAAAACCAAAATATCGAGAGCTCACTTTATTCAGTGGTTTTATTCAGCTGCACGTTGCTCCAAGCGATTTGAAAAAATAAATTTATATTTATAGTTGAGGGTATTTGCCACGCCGTAAGTGGTATAAATGTCTGCAAAAATTGTCAATTGTGGATAGTTGTTTCAGCATTAATTCGACTAACTTGAAAATTTCACTTCATCAGGTTAGTTTTACCTCTTGACTTACCCGGTTCCTTGCTTCAAGGAATATGTTTAGTAGTGGTGTATAATGTATCTCGATCACTATTTTGTGATAGAGTGTATGTCTCATCTAAAGTTTATAGCTCACAAGATAATCTGGTTCTATCAACTGAGTTGATATGTATACCGGCCACTATAGATGGTTTCTAAAGCTGCCGTTTCGAGCGTTAGCCCTTTCGCAGAGCGAATGACGAGCTCAAAGGCTAATTGATGTTTTCTTCTCTATTTGCAGATACCACTGTACAGTTGCATTTGACCATCGCGGTCGTCGTTCTCAGTGTGATTCTTCTCATGGTGGTTGCCTGCTTACTCGTGCAACGTTTAAAGCGAAACAAAAAGCCTCGCAATGAAGCCGCCAGAGGTACAGTTCATATGTCAACAGTCGCAAGGTCAGATTCTGCAACTGAACTCGCGGGAGTGACCGAGCACTCTCCTCCCTCTACCCCTCGCGTTCCTGTTGCCCCATCAGCAAACTCTCCCAGACCCCGACCAGTTGGTTATACTCCGGTGCCGACGGCCCCAAATCTTCCACCCTCAGAAGGCCCAAATTTGGTAGATCTACCGCCAGCGTACCCTACAGATGAACAGATTCCGCAGTATCCGCCCTCAGGGGAATCATATCCATGGCAACAGACTCAAGCGTCGGCAGACCGCGAGAGTACATTTCGAACGCTTCCCTTTGTTGTTAGAAACGAACAACGCTTTTAGGATCGTTACTCAAACATATTTCAATTCCGAGCATACGATCGATTTCTGTGTAGTCAAAGTCTTCATGGTATTGTTAGAAACCAAGAAAAAGTTTCTCAAGCGTACGAAACGTCCTTGAGTAAGAAACGATTACATACCAAACGAACAACCCTGCATTTTGTTGTTGGAAACGAACAACGTTTCCCTTTGTTTTTAGGAACGAACAACGCTTTAAGAATCTTCATGGTGTCGTCGGAAACAAAGAGCGCTTTAGTGGTAAAAATTTCTCAACGTTATTGCCTATTAGCAGTCTGAAATTCAGATCTTTTTAATATTTGTTTCTTCGGGCGACTTGACTCTTTTTTTCGGGCGACATGACTGAAGTTTCGGGCAACATGACTCAGGTTTCGGGCGACTTGACTGTCAACCTCTGCAGTTATCACATTCTTCAGTGACTCTCTTAACTATGATTTAGCATTACATTAGTGAAACTAACTATTTATCCAAGCTGTACCTTGTAAGAAAGAGAGGAAGGCTCTAAACCTCCCAAAATCCACTGAAAAAGCTGCAATGAACTCCAAAAACAGTTTTGTTCAATGGAATATAGGGGGGTAAGTTTCTAAAGAAATTTTGATGCTGCGCCGGTAAGGGTAGCACAAGATACTAGGATAATTTGGTGTTATAAGCTGAGTTGATAATGTAAACTGGCCATCGTAAAGAGTTTCAAAGTTGACGTTTCGAGCGTTAGCCCTTCGTCAGAGCAAGTGAACGTTATGTGTTATACTCTCCCACCGACCCAGCACCACGGGTTCTTTAGAAACTTACCCCCTTTATTCATTTGTGGTACAAGATGATTTGGTTTCGTCAACTCAGTTGGTAATGTGAATTAGTCATTGTAAAGAGTTTCTAAAGCTGACGTTTTAAGCGTTAGCCCTTCGTCATTCGCTTTAGAAAACTCTTTATGGTGGCTCATCTAAATTATCAACTCAGTTATGCTCTGATTCAATTGGTCAACGATCGGCTTGAACCTATGATTATTCACGGGTTTATTTGAGATCAACATAATGACCAGCTCTCAGTTAGCTTGTTAGTGCTGCACCGGTATCGCAGAGGTCATGGGTTCAAATTCTGTACAGGCCTTAATTTTTTTCAGGCCTTATTTTCACTACTGCTTAAGTAGTGTTTGTGACTGCGAAGATCGCTTCCATATTCGTTTCTTTAACCGCAATTCACATATATGATTTTCATATATTCACATTCAGTGCTAGAGTTTTTATTTTTTCGGGGCTGTAAGTTATCGACGTGGGGGTGGGGGAAGGGGGGATGGCTCATGAGAGACAGTGGCCTATTAGAGCCTTTATCACATACTCGAACAAGACAAAAAATACACCTTACAAAGACAATTTGGCAACGTTTTACACCGTCTGGGAACAGTAATGCACTGTTTGCACTGTTCAGTAGGTATGATAATTTGTAAAGTGGTTGATGGTTGTTATTAATTGTCTTTGGAGAATGGAGGATTTTGTTGTGTCACAATAAAAATTTACCTGATTCCCCCATAAGGCTTTTTCATATTCTTATACACTCTCCTCATTGGCTGTTAATTGACAGTCAATTTTCCATGGTCTCCCTTTTGAATTTTTTAGGTGATAACTGAGCCTCTCTTCATTCCTCCTGAAAACCATGTGATCCCCCCCCCCCCAAAAAAAAAAAAAAAAAACTTCCGACTACACCCCCTTCCTCCAACGATACAATAAAAATTACTGGTCCCCCAAAACACAGGGGTGCATAGGAATGAATCGTTATCATGGGTGGCTTTCTATTCGTCATTTGACGAGGCAAAATTACGTGTAATATAGTGACTGTAGATTATTAAAGTTAGCGATTCGTGATCGAAATAAGTGTTTTCAGGAGCCATTACGTGGTGTTTTTTGTGAATTTGTGAATTTTGTTTTTTTTTGTTTTAAGGCAGGTTCTCACGCAATTCTTACAACTTCAATATCTTATTTGATTGTCTAATGACGTATATTTTTTACTCTGATCGCCATAGACTGAACTATGACAACGTAAATATACATTTATCTGATTAGACGCAGACTGCGAGTCAAAATACAAACTGAGGTGCCGAAAATCTTGTTAAAGAATGAGCTGAGTTAAAACAATCCCTTCTCTCTCTTAGTTGTTTCTATATCATTCTTTGAACACACAAAAAAACAGTATTTCGGAGGGAGGAGTATCTCCACAGGGCACACTCGTTCAACCAAGCTATAAAAAACGAGAAAATCAGATAAGTTTACCTTTGAAACTCCATGGGTTCTTCAAATATTACGGAAATGGTTAGTGGTTCCTCAGCATGAAGGGATTAAGAAAAACCGGATATATATTTCTACTTATGCTTAACTTCCTTTTGAAAAAAAAAACTTACTTCTGAAAGTTTATGGACTTAGTATCTTATCTGTTTACACCCCAAAATCAGTATGCATATTCTCCGTACTGTTCGATAAACGTTTTCTTCGGTTCTGACAAGGACAATTTGTTTTAGCAATCAAAGATTCCCAAGTTGAGGGTCATTCCCCTTTATTCCCATGGCCTAAATGAATGATCCAGTAGTATTACTGTGAGTAGACATTAGATGCCGTCTAAGAGTTTTGATGCTGAAATGTTATTGTTTTGTATGTATTGCGTACCTTTATTTGAGTGTCTTGTGTCCAGTCCACTCGCATGTTCGAAAACAAACACACTGCTATCGTGAAAAGAATGCAATGAAATTCATTGCAGTAGAAATTACCAAAGCCTGGATGATGCTAGGTAAGTTTGTCTATTCCTTATGGTCGGCAGTGGTGTATACCACCACCTCTGGTCAGTAATGGAGTTAAACATCTTTCGTAACGACGAAGTGTCGATCAGCTGAACCAGCTTGCAAATCAGGTTATAACTCTGGCTGCAAGGTGCCTTGAAACTCTGACTTGATCATTTCACAATACATCCTCTCCATTTTCCCCTTTTTTTATACGGAAAATTAATATTAAAATTATTTCCAAGTAAATGATAGTGTCTTTTCATGTTTGATTGAAAAAAAAAAGAATTTGCCGCAGGTTCAGGAAGGTAGGTTACGGAAAATCGGAAGAAAATGATCCGTTCAGATTTATAACTTTCTCTTTCAATATCAGGCGGTGTGGAGACATCAAGGTGTTGATTGACCAGGTTCATAACCCTTTCACTCCCAGGATCTCATTAGAAATCCACGCTACTGTCTGCCATGCGACTCTTTTGGTGTTCCTTAGGAGAAGTTGGAATTGGATCGACTTATCATCCCCAAATTGAAAGTTTGGTCTATTCCCCTTACTTGTCCCCTTGATTTTGTATCAATCTTGTAAGGAGAAATTCTGTCTTGGTCACTCATGAGAGTTAAAGGGTTAACGTGGTTTTCATTCATGGAAATCAGTCCTAAACACCTTGATTAATCTGTACATTGATACTTTTAGCTAAGTGTCAGATTTGATTGGTGACATCTTTGTTTTGGGCCGAATCTTGTTTCACAACTTAACATGTGTGCATTTATGGCTTTTCTCAGGCCTAGATATCCTTATAAAACAATCCAGTTTGTATCGTGGAATGGAATAGTGACAGGATAATTTAGTCCAAAAATTTGTAACTTAAGACAACCTTGATTTGTGAATGTGACGAAAAATTTTCTTTTGTCAAGTGTATACAGGGGCTCAATTGACAGATTTTTGGAATTTTGGTAGTGATACATTCAAACGACTCTCCGAGACTCTCTCCTTTCACATGCAAATTTTTGCCAGGCTGTGGGAGATGATATTTTCAATGATCAGTTTTCAGTGATGCTGTGATTAAGAGGGCACTGAGAAAATACCACTTTAATTATAACAAGGAAGAGTAATTTTTCTTTTAAGATGTGAATCAATAATTTCATATTGAATGAGAAGCTGTCAAATGTCTTAGCTAATACAACTTATGAAAATTACATGTGCTTGTTTCCTGTATATCTCAAAGTGAATTTTGAAATTGATTATGGTCCTTCTATTTTTCATGGAGAATTTTTAATTTATGTACAGGTTTGGTGCTATTTTCCTTGATGGCTAGAAACACATTTGCTCAGGAAATTGGTAAGTTTTAACTTTGTGTATCCTGAAAGGAAGTAGAGAGAACTGAAGATGAAATAACCCTACCATAATGATGACATGATGCATAAATTTAACACAAAGGGCAGACTGTGGTTTTCCTAGGATTCGTCCTTGTTTCTGTAACATAACATTGCTACCTGTAATTAAGTCCAGCTTAACCATTGTAAGTTATCATATTATCATGACCATAGTCTGGTATAAAAAGATAAAGGCTGTACTGCTGGAGATTGTCGCAGTTTCCTTAGCGTGAAGGGATTAAGATGATCACTACTCTACCCTGGATGGGATGCCAGTCCATCACAAGTTATCCCCCCTAACAATTCACCAGGCTTCTCTGATATTTCACCGCTACCTATTTATACTCCTGGGAGGGGGACTGAGGCACTGTGAGAGTGATATGTTTGCTTAAGAACACAAGGCATTGTCCCACACAGTTCTCCAACCCAGACCTCTCGACCCAGAATGAGCATGCTAGACATTAGCCATTGCTGGCCTCGCAAGTTTTGTCTCTCCACAAGTTTGGTGGTAATCCCTTAAAACTTCTGAGGGGAAGGAAGTGCTTTGTTGGTAAATTGTAGGGACCAAGAGCCCAACATAACATCCTTATAAGGTGGCAAACAGAGCCTCTTGATAGGGAATGAAAATTAGATTTAGCACCCAAAAAATAGTACCACAAAATTTCCCACCTTAATTTTATGTAAACATCTTATATTACAGAGTAGAAAATGTAAACAAAGCTGTAATGTCTGTTATAACACAGTTTGAAAAATTGTGTAAATTATCCAAATTCAAAATAATTAGAAAGATGGTAAGTTTTAACCCCTTTAATTCCCATGAGTGACCAAGACAGAATTTCTCCTTACAATATCAGTACAATATTGACCAGACAAGTGATGAGAATAAAGAAAAATATTAATTAGGGGATAATTAGTTGATCCAATACCAAATTCTTCAAACTAACGTCACAAGAACTACATGGCAGACAGTAAGGAGAATTACTTATGAGATCTTGGGAGTTAAAGGGTTAAGCTCAGTCAATAAATAGAGAAAGGTGTTATTTGCCCCGCACCTGTAACAAGACATAAAAACATCATTCTTTTTCTTTATCCAAATTTATTTGCTTTCAAAATGAAGTTCTCCCACATGATCTTTACATTGACATCTATTTTCTCAGGCATGTTATAAGATGACGAGATGCAACATGTTTGTGTGGTATGCAATGGAAGGTTTGCATAACCCTTTAACCCTTTAATTCCAATGGGTGGCAGAATCAAGCAGACAAGTGAGGAGAATAGAAAAAAACTCATTTAGGGGACTACAAGTTGATCCAATACCAAATTCTCCAAATTGAAATCATGAGTATTTTACGGCAGACAGTAGGGAGAATTACTTATGTGATCTTGGGAGTTAAAGGGTTGAGCCTTACGAGTGATTAGCACCTTTTCTCTTTTCTTTACAATATCATCCCAGAATCACACATTTAGGTTGTGAGAATAAAAGAAATGATCATGAACTAAAGAAGCTCTTGATTGTTAAACAAATTTTCTTTGTCAGCACCTTGGGAAATGTATAGAGCGTAGTACGGAAAGTTTGCATACTGATATACTAAGGAAGTACAAGTGAAAAATTAATTGTTTTGGGTTTCACCTCAAGAGAGGGTTCATCCATAGTTTTACTTATTTTGTCTAGCTAAGCAGGTGCAAGGCATCTTTTTTAACTACCTACAATCAGCATTAAAATCAGTTGACACATCATGCGTAAAGAGTTCTATTTATGTGTAGAATAATTCTTCTGTTTCTACCACACCCTAAATCATTGATGAGACCCCTCCTGAATGCCTGTATGTAGCTAAAAGTTCAAGCGGGGGGGGGAAGGAGGGGGAAAGAGAGTGAATGGCTTAACCCTTTAACTCCCAAGATCTGATTGTTAATTCTCCCTTGTAGCTGCTACACATTTCCTTGTAAATTAGTTATGAGAACTTGGTGCTAGATCAAGATAGTAGCTTCTACCTGATAAGTTTAAATATTCTCATTACCTGTTTGCTGAAGAATGTATGGATATTGTAGGGAGAAGTTTTATGTTAATCACTTCTGGGAGTTAAAGGGTTAATTTATAAAGAGCAAACAAGATAAAATTGAAGTACTAATTGATTGGAAAGGTCAATGTGTCATCATTTTTGTCACCAATTGTAGATACCACAAATAGAGTAAATACTGCATTTCCTTTAAGAGGAGCCCAGTTGCCTATTTTAAATTTCGGCTTAAAGGAGAGTGCTAATTGGAAGGAGGGCACCTAATCTTGAATTGGAAAGAGGGCGCTTAATCTAGAAAGGAAGGGGACTTGAAACTAATATCCTTTACTGACTTATATAAAGTGGCAATAGAAACAGGTTTTCCTTGAACCCTTACTATTTAATAAAGTGAGGGAGGAGGAGGAGGGTTCATTCAAGAGGATTGTAATTGTTTGACATGATAGTCTTGGGGGAGGGCTCTTATGAGGCTGAAGGCCCATAATCAAGTGCTTATTCTAGCCTAGGAAATACAGTTTTGAAATTCTTTTCTTTAACATGTGTAAATTCTGTTTGCAGCCAACAGCTCTACAAAGGTTTGTTTTCCTAGTAACACCAATAATAACAACCTGAGATTGAATGGCCTAAGTGGAAGTTTTCGAAGTCCTGAGGGACAGCTCCTGAATTCAAGTTGTGACTGGCTTATAACTGTTCCAGAAGGCAAAATTATAAAACTAGTATTTACTGGATTTCTCCTTGAATCTGATCGTCATCCGTGGGGATGCCCAAGGGATTTTGTGGAGGTTTATGATGGGAATAGCAGTTCTAGTGTGAGGAGAGGCAGATTCTGTGGCTCTGTAACGCCAATGAATATTTACTCAACTGGCCGGTACATCGTGGTGCGACTCAGAACAGACAATGAAACGTCATGGCACCTTGGATTTACAGCCATGTTCACAGCTGAGGAAACTTACAGTATGCAAGAATATACTTTATTTCATACATACTCAGATTTTCATTGTGAAGCACTATCGTTCGCGTCTCTGATTGGACGAACAGTGTATTTTAACAGCAGTTCGCTTTCAATCTTTGAATTGAAATGTGAAAAAAATCTCGGTTTGTATGAAGTAAAAACTTCATAACATGGGAAGCGCTTGAACGATTTTTATTCGCTTATAATGCGATGCATCAAAAAACTCACTTTTTCGCAGCGCTCAATCGTTGGTTTTTTGTTTTTTTTTTTTTGTTTTTTTTTTGATGTATCGCAACTCGTGCATAAGAATCATTCGTGCCCAATTTCCATGAGATAATCTCTTTCCGCGAAGGCAAGTTCGTTTATAGAGTGCTTTTTCACAATAACCAATCAGAAGAAAGGAAAATACCTTTAAGAGCCAATGGGAAACAACCTACGTAAAGCGCGGGAAGGCGCGTGCGACCAAGTCGTGCTTGATTTTACTTTTGCATCTGATTGGTTGAGAGATTGGCGCGAGTTTTTTAGACCAATCATAACCCTAAGCGAAGTAAAGCAAAAATAGAGTAATCCTGTTTTACTTTCAAATCCAATAGAAAGTTGCTCTTATCAGTTTAGCTCTTGCTAGCTTAGTCACTCTAAGGTTCAAAATGTTAATGAATTGCCTAATTTAAGAGAGTTATACGTACGCTAATAAGGCAACCGAGGTTAAACACTAATTTTAAAGCGCTGTGTAGCAAATTTTTTTTAAAATAGATTTTATAAATGAATTAGTAATAACTTTCATCATGCCTTGTAAATTTTGATCTTCAATTCTGAAGTGATCTGTCTTCTTTTTTTACGTTTTCAGTTTGTCCGTATCATGCCAAGGTACTCTATGTCTCCGAATCTTCCGTCAGAACACTCACGAGTCCAAATTACCCTTCGCCGTACGACAGCAATGAAGATTGTAAGTGGATACTTGAAGCACCTAGTGAACTCATAGTTAAAGTAACATTTCAGGCCTTCGAACTGGCAGGAGACATGTACTTTTACAGTTCCTGCCGGGATAAACTTATATTTTACGATGGAAATGACACCACTTCGAACATCCTTGGAACCGCGTACTGTGGCGCGACTCCGCCTGATTTAATTTATTCTACTGGACGACACTTATTTGTCGAGTTCAGCACAGATCGTTACACAAATCGCAAGGGGTTTAAATTAAGTGTTTCAGCTGTTAATAAAGGTAAGTAATAGCAGTAGATGGCGTCCAATCTTTCGTGCACTTGCATTGTGGAACCGTTAGAGAAGTTTCTTTGGAAGATCCGTTTAAAGAAAACGCAAGTTACCTTATCGTGAAAAAGTTATGTCTGCAGGCTTATTCGACAAGACCGAAATACCTTTTATTTCAATGCGAAATTCCCATCTTAATTTAATTTGAAATTGAGGAATATCGTTGGATATTCCCAGATTTAGTCGGGGTCTAGTTGGCCACATGACGCGTTTAGACCAATCACACGCGAGGGAAATTATTGGGTGGGGTTATGAGATGTGATGTTTCAGTTCACAGGTTACTATGTTTACTTCTTCGCTAGGCGATGATCAAATCTAACTTGTAGCCATAGTCAAAGTGCAGCTATTTCTAACATCAGGAAGCATACTCTCGAGGGGTTCAACCCCTACTAAAAGTGCGGAAGGGAGGGCTCGGACGGCTTGTAAGGTGTGGTTGCGTCCAAATTCGAAATCGCTTAGTTTGTAAGAATTGCATAGAACTGTGATTGTAAGATAGCAAGTCGATGGCAATGTGCATACACACTGTAAATTTTACTGTATGCAGGGTACTCAATGCAAATCTTTTTTGCAAATAGTAGGGAATTTCCCAAATGTCACTTCTATTTTCTTTGTTCACTGACTCCGTTAAGGCTCCTGTTAACACCAAGATAATACAAGTGACATGTTGGAACTTCTAGGATAAACCACTCGAAAGTACCAGTGTTGCACTGTGTATGCGTATTCCCACTGAATTGATATCTTTCAGTCACAGTTTGGTGCAAGTTTTACTTTGGCTAAAAGTTGAGAGGAGATAGTTTTAACATCGCTTCAAAGAGTTTCGCTGTTTCTTGTATTTGCAGAGGAATCAGCTACAATTTGTCGCTCATCAAGTGATAAAGTCATTCACCTCAGGGGGTTCAATGGTACCTTCTTTACCCCTAATTATCCAGCTTTTTACGCAACAAACTGGACATGCATTTGGCTTATTTCTGTTCCAGCTGGCAAACGAGTGAAGCTTACCTTTGAATATTTTAGCTTAAAATCTGATGATGCCTTCCAGATACGCGATGGTAAATCACCTCGAAGCCCTGAGCTACGACGTTTTGACGTAAATTATCGTTATGATGTTTATTCCACTGGAAGTTACATGTGGGTGAAGTTTCATTCTGGTTTTGGCAGTTGGTTTTATAAACCGAGAGGTTTCAAAGCACGGTTCGAGGCTTTAGATCCTCGTGAGTATCTATTCATTTACAATACTTTGCTTTTCTTTGGACTCAGCTGCAGAGGCGTATGTAATTATTCCGGAGTAACTCACTGTAAATGCACCTCACCATTTCGGGAGACGCAGTGAATACGGTGGACTCCGACTCGAGTGGTCTGATTTCCAGACCTGGCAGTGTCAATGAGTTGTGTTCATGGGCAAGACGCTGTACTCTTACAGTACCCCTATCCACCCATGTGGAGTGTAAATGGGTATCAGCGAATTGTCAGGGAGGCCTGATAAAATGCAAGGGGAGGGGGTGCCGGGGTAGGGGTAACCTTGCGATGGACTAGCATCCCATCCAGGGGGTAGTAGTGATACTCCTAGTCCTTTCATGCTATGGTTACTAGGATAAGCTAAGGCTGGGTGGGCCACTTCCTACGGGTACAACTTCTACTTTACCTTTCTACCTCACTATTTTAGCGGTTATTGGAACATAAACATGATTTCGCGAAACCAGTAAGAGCTGTTGTGCTGTTATTTGAGTAGATCATGCTCATTAAACTCAACGAAAGCCCTTTTTTTTCTTTTTGCGAGACTCTGAGGCGTTGGAAAACGTGTGTGACCAAGTCGCCTTTGGTTTTAATTTTTATTAGGTTTGTTGAGAAAGTGGTGCAAGATTTCTGGACCTATCACATGACTAGGTAAAGCAAAACCAAACAAATCCCGGATTACATCGAAAGACTTAAAAATTTCTCGAAGAATGTGTTCACAATTTGAGAAAACACTCATTTTTGTATAGGTATTTTTAGGGAAAAGATAACACCTCGAGCGTTATTCTCACAACGCGGAAGCAATTTTTAAAATGTCACCTTAAGGTGACGCACTTGAAGCGGTGGATGACGTATAACTATAACTCAGTTCCTTTTTTTATTATTTTCATTTTCATCTTGATTTGAATTTATTCACAAATTTATTTATTTATTTATTCATTTTTCCTTTTACATAGCTGGAAATCCCGAGGAATTTTGTTATCCTGGAAACGTTTACAACAACAATTTAAAACTAAGTGGTTTTTATGGAACCCTTCAAAGCCCGGCCGAACGTTACTATCCACATTTAAGTTGTACATGGCTTATCGTTGTGCCTGAAGGAAACATAATCGAGTTAAGCTTTCAGACGTTTCGTATACCGAAGGGTCCTTCCTCAAAATGTACACCAGATTATGTGGAAGCTCTTGACGGGAAGGACAGCTCTAGCGATGGTAAAGGAAGATTGTGTGGGTACGATATACCAGAACGAATTCGCTCGACTGGTCGATACATGATGGTTCGTTTCAGATCGGGTGAAATCATGACGATAACCGGTGAATTTAGTGCTGCATTCAGAGCTCGGGATGAACCAGGTGAGTAGGAAATTAGCAGGGTTGGGGGATGAGTCGGAGATTAGCAACGGGGAGAGGGATGAGTAAGAGATTAGCAGGGTTAGGAAAGAATCGGAGATTAGCAGGGTTAGGGAAAGAGTCGGAGATTAGCAGGGTTAGGGAAAGAGTCGGAGATTAGCAGGGTTGGGGAATGAGTCGGAGATAACCAGGGTTAGGGGGATGAATCGGAGATAAGCAGTGTTGGGGGGGAGGGTGAGTCGGGACTAGCAGGGTTGGGGGGAATGAGTCGCGGATAAGCAGGGTTGGGGGATGAGTCGGAGACAAGCAGTGTTGGGGGGTGAGTCGGAGATTAGCAGGGTTGCGGGAAGAGTCGGAGATAAGCAGGGCTGGGGGATAAGTCGGAGATTAGCAAGGGCATGAGGGATAAGTCAGCGATAAGCAAGGGGGAGAGGGATGAATCGTGGATTAGCAGGGTTGGTGGATGATTCGGAGATTAGCTGGGATGGGGGAGGAGAGTCGGAGGTTAGCAAGGAATAGAGGGATGAGTTAGAGATAAGCAGGGTTAGGGGGATGAGTTGGAGATTAGCAGGCACACGCATTTTTATAATTTATTTTATTCTAAATTTTGCTTTCTAAGAGGGTGGCTCTTGAAACAGAACGGATAAATGTTTCAATAATAAGGCCATTTATACCATGAAGACCCTTTTTTTTTTTCGCTTTTTTTTTTTCTCTTTGTTTGTTTTGATTTGTATTTCCTGAGTAGCCGCTTATTGTGAACCCCTGTCCTTTTGGTGTCCACATTTTCCAGATTTCACTCAAACATATTTTCTTTCTTAAATCTAGTTGAACCTGTTGCATCTTCTCGTTCCAAAGAAGTTTGTTTGCTGGGGAATCCCGATAATGGAAACCTGAAGTTAACTGGCACAGAGGGGACATTACAAACTCCTCTGAAGTATTACCCCACGGATTTGGTCTGTGTTTGGCTCATCACCGTACCGGAGGGAAAGAGAGTAGAACTCAGCTTTGAAAAATTTGATATAAGTCCAATTGGGTGCTCTGATTTTGTGCAGATCTTTGATGGAGAGACTAACAAGAGCCGCACTTTAGAAGAATACTGCGGAGATTCTGTCATACGCGAAGTTCAGTCAACTGGTCGGCATATGTTGGTCATATTCAACTCCGACTCTGAGCCTGATGTATTACGTACTGGATTCAAGGCTTCTTTTAAAGCTATAAGTAGTAAGTTGTAACTTGCGAGGTACATGCAGCTATTTTCGGCCAGCGTTTTTCAGAATTTAAAGTCAAAATCAGTTGACTTAAAAGTGTTGTCCTTGCCCTCTTAGGAGCGTTAGAAGCGTGAGCTAATGAAAGGGTTTTTTTTTTTGGGGGGGACTTTTTATCTTTTTGTTCACTTATGCCCCATAACTTCGCATATACCCGGCCGGGACTTTTCGGGGATAAGACATAAATAGTGGGTACTGAACCCCTCGCACATCTCTCGCCGACTCGCATTGCTCAAGGCTTCGTACTTTCTCGCGAGCGAAGAAACGCCGGTGCCAAAGAAACGTTCGTACCGAAGAAATGCTCTTGCTGAAGAAACGCTCCTGCCTAAGAAACACTCCTGCCGAAGAGGCGTTCGTGCCGAAGAAACGCCCGAGCCGAAGAAACGCCTGTGCCTAAGAAACGCCCGTGCCGAAGAAACGTTCGTACCGATGCATTAATGACGATAGCCTGCTTGCAAGCTACAATGACACTTGCTGGAAAATGACAGGATTCACCAACTTATAGTTTGGCAGTTTGTTCCTTTGTGATCTACAAATGACTATTTAACCTCCCCAAGATGAAATTTTGATTTCTTTTGTTTTCTTTTCAGAGCCCAAATCATTGGCCATCGTTGTCGCAGTTGTATCTTCTTTGATGGTCATAGTAATTGCAGTGGCTTGCTATATGGTGTACAAGAGGACACGAAGTAACAAACGAGGTGGAGCTGGGGTAGAAAGAATTCCAATGGCACCAGCACCGACCACGTCTCGCACATCCTGTCCTACTCAGTCTGCAGCCAATGAGTCATCCCCAAGGGTGGGTTATGCTCCGGTCTCGACGAATCCTGAACAGTCAGCTCACTTGTTATCAAATCACTGAGGCAGCATTAACACCGCCAGTCCTTTTGCGAGGGGCAAGTTTGATAATCAGAGACCATTATAAAAACCAAACAAAGGCAACAACAACAAAGGCAGAAGTTGCAATTACCCGATAGAAGGCCTTTTATTATAAATTAAGGACAGTGCTGGATGAAATCCTCCCCCATCCCGTGCATCCTTTCATTTAGCCTTTTATAAACTATGTTCCCGGCTGCGCGCTGCCAGGGAGTTGTTTGTGGTCATCCAAGGTGACCTCGGTCCACGAATTCGTCTAACAAGTTTGGAAAATCACACAACCTGAACTATCGAAAAATAAATTTTTTTTTTCTTAAACTGAAAATATGGCAACCACTAAAGTATATGAATGAGCAATTAAAAGAAATTACGCCGGAAATTACCTCTACTCTTCTTTTTTTCTTTTAACCCTTAAACTTCTAAGATCTGATTGTTCATTCTCCCCTCTAGCTGTTAAACATTTCCTTGTAAATAAGCTACGAGAATTTGGTGTCAGATCAAGATAAAAACTTCTACCTGATAAGTTTAATTATTCTCTCTACCTGATCTCTATTCACGTTATGGATTTTACGGGGAGAAGTTACATGTTATTCACTTCTGAGAGTGAAAGGATTTTAAGAGCACTTATTAAGATTCAGGCCTTTTGTGACCCTTGAATTGCGTGACTGTGATTAACTAGTGCCCAAATCTTTCTCTCCCATCGTGCCAATCAATAATGAAAGCAAAAATTGCTTAGAAAACAACTTGGGTATAATTATTTTGTGTATCTTGGTCGCTACGTTCTGAAACTTCAGCGAAATGGTCGATGAAAAATGTGACCCACCGCATCCTTAAAAGACGTTAGTAGGTGACGTGAATTTGGTAACACTTTACGAGAGTCTTTGACATGTTTAACTCTTTCATCGCACAACATAAATTATGGACTCGTTAACATCAGTGGGTGAGTTTCTATGAATCAAACTTGATATCTACTAATAGATATCAGTCTTTATATCGGTGACGCGGATTATAATCTACGATTTTTTTCTTCCATGCGAAGTATCTGAAGTAGTAAATAACGCCGTTAAAAATTTCAAAGGCTTGAAATCGTGATTGACTTGACTGACATTAGAATTAAGCCTACTGAGTTATTAACATTTTTCCCAAGAACGGAATGTTTACCAGTTAACGGAACTTGATTATAACTTGCGATTAAGGTTTCCAGTGCATCTGAGATGCATGGAAATTATTTCTGGTAGTGATGGAACGAAATATCTCAGCTAAAAGCGAAATTTATTTCCTGGGGCGGATAGTATCAGCTGCAATTTTTTTCAGTATTTTTCGTGATCGTGTTGAAGTTAATTTAACCGAGTGATAACGCAAATAATTTATCTAATTCATCAGAGATGTCTTGAACAATTGTAGTGAAAGCTTCAATGTAAAGAAATGATCACACTGAATTTATTATGATATTATTTGATTTTCGGTTGAGTAACAACATAGCTTCCAACGAGCTCTTCCATGTCAGTAAATATATCTTTCATTAGCTTTACATTTCAGGTTAGATCCAATGATAATTCAAGACTAACTCTTAACAATAAAATGCGCATGTTTAAGTAGTTGTTTTTAATCTGCCTCCTGGCCCGACCTGTTCATATCACGTACAATTATTTAAAACTCGAGGCTCTCCTCAAGAAAAATCTTATAGGTCTTGTCACGAGTGGATAAAAGGAAACTATTCGTAGTCAAGGAGGCTCTTTCGTTAATTAGCTTTGATTTGACTGAAACTAATATTTAATATGTATGGCATGAGAGTTGATTCGTGCTTTTTGCACATCACAGGCGACGAACGTGATCCTTCCTTACTGATTAACATACTAGCTATGAACAAAGGAAACATTAAGATTTGAAGCACAACACAAACTAGTGATGCATGCTACAGGAAGTGATTGATAACGACATAGTTTAAAAAAATTCTGATCTCTTCTTTCATTTTTATGCTATTCTCATCCACTTATTCAGGTCTGATTTTTGTAGCCTGGATTGGATTTTCAAGTGCTGAAAATTACGGTAAGTTAACATTACTTTTAATCTTATAATTTGGAATGGAAGCTTCCAGTTTTTGATAACAAAAGCGCCGAGTGTATAACCATTGAATGTCGGCGCGAAACATTAATTGCTCTGTTGATGTTGATAACTATTTTTGGTCATATTTACATAATTTGTTTTTCTTCCGAGCTACAATTCGGTTGGGAAACATTTTTGCATTTTTTCTGTGGCCAGGGTAATCATCAGTTTGTGTTTTTGGAAAGAAACAATTTTAATTTTTTTGAGCTTGCTTAATGGAATGAATGCATCGAGTTACAAATTAAAGAAAATTGATTCTATCTTTCTCTGCCTCCAGCGCCAGCTTTCCTTTGTGTGGATTTTCTTGTTACAATTGAACACTTTATGACGTATGAGGAAGTTAATGAAACTCGTATATCTTATTTTTGCCTTTTATGTTTCTTAGCTGCTAGAAACAAAACGAAGTGTTTCCCAGGTAACATCAACAACAACAATCTACAGCTAGAGGGCTCGTCAGGAACGTTTGAGAGTCCCTTTTACCCATCGAAGTATCCCAAAAGTATTAGTTGTACTTGGGTCATAACTGTGCCGTATGGAAAGCTGGTTAAACTTAGTTTCACTGCCTTCGACGTGGAATGGTCTTCGAGCTGTGATGAAGATTATGTTCAAATTTACGATGGCTGGTCTTCCGCCAGTGAAGTGAAAACGAAATTATGTGGAGCATCACTTCCAAGCGACGTTTCTTCCACTAGCCGCTACTTGAGGGTTCAGTTTCGATCTGACGAAGATAATCATGGCAATTGCAGTGGTTTTAAAGCTCAGTTCGAACAGGTTCACAAAGCAAGTAAGTCCACACTTCACACAGCATGACTTTTTGTTGTAACGAACATTATAAATCAGCTCAATAAAGATAAAAATAACAACAATAATAATGACATCAACTTCTTCCTAAAGGATATGTATGTAACCTTGTTTGGTATTGCTGTTTTCTTGTTGTATGGCTGCTGTTGTTGTTGTTGTTGTTGTCGTCGTCGTCGTTATTTTTGCTTAGTTTGTAAACACTGCTGATTTCTGAAGTCCTTACCTTCTCGCTGGTTATTGAAGATCTCTTCAAATTCATAGCAATAAGCTATGACAACTAGTCATATGTGTTAAGACCTCTACATCTTGGTAAGGGTGTGTGTGAATCCATGACACTTCAAAGTGCTTAGCAAACACATCGAGACCCACTAAAAGTACGTGCCTAGCTTTTAAATGTTACGCAGACAAACTACTATGCTAGCTATTGTAACGGAGGGAGCCGAGATTCCAAATTTAGGCTAGCTTGCAGATCATGGGTCATTTCGGCCTATCGAGTACTCAGTATTTTCTTGGTGAAAATTGCAGCTGCCTTTTTTCATAATTCTTACAGCAGCGGAAGGCTGAGTTGAGAAAGAAATTTGTACTAAGGGGGTGGGCGACGGTTTAAAAGCAGGAGAGGGGAGGGAAGGGGGCAACCGATCAAAGAGTATTCCACTCTAACTCTAAATTTAACATGGCCGATTGAATGAACGATCTCGACCTTGTAATGTTAACGCGCCCTGATAGGACGCTTGCTCTGCAGGCAACCAAAAGGCTTGTTACTGATTTCATTTTTGTTCTTTATCCTTAGATGTTCTAACCATCCTTTTCATTGGGGGAGTTTCGCTGTTTCTGTTACTGATATGTATGGCTTGCAGCATCATAAGACGTCGGAGAAGTCCAACCCCAAGGCGGCAATTTCTTCATGCTCTAAGATGTAGAATAAGACACAACTCGAGCCGCCAATTTCTTCGTGCATCAACACCTCAGCCAGCTGCAAACCTACACCTATACCCACCTTCCACAATGGGCTATCGTACCCCATCTTATACGTTCCCGATGGAGCCTCCTCCTCCCTACACATATCCGACAGAGCCTCCACCACCTTATCCGGGAGAGGATACTTATTTACCGCATACACCCTTGGGACGCTCGTAGTCGTATCCTCAGGATAGACAAGGACATTTGTCGCTATCCTCATGCAGGATGATATAATGATTTTTTGGAAGGAGGATACAGAAAACGTTCATTATGATTCCGGATTCATTAAGACACCGAGCATGATTAGGGTGCTGGTCTTATAAAATCTGGTGGTCCCAGCTTCAAGCCGTCTTCTCTGCTTCTCACTGGATTTGTTTTCAGTTCCTCTGAGTTCAACTCCTCGACTACTCTTTCTATGAAGCCTACTAGCCAGCTGGGGTTCCTAAAAACATTGTGTTTATCTCAAATTCTTTTTCTGTTTCCAGTTTGTTTAAATTACGTATTTCTCAATTTGTTAGGGTCTCGAGACTTGTGAAAGAATTGTACAGTTGTTATTTCTATTTTTTGTCATTTCTTGAGGGGTATGTTTGAATGTTTGTTCATTTACGCAGCTATTTAACTTGTGTCACTGTTTTGCCATAAAGAGTGTAAATAGAACTTAAAATGTATATTTTGAGCCCATTTGCTCATTTCCTTTTGTAACGAACGAAGGGAAAACATCTTGGTCCCACACGAGGAATATTACTTCATACGTTCGGATTCTGAAGTCCAATGTTCTACGTTAAAAAAAATAACTTGATAATTGTTTCACGCCATTATATGTATATTCAAGCATACTTTCTTCAATACAATTTATTTGTCCGACGCACTCATTACGCTCTTACATGTATTTAATTTTTGCCTTTTAAGCCTTTCGTACTGAAGGACAGGAGACGTAAAGACCTGGTCTCTAATACCCAGGACCACGGACCGAAAAGTTCGGCGCGTTTTGATGCCTTCTTGGGCAAGACACTAAACTCATAGTTAACTCTCATAATGCGTGTTTCCAGTTAGGATAAGAGTATCAAAAGCTAGCGGCAAACTGTCAGGAAAACCTGTCGAAATAATTGGAGTGATGTGACCCAAGTATTCCGTCTTGAGAAGTAGCAAGAGCTCTAGTCGCTTCCCGTCGCTGAAACTTAGTTAAGCCCAGGGACGCCGAGCTTTCTGGCTCGTTAGCTAACTTGAACACTATTTATTCCCTGCTGAGGGGAATAATTATCCCCTTTGCATTGGCAGTTCATTGGCAGTCAATTTTCCAGAGTCCCTCCTACATTCTGTTACGTGCGCACTCCTTTTATTCATCCATGTCCTCTTATGTTCACTCCGGTCGACTCAGCCACAGTTGTGTTATTGCTCGAAATTAAAGGGGAGTGTTTGTTATTTTGTGGTTCCTAAATGATGGAAAACATCTTCGTTAGGTCACAAAATTGCATAATGATTCCACCAAGTTACAGTTCATGTCCTCTTGGATTCCACTTTGTAGGAAGTCTAGAATAAACAAAAAAATTGTACCTCTGACTCTAGTTATTTTTGATCATGGTAATATCGTGCGGAAGTGTTCTTAGCGGTAGTAGTTATCACACGTAAGAATCAATAACTCACTCCACTTCCTAATTAGCTGACCCCGGCGAGGTCACGTGATCAGACTGAGCCATCCGTCGTTGAAGCGTAATTGGTATTGAAGATATCGTAACCCGCTTGTCTGTCTAACGAGTGATCTTTGGCTCAAATTGACGCGATGAAATTCTCTGTGTATCTCATTTGTTCAGGTAAGGATTCTTAATCTTAGCATGTTTTTACCCAATGTGCTTGGGAATGCGATTGATAACAACAGCAAAATCACGAGGTATAAGCAAGTTTTATTTAGTCAATAGAGTACTTCAGAAAATCACAACGTCAGCGAGGTCGAGGTAAAACAACAAAGATCTAATGTCTGAACAACAGTTCAGCCCGTGTGTTTTAAATATTTGTACACTTCCTAGCCGTCTTCTGCGAACGACAACGTGATGACACTTACTGCAAAATTTACATGATTTAACAACGGAAAACCCAACTACAAATTATTTAAGTTCCATTTTCAACTTTACGCTGCTCACAGAAGTTACGCCGAAGTAAAGAAGCGGCTCCGTTAGGGAGTGTAAACACAACATCCATTCGCGAAATTCTACAAAAGATATAAATTCAATTTTTCGTCAACGTTTTCCCGGCGTTGCCGTCCTGATTGCGTAAGGTCCCCTTATGATTAAGTGTCAGTCTGGTCATCGATCACATTTAGTGAAGAAATCGACGCACGAGTGTACGCTGCCATTTGTTATTTCTGTAAGTTACGATATAAAGCTTAGATAACTTGCGATCACTAGATGCTAGGTTGAAAGTTTTTCATTCACCAAGCAGTTGGCGAGTAAAAAAATTCCACATAACATCATTGTCATTTCATCACGTTCAGTTTCCTTCAGCGGCTTCTATCACCACTTATAAAGTTTGAAAGACTTTTTTTTATTGCTTAACGAATTGATGAATTAAAAAAATATACATATCTTTTCATCAAGTAAAAGAACCTGCTTTTCCGGCAAATACCTAATATTCAAACCTCTTAGGATAATTATTGATGTCACTTTCTGAAATTATGATAACATTCGAAACTAGCGTGCACACACGTAGTTGTTGTCATGGATTAACTGAATTCATTTGAATAGGGTAATCATGGCTAAAATTGGGGGAATATGTGAACAACAAAGCTGCAAACGGTTCAAGGAGTTTTATAATCAATTTATCTTCGAAACTAGTATATATAAGGCAGAAGTAAAATTTGTGGAATTAGGGAAATCAAGTTGTCGGTTAATCGTCAATCAATTACTTCGACATGCTTGATTGCTTACCTTGCACATGTCGCAACAAATCATTCACACTTACCCGATTCCGAGAAAAGTACATATTTTATTTCGACGCACCCCGCACATATGTTGATTAAGGGCTGTTGATTAAGGGTGTAACAAGAAGGGAAATATGACATTTTTTTGCGAAAATTCACGGGTCAATAAACCACCGAACGAATAATATTCTTTGTTTTCTTTTTCAGTGTTCCTGTGTCACTTGCAAGAAGTTGAAGGTACCTTTACTGACTTTACCTAGTTTTCTGGTGTTTTCTAGTCATTGTTTCAAGCCTTGTCATTGTTCGCTGTATAAGTGCTTGGTTCATCCAACCGCTTTTTCTTGTTCAATGCTTGAGCTCTCTGAGTTGCCAACTTTGATATCAACTTTATTTACCTTTGAATCGTGATGATACGACTTTATCTGTCAAAATGCATCACGCCATTTAATAAAGCTGTGAAGGAATTTAAATGATTAGGCGAAAAGCAGACCAAGAGAACAGCTTAACCAGGCATTCCTTTGGAATCTTGATCCCTAGATTATTGGATTATAGTGATGTTTTCAGTGCTGCTAGACTGATAGACTATTGCAATACACACTACATATTGGATTTCAAGACAAAAGGTTGCCCAAAGGGATAGTGAAACTGCATATTCCACAAATGAATGAAGGAGTACGTTAATAGAGAAACTGTAATGATTACCTTGTTATACTCACCCACCGAGAGAGTATAACAGGGCAATTAATTATTATCAACTTAGTTGATAAAGTAAGTTGGCCGCCGTAAAGAGTTTTAAAGCTGACGTTTCGAGCGTTAGCCCCTCGTCAGAGCGAAACAGTTCGAATTCTGAGAATTCCATCTCAAATTAGAAACAATTTTTTTCACTTTTTGCAGCGCTCAAAAGAGTTGCATCTGCTGTGTACATCGTACTGGCAGTTCTTTTCCTTCTGATACTTCTTGGAGGGATTTTCCTGCTCGTAAAATACAGCATGGACTGCAACTCTAAAAGGCGGCGTACGCGTGACTCTAGCGTGACAACTAACGTTTGTGACACACAGCAGCCTTCCGAAGCCGGTCTTCAACATCGGGATCACTATCCAGAATTCCTACATTCAATCTACCCACCACCGTTCGAAAGTCTGCACTTCGCAATTCCTCAGCCGATGATGGTGCCAAGGACGGAGATTTTAGAGGGAGAACCTCCCCCACCTTACCCTGGCATGTAGAAGAGACCTTTTCATTTTAAATCGTTTTTTAATGATGCAGGAAGTGGTTATACCTTGCAATGACTGTTAGCGACCAGCTCTGGGAAGTGATCATCCAGCGGGTTGTAATTAATTGATTTAGTCCAGAAAAACAACATTAATTTTATGACGATGGATTCCAAAGTTGTATCCCAAGTAGTTGACTACTCAAACTTGACCGACGGCTGAGCTATTTTTGAATATTCCATCTATAAACTTTCATGAACAAACGAGAACTAGGAACTTTGTTAAAAATCAGTTTTACTTAAAGAAATACAACTTTAGAAAGTAAATGCCAGTTTAATTAAATGTAAATGTAAGTTTAATTAATGATAATCGACGGATTTTGCGAAGGTACTTGCATCCTTAGCTTGTTACGTGATAACTGCTGCTGCATGTGACAATTTATGCAAATATTACTAGGGTGAACACGTCAACCGGTTTCGCCAATGTTTTGCTACTGCTGTTGACAAGAACGCGTGACAGTGTTACGCTGAAGATCCACGCTGCTAGACAGAACAATCAACTGACAGAAAAAAAATTGTGATTAATGCTTGAATCATTTGATTGAACGATTTCTGGATATATTTTCAACCCTGAGTTATTATTACTCTTAGTCAAAAATATTTCCTTACAATTACAAATAGTATCGTACTTGTTTCAACATTAGAACTAAGATTCTGATGTCTACTTTTTAACTTAAGTTGCGGGACATTATTTAATTCTGCATTCAGTCGTAGAATATTCAATTGTTGCTGTAGTGAAGATTTGGAGTCAATAGATTTTTTCAGGGGGGAGGGGTAGTGTTGCATAACCTGTATCTCTGTAGTCGGTTAGAGCTTCAACACTGTGGAAATATAAGTATACAAAGAAAAAAATATTAAAACTTACAATGCATCGCACTCGTTAATTACAGCGTATATTTTTCGACAAAAGAAGGACAGTAATAAATATTAAAATAAAAGAACCTATCCTCTTTCGGATACCGCTTTGGTTTCAAAGCCAACTCCGTCGATTCGCAACATTCACTAACATTCTAGAAAATGTTTAGTCAAGGCTTTCTTTATCTCACTCCTAAAGAATGGTTCACTTTTGTTTTGAATTGGAAACAACAAATCACACTTAATAATTCATGTGTGTGGCCAGCAAATGAGTGTAACGGTGTTATTGGGGACTTCTGCCCAATCCGTGTCCAAGGTAATTTAAACTTTGTGATAAAAACACCAAAACAAAGCAGTTAATAGCACAACAGTTGCCTAACATTCGGGTAATTAATTCGGTTTTCTGTATTTTCATTATTATTGGATAAATTCCCAAGAAACTTCAGTGGGGAGTAACACAGAAACTTTTTTTCTGTCAGTATATTTTAAAAGGAAAATTTAGTTATTGTTTGAAAAATGAAGACCTGTTTTTATGTCTTTATAGGTAAGTGAGATCTACGTTTGCTTGAAATCATGAAAGTATTCATGTAAAGGCAAGCTGGATCGTTCGGTTGTTTTAAGCAATTATCTTTTTCCTTCCACACATCCATCCGTCGCAAGTTATTACTTTCCACTTTCAATCACATTTCTTGCTTCATTGAGGGATAATGGGGAAACGGAGGCATGTGATGACCGTTTAAAAAGCTTGATCCTATTTTTTTCGCAGGAAAAGATCTGTCTGATACCACGATCTTTACGTTTAAAATCCCTACTTTAGCAAGGAAGATGAGTTAGCTCAGTATTCATAAACATAAAGAAAAAATAAACTCTTAAATGAAAATAATTCAGTTTATGTTCAGAAAAAGATTAATGTCATTCGACTAAGTGAAGATCATAACAATATTTGTATCAGAACTTAAGAAGATATTGTAGTTTATGCTTTATATGCTTTCCTTCACAGTCTTGCTGTCTCTCCTTCAGAAGGTGGAAGGTAATTTAGCCACAGTGTAAAAAGATTTTCAGCTCAAGGTTTTCTTTACCTGGTTCAAATTTTTATGCAATTATATATGACGCTTAGATCAAGACCAAACCAAAACGAGACTACGATAAAAAAAGTTTAGGACATAGACAATTAAAATAACTCTCGCAGACATGAGTGAGACAAGTAAAGACGGATAGACAGACAGAAAGACAAACAGAAAGAAGGACAGACAGACAGACAGACACACAGACACAGAAAGACAGACAGACAAAAAGACGGACAGACAGAGGAACAAGGAGTACGAAAATGTTATATATTTTTATCGCAACTGATGACATCAATTAATTTTTGAAACGAGAGTATATAACATACAAAACTTCAGCAAGATGTTAATTTCTTTCTTTTCGTTGCTGGCTGACTACTTAAGACAGATGAAGATCTTAATACTTACTAGATTTATCAAAAATTTCAAGTTGACACTCTGTTCTTCAATTTTCAGCGTTCAACGCCAGTTCATTCATTGGCTTCTTTTTTCTCGCGGTTTTCGTCGTTGGTGGGCTGATCTTCTTAGTCTTGTGCTGCAAAGATCGCAAATATATTTTTGGCGGCCAGCGGCAAGAGCATACAACAGCAATGACAGTTAACATACCCAGCATGCAACACTCTGCCAGAGCATCTCGCGAACACTACCCAGGATTCGTTTCGACCACTTTCCCAGGACGCACCGCGCCGCTACAGGTGCATATTGAAACATCATATTTGTCATACATTGGGGAACCTCCCCCACCATATCCAGGCAATGACAGAGGATATGCAACTGATAACAGCTTCCCAATTGCTCGCGATGACAATGGCATTGACAATTACGGAACTGGCATCGGCATTGATGCCAGTGGCATTGATATTACATACAATAACTCTGAAGATAATGTAAGCAGCACTGAAAATTATGCTAATGACACTGAGTATGATGGCAGTGACATCAACAGTCCTGGTACTGGTCTCCACAATGACGGCAATGACGTTGAGAATGATTGCACCCAAAATGGTAACAGCATCGGAAATAATAATGGCAATAGCCAAACTGAAAATGAAGGCGACGGTACCGGTAATGATACTAATGAAAGTCGTATTTCTTGCAATGGCTTTGACAGCGATGTCAGCAATTGCAATGTTATTGACACAGGTAGTGGGGAAATCGGCACTCAATCAGCAATCAATGATGGCGAAGGCAATGAAAATAACGGAAGTGTAATGGATAATAGTGCAAACGGCATTAGAAACGATACCAGTGATATCAACATTCCATGTACCAGCGTCGACAATAATGCAACTAATTCCAGATTCGTGGTAGTGCATTGAACGATAATGCAAATGGCACAAGAAATGATACCAATTATATTGATGTTTCGTGCGCCGGCGTTGAAAATAATACAACTGATCGCAGTGGCATCGAAATTGGCAGCAGTGATGTTGTGAAATTGCTCGCAACTTCAACGCTAACAATTATGGCACCGGCATCACCATTGGTTATCACCAGTGCCATCGATAGTGACAGCTATGACATCAAACTGACCGGAATTTTAGTGCATCAGCAATGCTGCCATCAGTTATCAATTTGTGAGCGTGAGAGGCCTCTGTTTGATATCTAAAATGTTACAGATTAGAATATTTTCCTTTTTTTTACGTCAGGGGTCACTACGAGCAAACTAATTTTATCTCCTACTAGATATTTAGTTTCAGCCCTGGCCGTACTTTGGTCTACAAGATTGAATCACTTACATGACCCTCTAAACTGTATGTGTGAATAACGTTTACACCCCCATGTTTAGACATCACATTGCCCCGCGGGGTCAATAACGCGTTAGAGTCTCAATATGACAAAATGATATGGAAAAATTCTTCGAACACATAGACAGTGAACAACACGAAGAAGGAAATAAAAGAAGAGTCATCTTTCCCATACCGGGAGTCGAACCCGGGCCGCCTGGGTGAAAGCCAGGAATCCTAACCGCTAGACCATATGGGAGCCAGACGATTCGTTAGGAAGACATCTAATCATTTTTAAATTTATGTCACAGCCTTTCCTTACCATGAAGCTGCCTCTCTGGGCTTCGGTCTTTGTCGATGAAAGACACTCCTTTTGCGAGCTTTCTGGACGGGAAGAGGTTCAGAGAGGCTTGTATCGGAGGAAAATTGTCGCGAAACCGACGTATTACCTGAGATTAGCATGTGCTTGTTGACATTGTAATCATTATTTTAGAGGTTATCTGTTTCTTTTCGGAAACGTTTGTGTAACGTTGACGAAAAAATGAAATAATTAATTGGTTCTCGGCTATTGGTTGTTAAAGAAGAACTATAACGGGTTTACCTACCATGAAACCCCTAGAGATAACAATAAAAAAAAACTGTTGTTGTTATAACGCTAATTATACTGCGAGCGGTTACATCAATGGATGTAACATCATCATGCTTAACCCTCTTTTCACAAAAAAAACACCTTCACACTTCGCTAGAAATTTTCGCGATTTGATTGTAAGTCTTTCACAACTTTGAGAGCTCGGAGGCTGAGTGAAACACAAAAGAAACTAAAGGAGAAAGCTTTCTTCAAGACTAGACCATAATAGGGCGCAAACACTCTCCTTTCGACCGACCATTGAGTGTCTCACACAAAAAAAAAGATAAGGTTTATCTAATACCCAGATCCTGCCATGTAACTGTCTCTGAAGTGTAGGACCTTACAACTGCTTGGTTGTTGAAGGTCTGTTTACAAGATTAGGTTAAGACTGTACTCAAACCGGTGCAGTTGCCCTAACAACCGTAGTTTATCCCGGTTTCTGTAGCACAATTACTGATTTCCCTTGGATGGGATGCTCAGGTCAACGCAGACTTACCCCGCCCCCCTCCCCCTCCCCCCTCCTCTATTCTGTCAGTTTTTCTGGAAAGTTCGCAGCGTCTCCAAACCATTTCATCACAATGGTCTCCCGTGACATTAAAAGCGCTAGTAAACGTGCAGATTCAAGACGAGAATGAGTTCTTCTACTCTAACAAAGGCTAAATCGAATTTAGATGCTATAATATGCAGGCATTTTAAAAATTTTCTTTGTCTGACTCAGTTTAAAACATAAAAGCAATTACTCGTCAATGTCTCTCTTTGAGATTACTTGTATTACCTAAGGAGAAAATGGCTCTTAAACGTATTCTTGCCGAAAGACGCTCACACGTGCAGCTGATTAATTTCGTTTGGATAGCTACTAACAATAGATTATTGTTAACATTTTCGTTGTTTGCAGGCTTTGCAGTTTAACATATTATGAACTTTAATATGTGCATGTTCGTACTTGCACGGAGGAAGAATAATTGGCACGAGGTCAAGGACCACAGATCGGGCCAAATATTTTCCCGTCCGGCCCGACCTATATTATCAGTCCTTAAGCACCTTTTCATTTTACCTCTCCACTACTTACATTTTCTTTCTTCGTTAAGCGGGTCTCCCATGGGATCCCCTTTTCTTTTCCTGACCCTGTTCACGTCATCACTTACGGCCCTCGTATGAGAATTTGTCTATGGCGTTTGTCAACCTCATGCATAACAATATTTGACTAACTCAATATAACCATTAATTCTTGCAGAATCTTTTGCACTAAGCTCATTACAATAGTTGGTGGCTTAGAAATGACCATTGTGCTGTTGATCGATTGCCTTTCAATCAATACTCGCAATTCTTCCTGAGAGCTTTATTTCCCCTTGGGAAAGCAGTAAGCAGAATAAAGAGATATCATAATTTTTAATCTCAATTTAGCAAAGATCTAAAATTGTGGAGCATTTCCATCGTGCGCGTGTTCAGTTTTAGTGACTTGGTGGTAAGCTACTGCATTCGATTATCATAACATATCCATCTTTTTAGTGAAAGGTGTTCTTTCCTCTTGTCACTTACTTGGGACAAAGAAAAATTCTGATTCGCCCTCTTTTCGCCAGGTAAGACGAAATCTAGAGGGAAGAACTGATCACAGATTTTCGTGCAAAGTACAATTGTAGGATGACAAAATTGAAAAAAATATGTTCTTGAGCGAAAATATTGTGTTCTTCGTAACTTCCATTGCAAAGTTAAAATGAGTCGGAAAGTGAAAAGTTTGCGTGTGAAAATCCAGTGTAGCTAAGTTACTTTGAGACGCTTTGAATAGTCACAAAGGACGCTGGCATCTTCCACCACTGATATCGATTCATGATCAGTTGGTTTCGTTACTGCTGTTTGAAAGGGTCATGAGAAGAAAATAAAAGCCAAGAATTGTCCATATATGATGGGGTCTTGGCGTGGCCTAAAACATGTTCACTTCTCTGTCGAATTTACTTATGTTAATTCGAGTTGTATATTGGTTCAATCAACTAGTACATTTCTTATTTTCATTTTGAGACGCTCTGATTGAGCGCGAAGGATTTCGGAATCTTCCACAACTGATAATCAGTCTGTTGGTTTTGTTACTGCTGTTTGAAAGGGCAATGTAAAAAGGCGAAAATTTACAGTTGTCCATAAATGAAGGGAGTTTTGGCGCGCCTTCGATCACATACTCTTTCGTTTCGCATATATTTACATCAATTTGAGTTGCATTTCAGATCGATCGAGAGAAACGTTGTCCCATCTGCCCTCAAATCTACGTAAACAATCGGTGGCTGGAAAATTTTTCAAAATGTGTCTCACATCAGGTCGCGCGTTCACATTCTTCGTTGAAGGAGACGCTTTACCAAAACCTTTCGATTTAAAACTAAACATGTGCATCGAAGTTCTTAACAAAAAAATTCAAATGCAATGCAAATTTTAAAGTTATTACATTCAATTGATTAAGGTAAGTCTGGTGATTTTGGGATGCCTTCGACCGACCTCCGTACGATTAATTTCCTTTGGAAATTTTTTTCAAGCAGGATGTTGGTCACAAATATCTAAAATGAGAATGAGTAAGGCCTTTAGCGTTGTTTCTTTCTTTTCAGTGTAGTGAATTTCCCTCACCCACTGAATTCTTCCCGACTCTTTAATCCATCTTACAATGGAATGAGGACTGTTGTGCTTTCGAACATAATTTGAAGCTCTGCATGTTTATTCATGAGAGTGCATGTCCACTGACACTCGTTGTTCTCCGTCAAAGATAAAATTTGTTTCTTCTGCCCAAATTGCATATGAGCTGAATAAGGGCCCGAACGCACTACACCAGTTTCGTTTATTGCAAAAATTATGCAGATATATTTGTCTTCAGTTTTGGTCTTTAAGAGCGCGCAGTTTTCTTTTTTTTTCTACCAAACTTTTATCGAGCCGTACCAAGCATTTAAGTCGACTTCGTCCTACCGAGGAGCTGGTATTTTTTTTTACATATGGAGGCGTTGATGTGAATGAAATTGTCGTGCGATCACTCAAGTAAATTAATTTGATGCCTTCAGGTAGACGAAGCCCGCAAAAATATCTAATTTTTGGCGGCGTTCGAGCTGCGATAAACATACATTTTCCTGCAAACGGAACCTAGAGGAAAATTTTCATCTCAACGTGATTGAAACCATGTGGTTATTTTAAAAATATACGGGTGTTTTCAGGTGTGTACGCGATTACCAAATTCAAAATTTGGTGGAAACAAAATTTGTCAAGATATTTTGCAGAACAGAACAATTTTTAACCTTGTGCACACGCTAACTAATTCAATACTAAAGCTGTTATAGTATAATCGGCGATTAGAATATTTCCTTTGAATAGAAAATATCTCTACAGTACCGGAAACGAGTTTTCCTGGGTAGACGACTGAAAACGTTATTCGACTAAAGGAGCAATGCTAGGATACACATTGCGTCAGGGTTTGCTAACTTGCCTTAAAGAAGTAACACTCATTTAGATTTGCCTTTGGGTTGGGAAAAACCAATGAAACAAGAAGGGTAGGAGCGTAATTCCTAGTGAATTTGTAGGGTCGAGATTAATATTTTTGTGTTTGTTGTTTTAATAGATTTTAAGTACCCAGAGGATGACTCAGTTCTTTGAGCATATTATCCCTTTTTGGTTGCTTCTGGCGTTATGCATAGGTAAGGATCAACGGGCAATATCATATAATATTAAAAAAAGGTATAGGTTAAATGAAGATATATCCTGACTCGGCGAGAGAATATCAATTGATATCCTCTTGGACTCGACCATATCTCTTGACTGTACATTTACAAAACCCACTTCGGGCAAGGAGTAATATTTGGAATTGAACACTGTTAGGAAGATTTCAAATGTGCTTTTCCTCAGCAAAGTGTGAGCAAGAATGAAGAAAAAACAGGTAATTGAGTCCCAAGAGCCCGAAACTTCGTGCATGCATGCAAACACACGGTTGATTGTATATTTTTTTGTTTGTTTTTTTTTACGTTGCAGTTAGGAGGAAATAACTACACGAAAACAAAGAGAAGCTGGAACTAAATAATAAGCATCCAAAAAAAAAAATACCAAAGCTCACATTATTTTAGATTTCAATACAGCTAACAAAAAAAACTTTCAAATCAGCGAGATATTTCAAAATTTGCCTTTGAATTTGGGTATCGAGAATTGCTTTTTCGCAGAATTTTGTCAATGTTTTGACATGCAATTACGATTTTTTCGTATCCTGATTTTCGTAAATGATGTGGAACTCGGTAATTTGATTTGTGGAGATTTTAAGTAAAACAGAGGAAAGTCCGGACAGGGATAATGTTTCGTCATTTCGTTTTTTGTGTGCGAAATGGATAGAAAGCAATGACTTGCCTTGTCGAAATAAGCAACACCTTGCAAACAGCCATGAAATTTGTAAATTATTGTCTGCGTCCAATCTCAATCTTTAATGTAGTAAAATAGTGTGGCGTTTTAACTTTCAGGCAATGTTAATACTAAGGCATTACAAAGAACGCCGGCAGAGGACTTGAACAACAGGGAAGATTTCAAAAAGCAACTTGAAGATTTAACGCAAGTTATAAAGAAACTTCAGGATGAGTTTGAAAATGACGGTAAGATAAGGACACCCTGAGCTGACTTATAATCTTTATTAGCTCACATCGAACTATTACATTAATAGATAGACTTCTTCGTTCATTGCAATCTACATCTTAGTCGTTCTTTGGGATGTTACACAACGCTACTCTTCCCGACTTCCCGAACCAAGTGGCGGTTCTTTCGAGGTGATTGTTGCGTGACGTGCTAAAGGACAACTGAGAAGGAGAAAACATTAATTGATGAGGCTTTGTCAAAAAAAGATCCTTTGCACGTCGCATTGCCTTGTCTTTGTGTAAACAACATGTGGTTATTAGTTTGAAATAGAAAGCAAAAATTTAAAGGTAAAATACCACCTCACATCCATTGCGATAGCACGCACAAAAAAAACCGCGTAGCAGAATCATGCTACCATGTTTAAAGGTCAGTTACGCATACATAAACAGCCAAACAACAACAACAACAACAACAACAACCACAACAAAGAATGAAATAAAAAACAGGGATGCTGAAATTGATTCTGAGGTTGCTGGCAAAAATGGAAGAGTAAGAATATTTGCATGATCCGCGAAAAATATAAAGTTACATGGCCACCAACATCAATCAATACTTATCTCTTTCTTGGTTTCTTTTTTAAGGTAACCACAGAAAAAGAAACATTTTGAATTTGCGTGACTCTGAAGAAGGAGAAAAGAAAGGAGGAAAGGAAAAAAATTCATCGAGAAATAACATGGTGAGTGCCAACTTTGTGGCATAGAAGTTGAACTACTGGGTAATTCAGTTCTGTAGTTCAATTTCTTGTAGTGTCGAGAATAATGTATTTAGTTCAGAAAACGAGCATTGTTTCCAAGAAACACCATCTTTCACCTCCTAAAAATACGTCTTTTTTTAAAATTTATATGAGCTAACGTTGTTAATGTGACGGTAGGTGTCCTGGTCTTTCCTGAATCATGTCTAAAATACCAGTCAGTCGGCTAAACAAACAATGCTTTGACTTACTTTTGCTGAATCTGGATTCTGTGACTTAAATTGCCTGTTCATTTTCATGTGCATCCACTGAAATTGAGATCAAGCAGGCAGACAGCGATTGCCTGCAATGGATCATTACTTCAAATCAATACATCAAAGTAAGGATGTCATTAATCCTTGCTCTTGACACTGTAGTCCTTATCATTCCTTTTCTAACTTCAATGGTTCCCGGTAACCACTTCGATCTTCCTCAAGGAAACTTCTTTATTTAACCAAACGTGGTTTGGTAATCCATTCGCATCCGAAAAGTGTTCCTTGATCTTTTGATTAAAATAATATTTGAGACACATTTTCAATGTGTGCTTTACTTCTCCTTCCAGTTCAAAGGAACAGCTCTTGGGGAAAAATTGTTGGAGGCCGGGGTCAATTTACTGACAAAGGAGTTAAACAGTAGAGTAAATACCAAAGAACAGGAAAAAAAATCAGACTCTGGGTCCAAGGTGCTTATAACATTTGAATCAAACAAAATTATTTACACTCTATTAGTAACGTTGTTGTGATGTATTTTAGGTATTTCAATTTGAGTGTGTATTGGTGTCAGTGTATGGATTGTCTCTTTCAGTCGAGAATAAAAAATTTTAGCATTCTATCATCGAGTGCAGCTCCTGACACCGAAGGCTGAGGTGCAGGTCCGTTATTAAAGCCAGCAGACAAAAAAAAGTGAGACAAAGAGAGAGAGAGAGGGAGAGAGAGGGAGAGGAGAGAGGGAGAGAGGGAGAGGGAGAGAGGGAGAGAGGGAGAGAGAGAGGGAGAGAGGAGAGAGAGAGAGAGAGAGAGAGAGAGAGAGAGAGAGAGAGAGAGAGAGAGAGAGAGAGAGAGAGATAGAAAAGGCATCCTCCATCAGTTACGATTGGGAGGGCATGAAAATCTTACATTGTAAAAACGAAGCTAAGCTTATCCTTTATCCTCATACTTTATAGATCTTTAACTTAATTTTCCAACAGAAAAATGCCAAAGAGACATTGCAGAAGAGAGTGAACCCAGCTGTGGCCGCGGCTGCTGGCGAAAAAGCTGTGGAAATGGGTGGTAAGATGGCTGAAAAGCAAATGGAAAAAATGGAACAGCAACAAAATAAAGTCGACCAATTTCTCGGTTCCGAGGTTAGTACATTCTTAACTTCTCTAAGATTCTTTTCACTCCGGCTTAACCTTCGCCATTAATAAAAAGTTAAAAGTGGATTCCCCGAACAGTTTCAATACACTATCCAGCAATGAGGATTGCTGAGGATCATGAGAGTTAAAAGGTTTAATGCAGTGAAGACTCTAGTGATTTGTTTTGGTCCGGCACTAGAGGAATGTGGAGTGCAGGGAGACTTTTCTTATGACTAAGCAGTTAGTATTTCAAGAGTTTGTCGAATATTTTTTTATCAACGAGCTGACACATACAGTACTGCAGGGCGAGATCCTCGAAAAATTATTCGAGAGTCTCGATCCTCGATCCTCGATCCTCGATCCTCGATCCTCGATCCTCGATCCTCGATCCTCGATCCTCGATCCTTGAATCTCGATAGTTTCGAGTAAAGAGGGTCGAGTCGAGACTGTCAACTTACCTTTGAGAAGTACTGTAGTCTTTACAATTGCTAATACTTTACTTGAAGATAAAACTTGACATCACTGGTGACAAAGGTTGGCAGACCGATGACATGTTCATTCCGCCTGGTTACCACATGGATGCAAAAGTTGTTCCGGAATCAAAACCTGCACCAACTGTGCAAGGACAGCAGCCATTTACATTTCCATTTGGAGCTGGTGGATTGATAATGAACGGATGCTTTGGAAGTGGATATCAACCTGGTGATCGTTGTTATGACGCCACGTGGGCAACCACCAAATGTATTGTGAGTTCAGCGGGATTTACTTACATTTAAGTGACACAAAAAAATCCCAATTTAACACGCAGAGAAGAAACAGAAAATACGCTACTTGATAAAAATAAAATAATTTATGAAAGCCATTAAAAAAAATGAAATCTCTCACAATATTAACTTGAACTAGTATGTACAGTGTAAGAATCAAGGGTTTGTCAAACAGTGGTTACAATTACTCATTAGAATCTCCAAACGAGAAGTAAAAAGAAAGGGAAAATAAGCATTTTGATAAAGATCAAATGATTTATGACAGTCATGATAACTGAAATATCTCACAATGGTATCTTTAACTAGTATGAACATTGTAAGAGTCAAGGGTTTGTCAAACAATAGTTTCAATTTGAACGGTGCATTCACGTCGTAGGATCTGATACCTGGAGCCACATTTGTGGGAGTTGGCTTTGATGGCCGAGGAGACTACAGTCCTGAGTCCAGCAGAATGGATCTTGTACAGAGAGCCTGTGCTCGGAAACAAAGGTAAAGACATCAGGCGGTGTAAACAAGTAAACCAACTTCCCTTTGTGCATGTGTTTGTCGGAAGAGACTCACGGTATTGTGGGACTGTTTCGTAAAGATTTTGAGGCGAGTGCTGTTAACCAAGTGTGAAAAGATTCTGAAAACATTGATTACTGCAACAATTTTTTTAATTTCCAAGGTTGATCTATATTTCAACTGGAATGTTACCCAATAACAACTCTTTACTTAATATGAAAACTGGTGCTTTGCGGGATATCGTTCGCGGTTCTATAAGTATTAAGGAGAAAATACCCGACGATACCTAATCCAATCGTATCACAGCCCTTACATTTGTACTTCGCTACCGTTCAAAAGGCTGTGTCTCTTATTAAATCTGTATCTGTAGGATACTAGGATGCTTTCCTTTACAATAAGCTCACTCTGTTGACGAGTGTACTGGCTAGTTCTATTTTTGCGTCTTTTTCTATGTCTAGAAACTCAGAGTTGATAAACTTTGCTCCAAACAACATTTTCCTTCGCGACGTACATCAGATTCTCTAGTGGTGTCTATACAAGCACTGTAATTTGTTTCTCTCTTTTTAGTATGTGCTAGGGTAGTACGATTTCTTGCGAAATAGTATCTCTGATCTGCCAATCATCATTCATAAGTTGAAAACAGAACTAGAAATTTCTCTCCACGACATATGTCTAAACTGCGTGTAAAAAAAATTATGACATAAAATTAGCTTCAGTAGTTAAGACCATTAAACGGTGTCAGTAAAGTTCTCCAAGTTAAAACTAAATCAAACGAATCTTACGGTCTAGATACAACGGCAAAATGATTCCCGACACAATGAAGCTCCTTGGAGTATACGACACAAGTGCCAATATGCAGGTATTCTACAGTCGGTCTGAATACCAAAAATATCTAGAACAGCAGTCAGGCGTCTCCGGATCCGGCTTTGGTTTCTATGGTGGGGTGAAAAAAGCTTGGGGAAGCACAGCTACTGAAGGCTCACAGAAATATCTCGCTGTATTTGATATTGATGTTGACAGGTAACAAGCACCAATGATTATGTCTTAAACAGCGTTAATTAAGTGCATGTCTAGTTTGTATTATCAAAAGAAGCATGAAACTTTCTAGGGTATTTAAAAGGAACTAAATGTTTTAAATCAAATAAGGAGACATTTATTTGGTGTTCATATTGACACTAGTGGTCCATTAGCAGTTTTCTGCCCGTATGAGCGAAAAGATTATCTACATTCTACTTTCAGCACTTCTGCTAGAGTAATCGTATCTCACTACTATCACTCTTCTAGGTATGAAATTTTTATGGATGTGGTGAAGCCTGACAATTTGAACGTCGGATTCCTTCGTGAGTTCATGATGCTTCCAACCTCATACTACGAGCCAGGGGCAGCTCTAAAATTTCGTGAGTTAAATTTTATTTCTTTTTACTCCCCTCATCCAGCCTTGCGATGCCTCTTGAAAATATCCATCAGGATTAATTGTTGTTTTACCGCTTTTAGAGGATTTTATTCAACGCTTTGGAACTCACTACATCAAGGCAGGACGATTCGGTGGCCAACTTGAGATCCGCAAAAGCATGGATGCACAGGAGGTGTCATCTAAAACAGAGTTTAGCGAGGTTATGGAATTTGAATTTAAATCTTTCTTTGCCAGTGCTGGCGCCAGAAAGAGCGACACAGAAGGTGAAAGACAAAGGTCCCAAACCAAAACCTCTTCCACCTCTATGTCTGTCCAAGGAGGGAGTCAGGAGATTGCGGCTGTCATTTCTGATGTCTACGCTCCCACGTTTAAAGCTGAGTTTAAGGAATGGCTTAAGTCAATTCCCACGTTCCCAAAGGCCTTCAAATTCACAATCGGTTCTATAACAGAATTGCTGAATTTCCGATCTTCTGACCTTTTTCCCGATGCAGCACCAAGTTTTGGATGTGAAGCACACAGAGCTGAGTTGCGGAAAGACTCAAGGACTAATAAACACTACTACAATGCAACTGTCAATGGAACTGTCGTCAAAGAGTTCTGTGAATATCTCAGCCGAGAGGCACTTGAGTACTCTATCCGCCAGCGGAGAACTTCATTGAAGAGAGCAATTGATGTTTATATGGAAGAGGTAGGCTATATAGTTGTTGACTGTGTGGGTGCATAGGCCGGACGGGAAAATAAATGGCTCGAGGTCATAACTTGAGGACTAAGCAAAGTCAGGTCCGTGCCTCATGGCCGAGAGCCAAATATTTTCAAGTAAACCCCGACCTTACTCAGTCAATACGCATTTTATCTATTTATAACCGCCGATCTTCCATTTTCTTGCCTTTCTTCTTTTAACTCGCATCTTAGCGTAAGGCCCTAATGCGTTTTTTTTCCTCGTGATTTTCAATAATAGTGCGCCAAATGGTTTCAAAAAGGGACTAAGTTTTTCATTTCACTCAGCTCGCTAGTCGGTTGCGACTATCGGTGAGCGTTTTTTTTTCTTTCCTCTTTGATTTCCAAATAGGGATCAATCTCGGTATCTGACATGTCACTGGCTCCTGGCATACCTGGGTGCCAAACACAGAACTACAAGTATCAAACGAAAGCTGGAAGGCCATCATGGGTCGAGATGACCAAGCACCAAGCTTCCTTCAAAGTGATCTTTAAAATGGACAATGACTTGACAGGTTCCTACCATGGAATGGTCAAGATTCCAAGTCAGTTGGAGTGTTTCGTAAGGTTCATTGATGGAGAGTGGGTAGTCAGTAAAAGTGATGACAAATTTGACTTTTTTAGTGGTTGCAAACGCGGTGGTAGCGGGAACGTGGACTCTGGAGATCACTACCTTTGCATTTATGGATTAGTGCTCAAATACGACGAAGAGAGAGGAGCACTGAACGTCGACGAACAGGGGTTCAACATTTCAAGAAAGACTTTCCAAAAGCTAGATACGAACTTGATTGGTGGAGAGATAGCCAGGGTGGAATGGCCAGCCGAGCACATATTTCAAATGCAGGAGGTAGTTGGTTATTTGCCATGCAACGTGAAATGGTCAAATGCTCTAAGGTTTGACCCTGGTCAGGGAGGAAAATGTCTCCATTTTACCGCTTCAACTAAAGGCACAGTTTTTGTCATCTTTTCTGTCATTCCTAAGGACAAAGACACTTGGTACTATGTGCAGATTTCTCCTCATGGGGTTGGAATCTTTAAGGTAAAGTGTAAATATAACTAGAATGTTAATCATTGAGTGTGCTCCTTCTTTTTGAGGATTTTAGCCTGAAAGAGCAACGAGCAGCATTTAAAGAGAGGAAAGAATTACAAATTCTTAGACCTCGGTAATGTGAAATGGCTTGAATTTTGTTGCATACATACATACTGATGCTTAGAATATAAATTTCATCGTTAGTAACTGAAGCAACGATCAAAGAAGGCACATTCACTCCTAAAAGTATTCTAGTCATCAGCCGGCTGTTCGTTCAACTTTGCAATCTATTTACAGTCACAGGCTCTGAAAGTGTCAAGTGTGGATGTCGATGCAGTTGGATTGGGAGATGAAATCTTGTACCAGCCATATTTTGTTTGTGTCAAACAAGAACCCGATGCCACTGTCATAGAATACGGGAAAAGTCAAGGCACCACTGAGAAGGGAGAGATCTACCTATCCATGATCGACAAAGAGAAGCCGAACCTTCACGTACGATTTTATGCGTTTGGAAATGGAGAGGACGCATTGGAAATCACTGACGCCCATGTACTTAAGCGCAGCTTTACCAAAGCGGAATGCAAGGGAGACACATCAAAAGACGAAGGAACCAATACATGCGTTCAGAAGTGTCACGAGATGTGTGACCCCTTAAAAGGTAAAATTATTCGCTGCTTCATTTCTCCCTTACAGAATGACTGATCTTTCCTAACTCTGAAGCAAAACCAGTTGCAGGATTGTTGTCGAATGGATAAGACGTTTGTCTTTTCTCCTTAGGTTGCAGGAGTACTTCTAGTGGAGAACCACTGCCAACGGATTGCAACGCATGTTTGTATCTAGAACGAGTTGATACTGGAGAATGTGTCAAGACCTGTCCTGAAGGATTCAGAGAGAAGGACGGAACATGTGTCCCAAGTGAGCTTTGTCAATTGATCAATGTATTGGCTTTTTGACCAAATGATTTCTGATTGAGCAAACAATTTTTACTGCAATTTTCTGAGATATTATCAATTTTTTAGGAGGCTGCCAGAAAAATCCGTGCAGGAATGGAGGAACATGCAAAGATCTAGGGGATGAGAAATATGACTGCCAATGTACAGAAGATTACCGGGGCGATCATTGCGAGATAGGTCTGTTTATCGGTCTTTTCCGCTATAATTAGTCTATCATTGGTTAATCCATAAACTTATCCTTTATACATTGTGTCAAATAATAATACTGACTTCTAACCCTCGATAAATTAACGCAGACTACTCTCCTTTCCATCCCATTAGGATACAAAACAGGATATTTCATGAAAGCATTTAGGAGGTCTCAATTTGTTCGGTACAATCTCCTATAGCGTTTTGGACAAATGTTAATTGAACTTAGCCGTTACTCTTATCCGTCCGGTCGCTTTTTATACTGAACCTACACAAAGAGCTTCATCCTTAAATTTTGTTCTAGACCATCATTAAAAGTGAGAGAATCTGGACCACCTGTTGTCTGTTTTAGTCTTACGGTCCGCGAACGTGGAGAGAAAACGAATATATTGAATTGTTGACGTTTGAACTACGGCTCATGCACTCTTTGTCGCTTCCCGTCCTCCTTTGGTCTCAATCGATCTGCTCATATAGTTCATGCTCCATAAGGAGAGCAGTCAGTCTTGAAGGAATTGTAAACCTGCACGTTGTTGCATGCTCAAATGAGGTAAGGTTCGAATGTTACTCTGTCCTTAGAATCGGCGACCTTTTTGATATATAGCTATACCGTACAGTTATAGTTTTATATTCTTGTTGAAATCAACCAAACGTCTTTTTTGTTCCATTTAATTTTCAGCTGCTCATCCATGCGAATCAAGTCCGTGTAAAAATGGAGGAACTTGCGATGAGGATCCTCAGAATCTGGGTCGTTTCTCGTGTTCTTGTGCTTCAGGATTTGGTGGAGAAACATGTGAAATTGGTAAGAAAGATAGATCATAAAAACAGCAAAAAGTCCACGAGACTAAACCCATCATGTATAAGCCATATTTGGATAGTAGTAGTTTTTAGGTGTTTTTGGCTTAATCCTGTTTTCAAAGTCCGAGGAGGATGTAGAAATCAACAAGCCTGTGTCACAAATATTGCATCGTTTGAGTTACAATCCTACGCCTTTGCTCTTTCCAATATTATTCACGCAATACTTGAGGCAGATGCAGCGTTATTCCCTGAACTGATGACGTTGAATCCAGAAATATTTTAGGAAGTCTTACTTCTGGGATGAAGGGCTGTACGGCGTATTTAGTCTCCTAGCTTGGACCTCTTGGGTCATAACTGGTCTTCAGGGCGAAACAACTTGTTTCAATGATAGGAAAAGAGTACGTGACAATGTTAATGGACTTTGATATTGAATTCGAGTAGTTTATCGGCCTGTCATCGAGATTCCAACATTTTAAGGAAGGCGAAAAGCGTTACCATTGAATAACATACTAAAGACCACACTAAAACAATCCTCGGGTACTTCGGTCGTGTGAGATCAACAGGGAGTGCCAACAAGCATTGTAAGATTGCTCCTTTACTAAACCTGAGAGCTATTTGGGTTTTCTCGTATAACAAGTTTAGCCACTGCAGGAGAGGCCTTCTCGTGTCAGCCGATCCAGAGGTGTATAGAAAGAAAATGGTAATAACGAAAAACGGGTTCGTTGAATTGCGTTAACCATTCAGTGAGTAAAATCTCTAACATATGGCTCGTACATAACTTTGCGATCTTCTTTTGAAAGAACTCTTCAATCGGCCATTTTGGCGTCCGTAAGGTGTAAGTTTGGGAAAAATCCTCCCCGTTGCCATAGAGAGAGGGCCATCATAAGATAACGAACAAGTAGTAATTTAAAAAAACTGCCTTCGTGGACAATGAATCGAGTGGTCTCTTAGATTCACACCCGCCCGGGCGGTATGCAAGGCCAGATCAGAATAAGAGTGATGCACCATTTTTTTTTCAGGCCGCGCGGTCGGCTTAGTAACAAAACATTCTCCATTGGGTCTTTCAGATGAATGTCCTGACGGTTGGACAGAGTTTGACGGTTTCTGTTACAATTATGATGAAGAACGGGAAGTCCACAGCCTTACAGAAGCAGTGTCAGTTTGCGAAAAGTTGGATGCAGACGTCCTGGTCATCAACTCTAGAGAGGAAAACGAATTCGTAAAGGATTTGGTTCCTAGTGCATGGCTTGGGATGAGGTATAGCTACAGAGAGCGTGGATATGGAGAATGGAAATTGTTAGATGGAAAGGATCCTCTTTTCAATCTGGCGGAATCGTGGCCTATTTCAGGTTATTACAGTCGGTATCGGGGAAATCATGATGACATTTGTGTAATCGTCAGCCGTGACGAAAGAGTTTGGGAACCTACGCGCTGCTATTTCGGAGTGGCGCCTACAGTGTGCAAGCGGCCGGTTGGAGATCGAGAGGAGAGTAACGTGCGGAGGACTTCATGATATCAAGAACGCCGTGAACTGTAGAGTTTTGAGAAATGTTGATCTGATTTGAGCCTGAAGCTGTTGAGTACTGTGAATACAAAATTGTCATACTCTAAAAGTAATAAGCTACAGCTCCCTTCTTGGTTTCCAGCGTTCCTTGGCTCATTATCACTCACCCACTTATTTGAGTAATTCAGTAACTTTTATTTTCACATGTTAGTTTAGATGCTGTTTGGCGACGTAGATCAGAAGAATTCAGTTTAGCACCTGAAGTTAGGGGGTAATAAAGCATGCATAGGGTATACTTATTAATTTTTTATGACGTCAGTTGAAGTTCCGTTTTCTCGTAGTATTGCCGATGAATCAATTTCATAAAATTTCGGTATTGACTGTCTTCTTCTAAGCCCGCAAATATGTTAATGATATTTTTAGGGGGTTGGAATTTGATTTTTTTTGTTTCAATCTTAAATGCAATGAAGTTAAATCTTCTCTCAAAACGCTGTTGGTGGAGAACAAGACCGTGTATTTTTCGCCAACAATGGTCATCATTTTCTCTTTTTTTCTCTGAATTTGATAAGGAAAGATTTGTGTGATTTTAAAGCTATAAAAGCTTTAAAAATTTGAATGTTTTCATTCCTGTACTTCTTTTATCAATAAAGTGAGTTCGTGTGTGAATATAACATGTGGTGTTCTTTGCCATGAAACCTTTAACTCCCAGAAGTGATTAACATGTAACGTCTCCCTATAATATCCATACATTATCCAGCAAGCAGGTAATGAGAAAACAGGAATACAATTTGGTAAGTCTAGCCAGGAGTGAAGATCTGGTCCGATCTTAGATAACGACAACTTTGCGAAAGAATAATACTAAAGTACATTTTCATTTGCCTGTTTACGACGGTAAGAAACTCCGTGATAATGTTAATTTTGCAATGCATTTTTAAATTCGTAAGGCTAGTTAGCCAACAATCGGCTCAGTTTTGGTTACCCAGCCAAAGACATGCAAAGGGGAAATAATTAGCCTTTCAAAAGACCACTGAAGCCAATATGTTTGGGGCTCTACATACAAAGATTTTCAGATATTTTACAGATCCTACGAATACTGGCCGTATTTTCTTTCTCGTTTCCTTTGCTACAAGCCCTCTAGTTATTCTAGTACAATACCACTGAAAGTTGGATTTCTTTTCGCCTATTCCTGTTCTATCTCCGCAAACGTGTGTTTCTCAGGTAGCGTTCAATACAACGCACATCCTTCCTGTTTTGGCTCCTGATGTCATTTTTTCCTCGAATGACGTCACTTGCCATTAGCAGCAATTTGTTTGGGTAACAAACATTCCCACATAAGGTCAAGACTTCTAAGTTTGAACGGAAATAGCACTTACGTACAAATCAAATTGTCTAAAATGCCCTCGCCAACCGTTGATATGAATTATTATTGTCAGGGGCAAAACAAAGGGAAATACTGCATCTGAACGAAAAAGAAATCAGACCAAAACGGCCACGAGAAGAATAATAGACAATTGTACAAGTTTAATTACTTAATACCTTTTCCTCCGCTTATTAATTATTAGGTAGCAAGTTGCTATGGCCTAGCTTATAGAAACTCTTGACTGAAAGACTCACTTTATGAGATACATGGCGTGTATACATTTTTCGACCAAAGTCTAGATTCGGTATTTCAAGTTACAGGTTCCCTCCTGTTAAAAACTTTTTAAAAACACATTTGATCGATTTACGTCTCTCGTTGAGGGAAGGATATCGTGAACATGATGCGACCTGACAAGGCTTGTCAAGACGGCATGGGCAAACCCTCTCGCTTGTGTACGTTAACATTTTTCGTGACTGTAGCTTTGCACTGTAGCAGTTATGAATCGGCGTGTAATATTTGAAATCGCCGATTTGCTGACGTCGAATGAAAGTATTGTTACAAGTGTAAGAGAAGTACTGAAAGTACAAGAAATGGCGAACATCGTGGCACGCTCCGGAAGAGCTACGACAAGGTTGTCACTTGTCTGCGATATCAAAGCAAAATATTTTTCATGCTATGGTAACTACGAAGTGGATGGACAAAACACGTTTTGCTAATTTTCAGTATTGTTGTCCCGTTTCTGCCTCCTGAGGAAGCTTACAAATGAAAAAGGAAATACTAAAATCACTGGAGTAACGCCACTTTGATCAAATTCAAAAGATTTTCAAACACAAAAGAGCGTGTCGCTTCGATGAAGAAGTAATATTTTACACTGCATTTCAGCTTATGTTAATTGTGATTAATACAAAATAAAATACTTGAGGCCGTATTTAACTTCTGACGGTTCAAACGTGATTGCAATATTGATCACAACTAGGAACTAAACTTAAAAAAGACATGACGCAAGGACAACCGATTTTCTTGAAATCAGAGACGGATGAGTTGTGTTCCGATTCTTCTGAAGTGTCATTCATTTGGTCGTTGTTTAAGCTAGAATACATGTTTTTTGATTTGAAAAATAGCCTAGATACAACAGAACAACCATAACGTTTTGCTAATTTTCAGCGATTGACTGTCGTATCTGCCTTATAAGGAACGCATGCAACTGACAAAAACAAATAAATTCATCGCTGAGCGCGTGTCTTGGTTGACCAAATGCTGAAGTAACGCAAGTAACGCCACATTTGATCAAATTCAAAAGATTTTCACATACAAAAGAAGTGAAACGCTTCGATGAAGTGGCAATATTTTACATTTCATTTCAGCTTACTTTCATCGCAATCTATAACAAAATAAAACGTTTGAAGCCGCATTTTAACCCCTGACGGTTTAAAACGGGACGTGACATTGATCACAAGTAGGAACCAAGCTTAAAATGGATATTACGCAAGGCCAACCAAAGTGCTTTATGCTTCAAAATTAGTGAAAGACAAGTTGTCTTCTGATTCTTCTTGAGACATATTCATTCAGTCGTGTTTTAAGCTAGAATATATGTTTTTGATTCGAAAATCGCATAGAAACTGCTGTACAAACATAGTGGTACTTGAAATGTGTAAAGCGCTCTTAACTTGCAAATGAAATGAACCGGAAATAGAGTAAAAAGGAAGCAGAGTGTTTTCGCAGTCCAACATGTGATTGGTGGAGACAGAGTCACTCCACTGTTTATGCGTCGAACGCATGCGTCAAAATTTGAAGCTTCCTCTTACAGTCAAAATTTTATATTTTTCTAGTTGTTCAAGAAGTTTTTGTATGATCTTCGAATCGTTTTGGTGCTACATTTGGTTATTGCTACGATACACTGAAGGAATATCCTGTATATTGCTAGAAACTGAGCGAATGGAAACGCTAGATTAATTTATCACGGAAAATCTGTCGCACCTGTGAACTGGCCCTTCGATATTCTTCAGAAATCGTCATCGAACTTTGAACATCCAATGTTTGTTAAACTAGAGGCTGTATGTTTTAGGAGACATCGATCTAAAAAACGCCATGAAGAGAAAATGGACTCCTAAACAAAATGGCTGAAACTAATAATCGAGGTAAGCAAAGATTTGTTGTTTTATGGAAAGCAGACACTGTGATCATTCAATGAGAAAAATATCACTTTGGTGTACTTTCCTGAAGTGTTGTTTAGTTTGAACTGTAGCTGCTGGGACTATGACATAATAACATTTTCGTATGAGCCAAAAATTGTACAAGGAGTTTTTACATAGCTTTTGCTTAATCATGATAATTGTACTCAAGATTTTGTTGCAATTTTCATTCAACGATGATCGACCGGTCTCAACGATATTGTCGACATCGCCGTCTGACCTACAAGGTTTGCCTCAACTCGTCGAATCCCTGTGATTAATTACTAAGCTTAAGTTGTAATTCTCATGTTGTAGAAGATGTCAGAACCTCCACCGCTTCAGAAAACGGGCTTGTTCTTCCGTGGGGACAGCCACCAGAGCGGCATACAACCGCTGCTGCATCTGATGTCACTCCCGGCGAATTTGTCCTGAGACATTTATTCAAAGACTTCACTGATCTTGCCGAGAAAAAGATCGAAACTATTCTGACCGAACCTTTGGTAAGCCTTTACATAAATATTTATTTTCGATCCATAGTTTTGGCGAGAGCGGGCTTCGGGAAAGATTAGTGAGTGACAGTGATTTCTCGATGATGTGGACGATAAAAATATCCTTACCTCCTACTTGCGAGGTTTGTTTACAATTTTTTGACCGTATCTTGTGCCCGATTTTGGAATAATTGATGAGTTCCAATTTACCCGATAATAAAGAAACACTTTTTGTAGGAAATGCGGTTTCTTTGTCAGCCAAAAATGTTGATTTATTTAGTATCTTACGGTGACGATAAAATGCCCACCACGAGAAACAATGCCTAATTTCCAGACGGTGAAAATGAACTGTCTATATTCGGGGTAATTTGAAGGCGACAAGTATCATTGCGCGGGAGTTATTTATAAAACCGGAGGCGGTATTTTTGTAGTAACCCTGTACGCTGTCAAACGCAATCTCTTTGATTTGTCTGACAAAATGTTTTTATTCCGTGATTTCGGTGTAAATAAGATTTGTTTGTGAAGCATTGTGTAAACAGTCTACTGATGCAGAACGAATCTCCATTTTAGACCACACGCTTGGGAGTTTCGATTAATTTTGAAATATTTGTCGGAGTGTTCCGTCGAAAGCGTATCTAGGACAAGAGAATGTGATCATTACAACTTTCAGTTGTCATCGATCACACCCGCTGAGATATATTTCCCTCTAAATCCTTTTCTGTCGCTCCCAACTTCTGGAATGCAACCCCAGTCGTTTTCTTGCAAACGTGTTTTGAAGATCACATGTTGTGGTCTCCTGACATGAGCTGAGGAAGTAGCTATTGTTTCGTTTGTTTATTGAGCTTATTGTGTCTCCAGGTGGCCTGATCTTTATGAATGTACTACATGGCTGCGTTTGCATGCTTGAGTAACCATTCTTTGAAGGACCCATTTATTGGAGTATTTTCTTCCACCGTTTTACCTAACTCCCTCCGTTACTCTTTATTCAGGCTTGTCATGTCTGTGTCTTTTGAAGAGAGCTGTTAAGTGACTGATAGTAGACCTGCGTACGCGACAATAAGCATATTTATGAGTCGTTTCAATGGTGGAATCATCATCTCTGGTCATGATTAACTGTTTAAGTGGTTGTAATAATTCATAGGAAGTTGTAATGTGCAAATGAATCTTGATGCCCCAAACTGAATTCCTTAATGGGCATTTGATGATTATCTCCAGATTTTTTATGTAAGCAAGAGGTTATCATGGTGATAATCATTTTGTCTTTTGATCAAATGACCTTGGTTTTAATGTTAATTAGCTATGTTAAAGTTTAGGAAGAGCAAGTGTTTGTCTCCTAGGTAAGATATAGCTTATGCAGCTTTACCTTTGAGAGAGTGGCCAGAAGGAGGAAACTCATGATCTTGTTTTATGCCCAAATTAAAAAAAAAAAAAAATGGGTCACAGTAAACAGTATTTTATGCCCTTCAAACTTAAAAGGGAAAACTTTAAATCTCACCTTACCCTGCCTTTCTGTAAAAATTGACTCCTCACATAATACTTGGATGAATCACACACCACATAAAACTTTTGTGGCCCCCTTTGTGGCAGAAAATTATGGTTAGTGATTTCTGAGAGAGTTGAGGAAACTGTAGAAAAGACTATTTGTAATATTATGTATGCATAAATCTTGAACATGCTACTTCTCTGTGCAATATTGATTCATGATCCAGCAAGATGGTTATGGGAATTTACACTCTTCAACTATCATCAAAAGGTTTTAGTCTTGATGTACAGCTGTAAAGCCAAGTTGTGATATATTTGTCACAAGGAAATTTGTTATAGCTAGAGGGAAGAATCACTAAATAGACGTTTGTCTTTAAAAGGATCAAGATAATTCCAAGTGAAAAAAGCAAGAATATTCTGACATTTTGTTGTGCTAGGCAGAGACGCGTTCATCTTAGTGCATTCCTTATTAATTCTGTGTTATTTTTCCATTGGTACTTGACTGCCTGTATTGTTTAGTTTGTTTACCTCATCTTACTACTAGTAGTGTTTTTTTCCACTTTCTTTTCTGTTAAGCTTGTTATTTGGTTATTTTGTGTGGTAAATTTTTACTAAAATCTTGATAATGTGTTGTTAGTATATATATGACGCCATTATCAAGAGATTATCTAGGGAATGGTGATTTAATCCTAGATAATGAGGAGATGGAAGAGTTAAATTGAAGAGGAAAACAAAGATTTTAGTAAAAATAGAGTAAATTTTCTCATTTAAATTTGGGACTATCCAGTAGTTGAGAACCCCCTCCTTTTGTTTTTTTGACAAGGAAGAGTGAGGGAGGCAGATAGATACTTTTTCTGAATTTCAACATGCAAATTGATTCGATTTTTACAGAAGTCTTTGTTTTATGCCTAATGTTAATTTAGTCAACTTCTCTTCTCTTCTCTAAGAATAATTATCCTTTTCTTAATAATGGGTCACAAAGACCTTTTAGTAACCAAGGTAGAGGTTTTTACTGTAAGTTATGGACCAAGTTTTTCAGCCATAAATCAGAGCAGAATAAGTGAGGTTCCATAATGTACAGTAAGGACTGTGAAAATGAGTGAAGTGGTTTTGAATTTAACAGGCTGTACAGTGAAATAGTCTTCTAAACTGACTAATCATAGTGCACCTTTTAACTGAGGGGTGTAATAATGATTCTGGAACCTTTGCTTAGTTTCAGTCAGAAGTGTTTCTGTAATATTTGTATGTCATATCTCAAACAAATATTTCTTGCCCCTTTGATTGTTATGTCAGTGAAAAGTGGACATGAGGTCCAGCAGGACTGGACTGTACTTTTGACTCATGTAATTTTTTTCTTGTGATCACAGGAGAGACCACTGTCAAAGTCTCTTCAAAGAGGTGAAGATGCTCAATTTGACCAGGTATAACAACAAAACAATCATGATCTCATGTAGTCATACAAGAATACCCTCAATGAAGAGCTCAACTCTAAAAGGTTTTCCCCTTCTTCTCCCCCCCCCTAGTTAAAAAAAAACCCAAAATGGACTGGGTGATAGAACCTCCTTCTGTGGCTTTGGATCTGTCTACTTACCAGGACTTTCAAGAGATGGGCCCTGGGCACTTAATAAAACAAGTTTTTAAAATGGAGATTCTACTAATATAGACCTAATTTAGCACTTGACTGAGACTGTTTTTGTTCTTTCAGCTGCTGAATTCTCTCAACAGTGTGGCAGAATTTAGTCTCCCTTCTCTCTTGAAAACTTTATTCAAGTGGTATGAAAAGCAGGTAAGAACTTAACAAAATATATTTTTTATCTTGTCAGTGTGACACAAGATAAAAATCCCTAAACACCAGTAATTCTTGCTGCAATGCTCTAGCACCGAGTGAGTGATAAAATGATGGTCAGTTCGGTAGGAACTAATGGTTATTATGATAGTGGCTATCAACAGCAGTGTAACAAACGGATTCCATATGTCTCCCAGATCAAATTTGTCATTTTCCTTACTGTCAATGACACAATTCTTATAATGTTAGTTTAGATAATTATCCCCAAATTGCTATTTTTATTTATTCTCATCACTTATCTGGTTGATATTATATTGATATTGTAAGGAGAAAGTCTGTCTTGGTGACTCATGGGAGTTATAGGGTTAAGTGTGAGATCATAAATGAGGAAAAAATATCGATAAAAACATAAAAGTGGCCTGTGGGTGGTAGTTGAGTGTATTTCTGAAATTCTCACCACATTTTGACATTCATTGATAGCACATGTAGCTCTAGTGATCAGTTACATGTTCCCATCAGATGCATGGCAATATACAATGTAGAATCTATTTGTTTTATATATTTATGAAGGAAGTGAGATGTTTATGGTGACATCCTCTATGCCCCTATCTTCCGGTAGATCATTAATAAGAACTTAGAAAACTGTGTGTAAAATTTAGCTTATTATAATTACATACATTTCCAGTATTAAGTAACATGGAGTAAATTTTTTTCATTGTCGTCAGCAAATCAAGACTGGCGAGTTGGAAACTGATGGCCATAAAGGCAAGGCCAACATCTCCAAACCAAAGGGGTAAAGTATGAATTGATAATTATTTTTCAGTTTTCACTGCATATCCCTATACATGACTTTCTAGGACTACACTGTAAAACTGACTGCTTTGTGCTTTGTTGCATTAGTGGCAGTGAATCTCCAAAGCTCCAGAGCAAGTTTTATATCGGTAAAGATCACCTCACAGAAAGAAGGGATGTAAGTAACAAAGGAATGTTATGGAGCTTGATAATCTTTTAGAAGAACCTTGTTTGCATTCAAATTCATATTTATTGTAAGTTATGTTCTAACATTTTTTTTTTTTTCAGCTTGCGGTGGACTTCTTGTTTTGTTTAGTTCTTATTGAGGTCCTAAAACAGGTGAGTGCATGGTTAAAAGATAATGAGAGATGATGTGATTAATGGAGGAACTAATATAATTGTTAAATGTAATACACACAAGTAGGTTCCACATGCACATCAGCATAGCAGATGAAACAGCTCCAATTATTACAATTTCTATAGCTTGCAGCAACCAGAAGTAACTCCTATATGCTAGGGAAAAGATTGCATTTGATTTCAGGCTGATTAAAAAGTAATTGCAGCAGTTATAACAGTTTTCACCAAAATTGTTTTTATCTAGTTGCCAGTTCATCCAGTGGATGATGGGTATGTGCAGTACATTTTGTCGCTGGCATTCAGACACTTTAAACAAAGAGACAGCTACTCTGCCTCCCCAACAGCTGCCAATGGAGAAATTATTGCTGCTCTGTATGCTGAGGTGCTTGGTGTGTTGGCACAAGCCTGCTTTTTGTCTGTCAAGAAGAGATTTGTGGCTGAGTTTAAGGAGTACCAGAACAATCCTTCAGTATTCGTGAATATTATTTATGGAATGAAGTATTTAAGAATTAAGGTTTGTACACTTTTTTTATTATTTTGATACAAATTAATTTTGAGCACACTATAGTTGTGGTGGGTTTTTTGTGTTACCCTGGTTCAAAAAGCTGCGACATTTATCAGCCACAATATGGAGGGGAAATGTTTTTGATGTAAACATGATTGCTGGTTGTATTGTTTATTTCAGATCTTGTACTAATGTGGTTTTTACTTTTCCCTAACTTTAAATTTTACCGGAGTCTAAAGTTTTACTTCTGTCAATGTTTTTTATTTTTTAAAGTAAAGGTACAGATGCAGTAGGTTTGCCAAATGGCAATTTAGAGGAAATTTGATCTGTGGGCACTGTGCATTTTAAATTTTTTTTCATGGTCACCTAAAAAAAGAAAGTTGAATTAAAAAGTGTGAAATTTTGTGTCTCTTAGTTATATCCAGTTGAGGAGTTGGAAGAGTCTTTCAATTTTATGAGGGTAGGTACAGTTGTTTGCATAACTGCTTAAAGAATGGTACAAATTTTTCAAAATTAATTTTAATTTTCTGGGATTAAGGATTTGATTAGTGGTGGGACAACAGAATTTACATTTTAACCCCTTACACTCAAATATCAGTATGCATATTCTCCATACTGTTCATCATACATTTCTTAAGGTGCTGGTAAGGAGAATTTGTTTAAAAATCAAGAGCCTCTTTTGTTGATGATCATTTCCTTTACTCTCATGACCTTAATGTTTGATTCATGGTAGATATTGTAAGGAGAAAAATGATGTTAGTCACTCTTGGGGTTGAAAGGGTTAATCATCTGTTCTGATATTTCACTGGGTCACTGTCTTTGAGTTTTCTCATGGAATAGGCTTTTTTGTAGAATGATCTTGCAAGAAAGCTATCATAATGTCAATTTTATCTTTTTTGTGGCATTTTTTTAGGATTGTGCAACATTGTTTGTGGACTCCAGGGACAAAGAAGTGAAGCATGCTTTTGCCTCTATGTTTGTGGAGATCCTTCTTCCTGTGGCGGCAGGTGCCAACAGAGAACTGAATGTACCAGCTCTGAAGAGCTTTGTAGACACCATGTATCATCATACTTTTGATCTCACCAAGAAAACAAGACACAGTCAGGTGAGATTACAACCATTGCAGGTTAATCTACCACAGAAGCAGTAATTTGAAATATATGACCAAGTGACCTCTAGCTGTTAAGCAAGTAAAGAATTCCAATAGCAACCTTGTACTCCAAGTGTCACCACCATGAAGAATTTTTGCTTAAATTGAGCACACTGTGCATTTCCTCCCCACCCATCCCCCCTCCTCACCCCTCTCCCTTCAAGTAAATTTTTGATCAATATTATACCTTTGGGGAAGCTCTGGCTAAAGATGAAATGATGTAAGGTTTTTCAGTCACTGGAAAAACTTGAGTTACTTGAGCTAATTATTGTGTGCTCAGTACTAATTTATTATTTTTTTTTTTTACACATTTTTGTATCAAACTCATTGTGGAAGTGCCATTAAAAAAATTACTTAGGCTAAGCGCATTTTTTTTTTTCTTTCAGGCTATCTATCCACTTGTCACTGTTTTACTCTGTGTCAGTCAAAAAGCTTTCTTCCTCAGTAGCTGGCCAAGCTTCCTTAGCATGTGTCTGGGAACTCTGAAGGTACTTGTTGTCGTACTGTTTTGCTCTAGATCACAGTTTGTTGTTTTTATGAAGTCTACTCACAGACATTAAGGTATTGGAAAGGTAGATCTCTTCTTGGCATAAATGTTTGTGACTACATAAGGAATAATGGATCATTTAGTTTAGGGGTAATTTTCCCAAAGATGAAGAATTAAAACAGAATAATTACTTTGGTGTCAAAGGGGTTTGCATCACACTTTTCTGTTTTTGCGCTCATCTTTTTTTCTCCCTGATTTGCAGCAGAGAGACGTAAAGATGCAGAAAGTAGCGATGGAATGCTTGTACAGATTGGTCTGGTGAGTACATTATCTTTTGATCGTATCTGCCTTGAAGCCTTTTGCTTTATGAAAGGTTATTTGTAGGATTTGAATCATTTAGATTACTGTTTAACCAATGAAAATGAATGATAATCGCTGAGTCCCTATATTGTACAGCACATACATGTACATTGCTTATTCAAAAGGAGGGGCTCTTGCACTTTGTGGCTGAGTAAGAAACACCGTGTTTCTGTGGAAATTTCAAGACAAATCTTATAATAGGCTGCGTTGTTGTTTTGTAGGGTCTACATGATCAGAATCAAGGGGGAAAGTAACACAGCAACAGTGAGGTTGGTCATTTTTATTACTGTTTATCTTCTGTTTTTTATTTTTTTTCAAATATTGAAGCATTTTTCCTGACGTACTGTGCGAGATAAATGGTTCTTCTATATGCAGTAGCCATTTGATAATGAGCATCAACGTCTGTTTGCTCATAATATTGGACCGAGGTAGTAGCCATGTACATGTAATAATAGCTGATATTCTTGGTGCCCAAACTAAGGTCTGTGTTTGCTTTCATTAGCCGGCTGCGAAGTATCACAGATGTGCTCTTTCCTCGTGGTTCCCGTGGTGTCGTGCCGAGAGAAGCTCCCATGAACTACTTTGTCAAGATTATTCAGTTCATAGCTCAGGTGAAGTTTCATTTGATGATAAATAGCACTTACACGTGGCTGTTTCTTTCTGAAAATGTTTACTCGCCAATTTCATGCGATAACACAGTTTTTGACAGGATTAGTCCTTCAGTTTCTTGTTCAGTTAAAAAAGTTTTGTAATGATTCATTTTGTTCGACGTAAGAGGAACACAATCTATTTGTGTTGCTTCTTCTGGATTCTGTGCGATTTCAAGGTGGGCACCATTGTAGATTGAGTGATCACTTTCCTCGATTTCGAGCGAGAGTTTTGAATCCTTCTGGCAAAGGGAAGTTCCGCAGACTGACTCACCTCGGTCTGGATGCCTTGAAGGAGAAATTTTGATAAATTCGTACCATTTATCAAAGGAAAGAAGTTACTACATGGTTCGTTGATGTAATTGTACACTGGATTATTAAACGCGACTTTATTAAACGACTTTACTAAACGATTTTAGTAATGTGAGCTGTAGAAGAGCTTCAAACTCATCTTTGATAGAGCACACTCTGCTCAAAGCTATTTTTTTTCAACAAATGAAGCTTTCCAATAGAGTTAATCTATCTTTTGATGTCTTTTTATCTACTAGGAAAAACTCGACTTTGCCATGAGTGACATAGTCTTTGATTTGCTGAGTGTTAACAGAACAGGCCGGGCAATAAGTCCTGAGGTATAATTTAAACCAGTTTACTAACGGTATTTAGTGTGCGATTCTTTTGCTTGCGTTTAGCTTTCAGTGGTGATGTAACAGATTTTTTTCTTCGTTTTTTCAGAGAATGAACATTGGTCTTCGTGCATTTTTTGTCATTGCTGATAGTCTTCAAAGAAAGGTAAGGGTTTTAGTTTGTAACAGTAGTAAAGAAAATATTGAACCATTAGCACTAAAACTGTTCAGTGTAAATGGTAACTCGGTTTAAGTTTGGTTTAGCTGTTCTTGGAAGAATATGCCACAAAGCACTGAGAATTTGAAAAGAATATATCTTAAGCCTTTGGAAACGTTCAGAATTGTTTTCTCTTGCTCTGTGAAGACCATTAGAGTCTAAATGTTCAGGTAGAACACAAGTGAGACGTTATTTGGCGTATTATTTTCTTCCCTTTTATATCGTTTAATAGCTACTGGAGAAAAATGTAAGACCTTAAAAACTTGTCAACTATTGTCATTTATGAAAGGGCATAGAGGCGCCAGCAATGCCGACATCCACTGCTCCTTTTCCATCTGGTAGCACTGTCAGAGTGCGAAGAGTAGCCTCGATGAAAAATTTGACAGAAAGTCAAGCTAGCAGCATTGGACTGGCTAACTATTACCACGGGTATGTTTGAAAAATTGAATGTAAGGTTTTTGATTTTCACTTGCCTGCATGACACTTGCGTTGACATTGAGACTGCGATACTAATCACACCGCCATCTTGGATGAGACTAGGACCATTGGATTGGTTGATTTGTACCTCGTGGTACAAAATCCTGTAACCTGATTGGCTCTGTCTCATACTGTCCCCGTATACTCCTCAATGTGGCTTTGAACCAACAATACAGATTCTTTTTAAAGTTTGGAAAAATAGTTTATTGTGCACACCTAACCTTTTATATTATTAAAATTTCTTTCTTGATAGCATCCGTAAAGCTCTGGATAGTATCATAAGATCCTTAGATGCACAGATTGGCAGGCCTTTGATGATGACAAATCCACATTGTTCTCACAAGGAGCCTGAAGATATTGCCACGTTAGTGTTCTTTGTGAAGAGATTAAGTCAATTGTTATCAGGACAAACTCATTATTTTTCGTTTGATTTCCCGTCTCTATCTCTCCTTCTCACATTTGTTTACTTTAATTTTGTCTTATACAGAGGAGAACGAAAACCAAAGGTTGATCCAAAAGTTGAGCTGTTCAGGACTTGTATTGCTGCCATTCCAAGGTATCTAGCATGAAATTTATTTCCGTTCTATCTCTGGTTCTAGTGATGAACCAAACTGACGCTTAAAAACAATAATTACACTTTGGTAATAGCCGTCACAAGTGCATTTGAGATTGATGTCGACATCAATTTTTAAACCTACAGGTGTATTCCAGAAGGTATGACTAAAGTGGACCTAGTAGATCTTCTTTCACGTCTCACTGTTCACATGGATGAAGAATTGAGAGGGTAAGAGAGGATGATGTACACTGCACTATGTAATGCGACTTTTTTTTTCGAGGATTGCTCCGAAAAGGTCTGCTCTCAGTGATGGCGAATGACGTTCGGATGTTGCGAAGTTTTTGTCACAGTCACATGACACTTAGCAAAAGACTGTTGAGTTGAAATTGTTCGTAATTTCTACTGTAATGATATTGGCTAAAGGAATGGAATGGCGTTCAGTTGGTGAGATTTAAGTATAATAAGCTTCACTGATATAGTTCTGATCAGCGCATTTGTTCAAATCCAGGCTGGCCCTGTCTTCTCTTCAATCCCTCCTGCTTGACTTTGCAGACTGGAGAGAAACTACTATTTTAGGTAAGGTGATGATACTGGTCTATACATTCAGAATGAATTCCAGGTAAAAGCGAGTTTCGATTTATTTACTTGTACATATTTCAGGGTATATCAACTTTATTCTACGTGAGATCCAAGACAACCTGCCATCACTGCTGGACAGTGCTATGCGTATGTTGTTGCAGCTGCTGGCTCACTGGAAGACTGTAGTCTCTGCTGGTCCAGAGGATTCTAAGGTGGGTTGCGATGTTCCCATTTTAACTCCCCACTCTGCTTATTAATTGAATGTCATGAACCAAAACTGAAACAATCACAACCACCGATCAGAAAACAGGAAAAGATCACAGCAAGCCAATGAGAACTCAAAGTGAAGAAAAATGCGAGTGACCACTTTTTGATTCTTCTAGCTCCGCCGAATCCAATGGGATGAGAGGTGTTAGTTTTCTAAGCCAATTGCATTACCAAGGCAAGCAAATTAAAAGCAAAGCAGGGCGTTTCGCGCTTTTGTTCTCGCGCGTTTGACTCATCTCTCGCGTGCGTCCGCGTGTGTACCCTCGACTGAAAATACAAGAAACCTACGCTTGTGCTGCGACCGTTGGCTGACATGTTTTTCGCCCTCTTTTCAGCGTTTGCGATGACCGCACTAAAACTTTACAGAGTATGCGTTCGAGAGTTAGCGTGTAACATGCATTTTTTTTGTCAGTCCACACAGGATGCTCAGCTGGAATTATCTGCTCACAGTTTGCCATGTGATAAAGAAGTTGACCGAATAACTGTGCTTCATAATGTGGAGGGGTTTGCTCTTGTTATGCTCTGCAGGTGTGTTACGCACTAAATGAACCTTTTTTGTGGATAAAATGTTACGTCGAACGACTTGAATCTTCAACATCCCCGTCGTCCGTACCTGGGGAGGGTGGGAAATTCAAACCTTCCCTGGTTAGGGTGGGGAGTGTGAACCATAAGTTTTAAGTCTCTCCAGATGAGCACTAAGGTAACATCTTTAAATATAGAGCTGTTTAATGTAAACAGTTCACTTTCGCGATAGAATGACCCGGGAGAAAAGGTCTACAAGGTCAAGCTTAGTCAAAGCTTAAAGCTCAGTCCATGGCGGTGAAGATAGTCACGGTCGCTGATTTTTTCTTTTAGAAAAAATTGGGTTGGGCCTTTGAACGCAATTTTTGCCCCCCCTGGGGGTAGGAATTTGAACAAGCCAATCTTGAAAAGTTCAAATGCGCGGGGGGTTGTCCGGGGGGAATGTTGAAGCTTCGAGTAGATCGGCGCATAATATGCTTTTTCACCATTTTTCTTTATTTCTGTTGTGGTCTTAAAATGCTGATAACTCTTTTCCTTTTCGTATTTGTATCTGTGTTTAGTATACATCCTATCATACGGAGACTTGCCTTTCTTGTTCTGAAAGAAGTGCGGACACTAAGTAGTTTGATGGACCTCACCGACAAGGTAAAATTAGTGGAAGCTCTTTGTTTATCAAACAATTACTCTTTCCATTGATAAACAACTAAAAGGATAGCTTAACTGACCTCAATTTTTATTTTCTTCAAGGAAAAATCTGACAAACTAGTGCTCGATGTAATAGATCAAGTTTTTCCAACAGTACTTGAGAAGGTTCTGCATTCCATACCTCAGAGTGAGAAGGTGGGTGGCCCTTCTGTCTCCTACTGCGTTGTTTTGGATTTCAGTGTCTAACATTTTTAGTCTATTAAATATGGTTGGTTGGTATGACGCGGCATGTTTTCTCGGCCAAAGCACTTTATCAGTTACCTTTCGCAGTTTTCAAGCAAGTAAATTCTTTGAGCTTCACACTCATCTTTAATGTAATGTATTGATATTGCGGGAAGAAGTTACGTGCATATCGCCTTAAAGTTAAAGTTAAATCAGAAGTATGTTGTTGTTTTAGCTCTTCACAGGGCCAATTGGCAATGTTGACATTATGGTTGTGAATGAGCGGCTGTCAGGTAACATGGACAAAGAGACAGGAGAGCAGCTGAATATTTCATTACACAGTTTCTTCTGGTCCTCACTTATGGCAGGTCTTCTGAACAAGTGGTACCTTCCTGAATTGAGTCCTTCTGCTCTGCAGTTTTGTTGGCCAAACGTCTTCAGTCGACTTCTCACTGTTTATTCGCTAATTGACTCAGGGTAAGAATCGGTTCTTTATCGTACTAACTCACGGCACGTTTTGATTGGTAATTGTCTTCGATCTATCGGAGTTCAGACACACGTTTGACGGCATACAAAGATTGTTTTCTATGTTTGTCCAATATGGCACGCATTTGTGGAAATGGTTGCAGGAATTTTCCTTATTCAAGAAGCGAAACGTGCTAAAAAGGAAAGTACTGGAAGGTCTTGACGAGCGAAGAAAAGAAAAATAATTCCTAGCTTCTCGACTAAAACCTAAATAGAAACATTTCGTTCGAACAGTCGAGTACTACAAGGCCAGATGATAAACTTTCTTCATTTTGCGCTTCTCTCCATTGCTTAAACAGATTCATTCCATTTTGCCATGTGTCCGTTCAGTTGTAGATCACAAAGACGCTAAAATGTGGGAAGAACATCAGTGATATTTAAGCTAACCTTTTTTTCGTTCTTACCACATTTTACGTCATCTGTATTTCAGGTCAAATGGAATCTTTCAAAATTATGTGAAGGTCTTTCCGAATGACATGTTCAATTGATAATATTTTTGTTCTGTTTATAGGGCGTCAGGGATAGATTCCATCACCAGTCTGTCTTCTGTTTATAGCAGAGGACCAAAGAAGACCATGAACACGAGCCATGTGTGCCTGTTTAGAAATTACCTTATATTCGCTTGTTGTGCTTATCCGCGCTCCCTCCCCCTAAGGAGCGACTCGTCGGAGCACGATGGAGGGTTAGTTTAACTGTTACTTTACTGTACTGACTTGCTTTAGAAAGCGCCTTCTCCGATAAAGAAGGCGCCGCCTCTTCGCTCTCTGGAAACAATTGAGTTCTTAAGCGAGCAATTGGCTCTTTTTCTAGCCCACTGAGATTTTGAACAATGTTGAGAGGGCCGAAAGCTCGCGGTGGAAGGACCTTTATTTTTATACAAAAATTAATTAAAATTAAATCAACCCACTTGTAGAGAAAATCTAAGATCCACTGCTTGCGTAAAACCGCTGTTTGGCTTAGATCTCCTGAGAGTAACCTGCCCATGGTTTTTAAAACGTGAATTTTGTGAAATATCGGATGACTAGGGATGGAAATAAATATATCGAGAACGGTTCTTCTGTAGAATTTCAGTTTGATAAATTTCGAGGAATATTATGTAGATTTTAGCTGTGACATTTTCCTTTTTTCTAACATTTTCCATCATTTGTTACCACTGTTGAATGAATTGAGGAGCTTTACGATAGGAAACTTAAGTCTATCTTATATTGTGTATTGCAGAACTTCATCAGAAGGCTCGGAAACGAGAGGTGATTCCAGGGTAAGTTGTCCTGGTGTTCTGATTCTACAATCGACGAAGCATTGGTTACCGTTGTTTTCAAGAAAGCAATTTGGTATCATGTTTGGCTTAAAAACAAACTTGTTGTTAAAGTAGCTAACGATTCTACCCCTTACGAGATTGTTTTATTGGGAAAAATATATATAAATTGAGACACGGACTTACTCAAAAATTTCGTTCCAAATCATTTCTACTCCCAGGTGTATAAAGTTGAACACGAGCTTGTAAAGATCGAGTTTCTCTCATAGATTCAAACCTAAACCAGGTGTGATTTAGAGGTCCGATGCACGGCCAACTGAGCTTCTGAGAATCTTTGGCAAATCAAGCCATATCTGTAGTGGGTTCCTATGCGGCAAGCGTCGTGCATGTTTGAAAGATGCAGGATCAAAAATGTCTTGCGTGTTCTGTCCGTAAATGAGGTTGGAAAGATGCCAGAAAAATTGTTTAGTGCACATAACAAGAGTGTGAGGGAGAATTCTTAGTTTTCGGTTTTATACCTTTCAGCCTCCATCTCCAAATATGGTGGACAGTTTGTTCAGATTTGCTGTACCTTTACTGAAAAGTGACTGCTCTGATATCAGGGAGGCTGTCATTGTTGGCCTGGGAAGGACGAGTCCAAGTTCTTTTAGGTAAAATTCAAACCAAAGAAAGAAATATGCTCAAACATTACCACTCAATGTGTTTATGTTAGTAACTTGCCTATTTGTGTTTTGTAGAGAGTTACTTGAAGAACTCCTTTTTCTTCTACGAGAAGCTTTGGACCGTAGGGCAGAGGTGAATGTTTCTTAACCTGTTTAGCATTATTAGATTGGCTGAATAAGAATCGCCTTCATCTTGAGTTTGATTTGAAGGTTTCTTTATAATCTTCCTGATGTAAGTAGTAATGAATATCCTCGGCTTTTTAACAATTCTGCTAATTTTTACATTACTGAAGTAGATTGAAGCGAAACCTCGACAGTAGGCAAGATCTTTGTCACATGTAGATTTATTTACACTCCTGATTTTATCATCACAGGGTGTTAGACGAAGAAGAAAGCGAGACGTATTGCGAGCATATCTGGTCAGGATATTTGAGCTCAATGCCGAACATGGTTGTTTTCAGGATAGGTTTGTTACCACATTCATCTTCCTTCGTTCAGAGAACCTTTTTTTCATTCATAGGTGATCCTCCATTTGCAAAAATATCAAAACAATTTCCGTCTGACAGCGTAGCATTTCCCAGTGAAATGGGTCGTACACAGTGTGGTATCAAAATTGCATCCTTCCATAATTCTTACCATCTTTCTTGATCTGTTTCCTGAATGACACGTTGGTTTTTACGTCTGTGATTTAACGGGTTGATCTTCAAATGTAGTGGAAACTTTGATGTAACGAGGAAGTCGTGCGCGAGTGGAGAGTGCCTTGCGTGAAGAATGAACGTAGAAAAGTTGTTGACTAAATTGATGGCATGCGAATCACTGTTGTACGGAGAATGCTGGTGTTTCTCTTTCATGAACCTTACATTTTTAAACTGGCTCCGTTATTACGAGCTATGTTATGGACTTGTTAGTAATGGCGTCCATTTATTCTGTTCTTTTTGTTTACTTAGCGCAAGTGAGCTGGTGACGGAAGATGGACTCAGTGCAACGTTTATTGAATATATCGACGGAACGAGGTATTTCATCCGCCAGAACACGGCGTACGAGCAGTAACCGTAGGAGTGCTTTTCGTTTGATTGTCCTGAAACCATAACCAAAAATTACCTCAACAGCCTTCCATAACAAAGGAAACTATCATGAGGTGTCACCACGAATGAAAGTATAAATTTCAAACCTGCAGATAGCTTGAAGCATGGAAATAGGCTAGGGACCAAGTTGTGATAGGTTTGAATGATTCGTCGTTTAGATAGTGCGAGTCTTCTACACCTGTCACCAAGCGAAGCAAAGAAAATGAATGATTGTCGGAGGAATTTTAGGATAACTAGAAATCCTTGGGATTCATTTTCTGCAAAGATCATTTCAAATGTATGGCTTTATGTTGACGTAGAACTTATAACTTTGTGCCAAGTATGAAACTCTTATAAAGACCTGACGTTATTCGCATTTTTCAATTGTAACTTCGTGTTTATTGTCATCAGGTTGTACCTCGAAAGTGAAAGTGACAAAGACATGCCCGCCATTATGCAGCTTCGACTTCACTTTGCAAACTTTATTTACAAAATGATCACCTCCGTACCTGGTAAGTCAAACTGTTCCCCGATTTCACTTGTTCGCTTTTCATGACAATCCTGTAGCAGTTAAGCGTAACTCGAATATGCTGCTGTCTTGCTCAATAAAAAGCCTATTTTTTTTTTCTGATATCTACTGCACCATTGCTCTCCAACAGTGGAAAGTTAAAAGGACTTTATTCTCTTCTCCTGCACCTGATGGTGACCCGTTTTATTGTTTTGACAGCTTCCCTTCGAAGGAATCTTCTGCCAGATGACTTGCGCTGTAACCTGTTTTTCCTGTTTAGTAGTTGGTGTGCCCATTTTGGAGTCAAAAGCCTCGGACTTGAAAAGTAAACTTTTTATTTCGAAGAAGTTTCAGTGATTTCAAATTTAGTCCTCTTTCATTTGTCTTTGCTTGACTTTCCTTTTCAGTTTATGAAGTTTGGTTATTAACTGGGTTTGTTTAAATTGCTTTTGTAGAACTCCGCTCATTTCAAGCGCACAAAGCAATGATTTGGAGCTGGCTTCTCTTCATGTAAGAAATACAGTACCTCCTAAGGCTTGTACATAGGGCGCTAAAAGTATCTCTACACGTGTAGTTTGTCATTAAAAACGTTAGATCTTTGCATCCGTACGAGACTGCAAAGAAGACTATGAAAAGTTTTTTTTTTTTTTGTATCCGTTAGGCCATGTGTGGCTTGTTACAATGTGGTCCTGCATTTGATCCTAATGGTCTTTCCACTGGCGGTTATCTCTACAACTGGTTACAAACTGTGCTAAATTCTCCGAAAGATAGGGTTAGTATTTATGGCGGTTGCTTTATTTATTTCTTTATTTGCAGTGTTGTTGTCAAAACGCCGCGCGATGCATTCGTTTTTCAGTGTAACAGTATTTAGAGGGGGAAAGCAGGGTCTGTCTGCCGAATTCTCTTCTCGAGTTTACATTCTTCGTGTTTGAGTTTTGGGTTGGGAAAACAAACAGCCACAGGAAGTCAATAGTTAAGCTATCTGCCAAGTAATGCCGCATTTAAAGTGTATTTAGATTACGAAGTAGCCACGAAAATGAGCAGCGAGGCTCGGAACGGAAAGAATTGATAGTGGCTGGACAGCCCTTGTTTTTGTTGAACTTCTATAAAAACACTAGTTACGTCCATGAGTCCAATAAAATCAGATCTGTACTCTGTAGAAACTTGGAAGTCACGAGAAGGGCGAAGGTGTGCACTGTAATGTTCTAGAGTACCAAAATTAATTATTCTAGATGCTTGCTCAAGTAGATTGACCGTTTTCCGCTGTATTATAAAAAATGCAATTTTCTCTTCAGATCCATCAGTTGGGACATGATACACTGGTTAGCCTGCTTGAGAACAATGCCAACATCCCTTCTCTCCTTTACTGGGTGATAGACAAGTGTTACATGGGTGCCAGGCTGGTGGTCAGTGGTTGCTTCAAGGCACTTGTTTCTGTGTTTACCAAGAGGTAACTGAACTGTTTTTCCCTTTTTGCAAACGTGTTTAAGAGTGTGGTGCATACAAGAAATTAATAAAGGCAGTTTAATCCCTTACTACTTGTTCGTTTCCTATTGCTTACTCTCACAGTGGATTATTTTTTAGTCCTTCTTTTTAACGGTGATCTATTTGTCTCCGTTGGTTAACAGTGAATATCCGTGTGAAATGATTCCCATTCTGAATGTGGTGTTGTTCAAAACTGCTGATTCTTCACTGGACATTCGAGAAAAGGCGGCACAACTACTTCAGCTTCTAGAGAGGTAGAGCTCTATTGCAGTGTTATTGTGGAATTTAAGCTGTCGTGCCGAGCTGTGTCACTGAAGTAAGGCAAAGAACAGCTTTACAATTTGTTAATTTTTGTTTTTTCGTCAATTGAAATGGCTTTGCTTGAAATCTTTTAGACGTTTCTTCCCGTTTACAACACCGAGCTTGTCATGTGCATTCCGCTGCTCCTACTCACAATGCCAGAGGACATTATCTCAAGCGCTAGCCACAGCTCACCCGGAAATCACCATCCATATGTTTGAAGGTATGTTCAGCAGACTTTATGTTATATTTCTCCCTTTTTCCCCTCATTTTCTTGGCTACAACTAATATGCAAGTGATCGGAAACACTAAATACACTGTTACTGCGGATGGCAATCAACATCAGGAACTGAAGGACAGACGGTTTTGAAACGTGGAGGTGGACCCTGCAGGAAAGCAGTAAAAAATGTTTTGTTCACGGCTAATGCACAAACGGCTGAAAGACAAAGGGTTACCAAATGTTCCCAGTATGAGGCTTTGGTGCCTACGCGCTTCGTCCGTGCTGCGAGCTCCGCTATAATCGATGATATTCAGAATTGACAGTTCGCTGTTCTGAAACAAGTTCATCAGAAGGACTCTCTCGTTCTCTTCTCTCTCTTGGCAGAGATGACCGCGCGCTTCGAGATGACATCCTCAATAGGTCAGCGGTGTATACTGCAATACATGCTACCTTGGTTAGCAAATGTTGAATTGGTAGACTTGTCCAATTCCTTTCCCACTCCCCCTGAGTTGAACATAGAGACGGAAGAAGAAGAAGAAGAAACTGATGCTATGTCGCCTGTTAAACTAGAGGGGGAGGGGTGGGGGTCCGTCGAAGCTACTCAGCTGGTACTTAACAATCTATTCTACATCACTGTCAAGGTAGGTGCGACTGGGTTTTAGCTTTTAATTTATATTGGCATTTCATGACAAGGTACATGTAGAGGCTCCTTTCCAAACAGAAGGAAACCTTCGCTCGCTAGTAACTTCTTGTGCATGTAGAATGACTGGAATAATTGATCAATCCTGAGCTTAAAATGACTGGATAGTTAGGTTGTTTTTCCTTTTATGAACCTTGTGACTGGAAAAAGATCAAGCCTATGGGTCCTTTCCTCTTTCTGAACAAAGGATCTATTGAAAAAACGAAAGTCGGCCTCGTGTATTTTTTGTTTTTTGTTTTGGAACCTAATGGACAAATCTGCGAGAGTAAGATAGGTGCCCCTTGCGTAGCCAATTAGAGCATGCACGCTTCATTCTCGCTGCTAGCGGAGCCACCCACATTTGTTTTGTCAGCCTTTTAACAGTAGGAACAGGTGAAAGAATAGGTGAAGTATAGTCTAATATCTACTGTTGAAGCACACATATTTGAGTATAAATTTATCCAGTGTCTCACTTCACGTTAACTTATTTCAACAGTATGACGAGATATTCTCTAAAGAGATCGAGGAGGCCTGGGGCAGTTTGTGCAGCCGATGGGAGGATAATATCCATGAGATCTTGGGTTATCTTATAGCTCTGGCTGGTATTATTGGTAGTTCAGAAGTACTAATTCACGTAAGTGATCATTTACTGTGCATCTACGGTAACCTCGGCCACCTAAACTCTAAAAAAACCGATCAGAGTGCAGAACTGAAACTGTACAGAATTATAGGCTAATTCAAACAATCTGATCTCGGCCCAAAACAATGAAATCTTAAGCTAAAGAAGAAGGTTTTTCTTTTCTCTTGACACGAGCGTAAGACAAAGAGAAACATTCTTAGATCCCTTGAGATTGTCGAACCTCAGACCTTTGCAATTTGCTTGCTGTTACTTTGATTCCCATGGGCTCCTTGTGATATATACCTTTGCAAGTAGTCGTTTTAGCAACATTGGTTTTGATTCTCGAAACGAGATAGAAATGTTCTCTAAAACAGTAAATTTCGCGGCTTTTCCGCTGTTGAAAGGTGGCTGAGTCCTGTAGCTTTTGGTCTCTGATGTAATGTTTTACATTAATTTTTATTACTTTTTTTTAGGCAAAGAAGCTAGCTGTGTATGTGGCCCGTGCAAGAAAACAGAAAACTGTCGAGGAACTTATGGAGGAGCTTAAGGTTTGAGAATCAATATCTTTTTAGTGGGATAAATTCGCACTGTATAGGTGCATTCTTAGTTGGTTCCAAAGCAGTAGCTCAATGCTTTTTCGCTCTTTAAAAAGGCTCTCTCTCAACTGTACTATTCCTTCCAAACTAAGCACACGGGGAATTATTTTTGTATCCTTCGTCTCTTTCTTCCATAGTCAATAAAATTAATCCTGCAAGGTTAGAAAGCCATGTTCAAAGGCGTATTTCACAATATGACTGGCTGGGTGTTGAAAGCGCTCTCATACCGCTGCTGTGTCCCAGTTTTGGTCACCGAACCTTCTATTTCAAATGAATGTTTGACTTTCGTCCTTGTTTCACGGATCGTTTTGTGTGTTCTCTGGTTTACGTCTTGTACAACGAAATGTCACTTTCTTTTACGACGTGAATCAGAGGACGATTGAGTTTCACCTACTTCGATTTTGTATCGTCTCGTTGCTTTATTTGATGTGATGATTTCTTGCACATTTTGAACAAGAACGTAACAGCATATTTTTGTCCGTAGCTCACAGAAACAGTGGCCTCACAATTTGAGCGGTGCGACGATGCGCCATTTTTCCGTCCTCTGCAAAAGACGTCATCTAGTCGGGACTCAGTCATCGAGGGTTCGACAGGAGAGGAGTCCAGGTCACTGGCGCGAAAAGAGACGACGTCGCAAGCGAAAGTTACTAAAGAAGAAACAAAAACAGACGATGAACTGTCAAGAAGGACGTCAAGAGACGAGAGAAAGGAGTCGAGAGAAGAAAGACGCGAGGGGAAGGATGACAAGAAGGAAAAAGGCGATTCTCTTCCAAGGACTTTGGAGAATGGTGGGTTCATAATCAAAATTGTAATTCTCCTTGCTGTCAACCATACAATTCTTATAGTGTTAGTTCAGAGAATTTAATATTGGATCAGCTAATTATCCCTTAATCGGTGTTTTCCTTTATTCTCATCACTTGTCTGCTTAATATTGGATTGGTTCTATAATGAGAAATTCTCTCTATGGGAGTTAAAGGGTTAATTCTCGTTATGAGGTTCTCAAGAGTAGAATTCGGAGCAATTTGAAAAGTTGGGAGTTTTCAATCGAGGGCTGAGTTTGCCAACTAAAACCTGTTTTCATTGAATCTCTCATTTTTACGCCTTTTATTATTGGAACTCTCGTTAAGATCATCAGTTCTTTCGTCGCCTTCATTATGTCTTTCGACGAGCATGTTTTGTCCGGAATCGAGTGCACCACCACGTTTTCATCCTAGCTTAGGCAGAAATGACGTTTTATTAATCGTTCGCCACTCTTGCACCAGATGTACTGGATTCGGCTGTACCACTGGCGGAGCCCGAAGAGGTTGATCAGATTGAAGAGGAAGATAAACCTGAGGGGGCCTGGGCACAAGAGTGGATGATCATGGCGCACAGGCTGGTTAATTCTGGTTTGACTCTTTCGTTACCAGTCCCTGAAGGAGAAAAATTCTTCGCTCCTCTTCCTGACATTCTGCCGTTTGCACCTTCCGTGGCTTCTCTATACAGGTACGTTTCGATCCTTCAACTTCCATGTTGTAACTTTGAGATGCCAGAAATTCAAGAAGCCTGAAGTTTTGATTCATTTGAATAAAGGGCGCAAGTTTTTTAAAATAAAGTATCGTGCTGCGTCAGTGGGGTATAATAAGAAAGTTTGATTTTATCAACTGAGATAAATTAAGCTAGCGCTGACGAAGGGCTAACGCTCGCATCGTTAGCTTTAGAAACTCTTTGGGGTGGCCAAATTACATTATCGGCCCAGTTGATAAACCAAGTGATTAGAAAGTTTTTTCAGGATTTCATTTCTGCGAGGACTGACGAGTTTGTTACGTATTAACCACGCTATCAAATTTTCAAAACTGCATCTTCATTTCCTTTCAATGATTTTCTTATTTAGTTTTACCGTAGTCATACTATTTCATCTTGTTTTCAGATGTAACTTTGCTCTCATGCTGCTTGCGGAGTTAGTTCTTGACCAAGCTTCTGTTGATTGGGAAGAACATCTGCCTCTCATGTTGCATGTCATTTTTCTTGGTAAGTCTTGGCGATTTTACAGAACCACAATGTACGTTGTCATTTTCCAGATGGCAAGTTTACCGATCGAGCTTATCCGTATTGGTTAACTCTTTACACCCTAGCATCTGTATGTATCTTCTCCATACTTTCTTCTATACATTTCCTTAGGAGGTAACGAGGAGAATTTGTTTAATAATCAAGAGCTTCTTTAGATGGTGATCATTTCCTTTATTCTCGTGACCTTAAGGTGTGATTCAGTAGTGATATTGTAAGGAGAAGTTAGATGCCAATCACTCTGAAGGGATAAAGGGTTGACCATGTTACATCAGTTCTAAAAGGGAGAAACTTGAAAATTTTGCTCTCCATTTCATCACGTTTGACAAACATTGAATGAAAATTAGAACATTTATCTCCTAAAAGGTTATTGAATTCTGGGCCATAAATATTATGTTACAGTTGGTCTCAAAACTCTCATATCCAGCAAACCGTCGAGCGAAATGGAAATTTTAGCCTTTACAGTTCAAGTCTATCACTTGTAATATGTTTTAATCTCCTAACCTTCGTTTTTCCATCTTGGTTGTTATTGCTTCTTCCGAGAGTTACATTTGCTGAACCAATGTTTTTTGACCTTAAAAACATTTGTTTTTCTAAAGCTTTGGATCACGGCAAGGCCTTGGTTTACGAACACAGCAAGAGATTATTGGTCAATCTCATTATAGTTCTGGTGTGTCGGGGCGACCACGTCTCTTTGGCACAATCGCTCTTCAACTTCATCACCGTGTCTGAACAAGGTCTTGGTAAACATGGCCTGTTGAAGTCCTCGTGGACGCTGGATGTTGGTAATTTTGTTGGTATGCCTGGTCCTGGTGCGGGCGCTGGGACTGGTGCGGAGTGCGACAGGCAAGGTGGTTCTTCGGTGCAGAGTAATGCAGCTAGTGCAGGCACTAGCCTCTCTGAGTGAGTTTCGTACAATTACTGTTTTGGAGCTGTGGGCTCTTAAAATCCGGATACTCTACCACCCCTACCGTGCTTTTTAGGCCCTCGTGTTAAATGGCGGCCGGGGATAAGCTGCAAAATGTTAAAGTACACTGTCAATCTTCTAGTACACTCGGCATTATTTGTTAGGAATGAGAAAGTTTCGTTTAAACTTTGCTGATTTCAAAGTTTTCGGTCAGAAGCAAGGGTCAGGATATGAATTGTGGTCTCCTTTTTGCTCTAAGGTTAACCTACTCCACATATCCAATAAGTGCTATTGAATTTTTACAACGCCATTCATAAGTCTTTAGTTAGTACTTGTCACTTTTTAATGAGAGTTTGTGAACAATTTGGCCGCTGTTTCAATGTAGGTCTGCTGCTGGCGGTAGCTCTCTGAATATTGCATTACCTCCCGAGGAAAACAGTGCCAACAGACTTGTGGAGCAGATCCAAGAACTCATTGAATTTCTGGCAAACAGGTGAAGAAAGCTCTATACCGCAGCTGTATCTGACTTCTCACAGGGCTTCGTACAATTTGCTTAAAAAGAACCCGTGCAACCCTATTTAAGAATTGGTCGTTCTCAGATTTAACCCTTTTTGTTACTCTCTCCTTACACAAGATTTCACGGACGTTGCTCATCCTCAACATTTTGTGGGTCTGGTTATCTTTACCCTTTTGGTAGAACATTTATCTGCGAAATCGGATTTTTCTGGAGTTCGATTCCTTATTGAGGACTGACCAGCTTTCTTCTTTGTCCCACGCTGATGACGTGTTCCATGAACATATTTTTTGTAAACCGAACTTCACTCCCTCACAACGAACTAGGCACTTACCAAGTTATTTACTGATTTCCTTCTATTCTTGCAGTGACTGTAAGCCTCTCTGGGCCTTTGAAGAGATCACGCCACGTTCATACAAAATCAAAAGCGCCGAACAGCTGGAATTGTTCGTTGCATCAGTTGTGCAAATTTTCCAAGCATCTGACTCGGGCAGCAAAGTGCAAGAAGCCATGGCTAAGGTGGCTCTTCAATGGGCCACCTCGTGCTCATCAAGGCACTATGCTGGCAGGTCCTTCCAAGTGTTCCGTGCTCTGAAGGTTCCTCTCTCCTGGTCCATGCTCTCTGATGTCCTCTCCAGGCTGGTAGAGTCTGTTGGTGATGGCAGTGAAGATGTTCAGGTGAGTGGATTTGATTGTTTTGGGTTGGGTGGTGTCTTATGAGTACAGCAGGAGCCCATTGCTTCTGAAGCTTATTCCGGTTGTCATAGTATAAAGCAGCTTGGTATATTTCGTTCTTGCCTCGTCGCTATTCCACTGCGGAATTCGTCAAGCTTATCGAACAGTTCCCCTGTACCGATTTCATTTTCCTGGGTGGAAAATGGGACTGTGAGAGTTTTGTGTCTCGATAAAAAACACAATACACAACACAACACTACGCAACACAACATAGCGTTCGTAATTCAACGTAACACAACGTGACACAACACAAAGACATTAGAATAAAGGCGTAAGTTTCTAACGGAACTGTGGTGCTGTGTCTGTGAGGGGTATCATTCGATAATACGGTAAATTGGCCATCGTAAAGAGTTTCTAAAGCTGACGACTCGAGCGTTAGCCCTTCGTCAGAGCAAACACTTGAAAAGTCTGCCTTTGAAAATCTTTACGGTGACCAATTTGCATTATCGTGCAATGATGCCTTTAGGCAGAGTGAAAGTTACTGTTCTCTTTTCTCTACCTATATAGGGCTATGTCATGGAGATCCTTTTGACCCTTGAGACAGCATCTGATTGGGCCATGACAGACCACCCAAACAGAAGTGGGTTGGAGCAGGGGCTTGGGTTCCACTTTGAAGACGAAAAGGAAGATAGCGTCGATGAATACAATCTTCATATAATAAGTGCAAGCGTCGGTTCAATTAGTCCGCTGACCAGGATAAGACATGGCAGGCACATACGTTCCCTGAGTAGTGGTTGTGAATTCAAGAGACATTCGTCCTTGTTCAGTCAGTTTGGACGCCTCAACGGCAACAGAGATGACCCTAATCTCATCCGAACAAGAAGGTGAGAACAGTCTTACTAGCTTCCTCGTATTCTCCCAAAATGTGCGCTAAGTACGTGCTTAGTAAGGGTTTAGTACGCCGGTAGACCGAGGAAGAGACGATGTTTTGCTTCCGTGAGATGATTAGTAAAAAAAAAAAAAGTTATGTGTGCTTCACGCTTTGTCGGTTCCATTAGCCGCCACTCTGATATCTATATATTTTGTTGTATTCCTGCCCGTGTTTGATTTAGTGTTAGTGTGCAATGCCTAAAGACACCGTCAGAGGCCATCAATCCACAGAGCCAGGCAGACATGGTTACACGTGTGTTTTGGATCGCTGTCTCTTTACTGGAGTCAGATTATGAACACGAATTCCTAATGGCTATTCATTTACTTAACAAGGTCAGTCTATTAGAAAAGAGAGCCAATGCACGTACTACTTAGCTTTCAGCACTGCTTGTCCAAAACTCACGGAATATGTTTTAGAAATTGACTCGTCCAGCCAAACGATTCTGATTAATGAAACGAGTTTTGTTAATGTACCAGTTTGGCTGGACAGCCCCCTTCTCCTCCCCCTCCCCCCCCCCCTCGCTTATGTTGCAAGACTTTTATCATTGATTAGACGTGAGGGATGTTATTCAACTATTTTCGCGAGAATAATGTTGGTTTTGATGAAGCGAAGTGTCTCATTAGTTTTGTGCAAGACATTTCGTAGAGGAGCGAAGGCAAAGGTTTTCAGTAGTACTTTAAAACTCAATGGCGTATGAACATTAGTGCATGAATTCCTTTACATTACATTCTCTTTGTTTGTGTTTCTATAGGTGCTATCGATTTTGGACTTAAGTCTTCACGATTCTCGTGACAAACTCGACAAAGTTCTGCACAGACTCAAGTGGAACGATTTTCCAGGACTGCAAGCACTGCTGCTGAAGGTAACTTGTACTAACAACAATCTCGTAGCGACTGGAGTTTTCAGTAAATAATATTTTGAGGATATCCCTGATACACGTACTTGTATGAAATACTTCTATGATAAGAAGGATGCTATTCTATGCAAAATAGCCAACTTTCATTTCTCCTTTCCATTCTATTGTTTTAACGTAATTTTGACATTATGAAGAGGAAGAATGAAACCAGGGTGGCAAATAGTCCTCTTTTAAAAAGAAAAATAACTTCAGTGTGATCGACATATCCCAGCCAAGGCCTTGATTGTCTCTTTCTGTTCCTTTGTTTGCTTTTAAGAAGATAAGGTATTGAATCGCTTATTTCTTATTGCGTGACTTTCATTTCAGGGTCTAACCAATGCAGCCACTTCTGAACCTTCTCTTCATCTGTTGGCCAAACTGACTGTTTTCTCAAACGTGGGTCTCGTGGATCCGTCCCAAGCTGCTGGTGAGATAAACTTGTTTTATAAGTGAGAAGATATTATATTGATCATGTCTTCTTTTCTAATAGAGACAAGGTGAAACTTGTAGGGTCGTTCCGTGTGTTAGGCTAACCTTCACTTTTGTTTCTTGACAGGTTTTGCCCTTAACATGTTAGCTTTGTTACCACACATGTTGGAACATTTTGATGATCCTGATGAATTTAGCAAGACATGTGCTCAAAATATAGTACAGGTAAAATGATTTTGAGAATGCTCTTTTTCATGTTTGGCTTTTGTATATCCTGTTGTTCTTTCTATTGTGTGAACCTAGGACTATGAAAACTATCCTACAACATTCACGGCAAAAGATTTAACGCAGTAAAAGTTTTAAGCGTTCAGTTCATTGTATTGACAACGTGTGAAAGGGGGCTGCTGGAAAAGTGAAGGTCGTCTATATTTCCGCTAGTAACTTATGTCTTTGTACAAGAAAATTAAACTGTCAGTCAACTAAGTCCAAAAGAAGTTACCAATGGAGTGTTATCAGGCGTAACTACATCATGAGACAAATTAGAATGTCTCATTAGTATTGTGCATTTCATAAAGATAAATAACCACTATCTTTTGGAGAGGAAGCTTCATCGCTCATCAGAGATGTTGATCTTTCAGGTGTGCGGTAATTCGGGCAATCTCGCCCATTTAGGAAAACTATTCGAGATGTACATAGGGAAATCTTACCATAGACCACGATCCACATGGCTGGATGCAGTTTATAGATACATCAACGATTCCTATGGACACCTCACTCGGTCTCACGTCACCTTTCTATTAGAGGTTGGTATATATATTTTGAGCGATGGCTCAAGTAAAATCAGTCAGTGTTGTGTGTTGCCCCATATAAAGTCTCCTGAAATCAGTGTCAAATTTCAAAACATGCTGTCTTTTTTTCAACAATACTTTTCCAATTTCATTCCGTCATTCGTGCGCTGTTTCTCACCAGGTCCTAGAGCGTGGTCCCCCAGCTTACAATCAAGTTGTGTTGGGCATGTTGTGTTCAGTGATGCGACTAGCGGACTTCTCATCTCCATCCATGAGGCACTTTCAGAATGATGCACTCAAGACAATAGCCAAGTATCTGAAGGTGAATATCCTTGATGATGGAAAAAGACTGATATGACAAATTAACAGCAACAATGTCTTGTCACGGTTTTATTATGATGTAAAGAGTGAAATACCTTGAAAATTTAGAAAGCTGCTTTCAACTTATGTAATTATTTTTTCGGCAATCACAATCGTCTCCTTTTCATTGTAGGGTAACTTCTGGAAAGAGTCTCTGGACATTCTTAAGATGGCAGTTTCCCACTCCTCCCACCTCGATACACCTCCTCCACGTCCCGCCAGCTCGGTGTGGACGGCATACGACAGCTCCTGGTCAACGGAGGCCATGATGATCAAAAAAGACCTCCCGGGGAGGACTCTGGACTTCACATTTGACCTGTCTACCACACCAGTCATAGGGAGGCGCAGTACTCCAGAGCCCCAAGTGGACTCTGGTAAGGAGAACAAGCTCATTTCGCCAGTGGCCACAGTCGATATGTCTGTATGGAGAAAGCCGCATCTTTCTCAGGTTAGTTGCTGCTTTTTGTCTACTTGGTCCAAGGTATTGTTAAAATAGCACTTTTTGTGAAGTGAGTTTTTTAATCTTTGTAATAATTAACTAGTTATGAGGTTGTCATGTTATGCTGCTGGAAAATGTTTTAAGACGAATACTTAATTATAAATTGTGAGACACCCACTTTTGTTTCCAGGATCCTCTCGAGAGAGAGGATAGAAATGGAGCGCGGAAAAAAAGTTTTTGTGCAGTTACGCGCCTTGAAAACAGCTTTTGAGTGAGTGACTATTTTTTGTTGTTGTGTCTTAAATCATTGTAGCGGCGTACACGTGAACGACTCGTGAACGTGCTGACGACTTGTGGTCACACAGTAGGATTAAAGCAAAGCCCTTCAGTTGTATTCAGCTCGAGCAGTGATCTTGCTGTAGAGAAACAAGGCGCTGGTCAACAGCCGTCGTCTGAGGAGGCATCTTTAGCGGAAGGTCTGACTAATGAAACAGCCAAGGACGAACTGGAACCTCAACAAGTGAGTGATTAGTGATTGCATTGGTAAGAAATGATACAATCAGTTTAAGAGCCTAGATTGGACTTGGGCTTCTCGAACGGGAGTAGAGCGCGCTAACCATCAGACCATTACGTTTCCCTCTGGTTATATTGATGATCTGTTTTTTGTTTGTTGGTTTTTTTGAAGTTAAATATTTAATTTGTTACAAGTTGTTGGTGTGAATATTTGGTAATCGAAAAGAAACAATGGTGAAGTGGGGAAGTTCCCGAGGCAGGCTTTGCCTTCATTTACTGAAACGTTTGGGAGTAGAAACTAATTTTGATATAAAGACTTAGTATATACGTAGGTTCCCATCCTTACTAGTGGACGAGTATGCTGTTGCAAAGGTGCATGATTGAGGATTTGCCGTTAACATGGTTCCCATGTCCGTGTTTATTTTCAGATAAGCGTTCTGACGAATTTCGACTTCCTGTACGACGACGAGGCCGAAGACGTCATGTGGGGCCCTGATTACGAGGATCGTCGTTTGTCATATTGCAGCATGGACACAGGAAGTTTGGATCGAGACTTGAAGTCCAATTTACAGACGCTAGAGTGTCTATCGGGTAGTGAGCAGGATCTCACCCCTCACGACTCCTCTGATGATGAGGACGAGGTACTTTGTGGGGATGGGATAGGCACATTGTATGCTTTGAAACATTTACATTGCAGAGCTACTAGGAGAAAAATAGGCAACATTTTGGCTGTTTGTTTTTGCTTGTGTTGTGTTTTGTTTCCTTTCCTTTTTTCCTAAGAACTCAAGAAAGGACATGGTTTAAATTCTCAAATTTTAAGTGAACATTGCTTTTGTTTTACGACAGATGAGAAAATTAAAATTTTTCATGTTTCTGTAAAAATTACATCACCTCGGTTGGATAAGCGTCTGGTTGGATAACCCTATGTGATTACGAATTAGAAGGTGCTGCTTAAGGTGTATTGTATAAATTTTCTCTATAAGTTAATTTCATTTCTCGCTTATTTCAGTCTCAATTTTGGAGGTCTCTTACTTCTCAACAAGCCCGGAATAAGAGCGCCTGCTCGTCTGAAATACAAGATTTGCATTTAATCAGGATACCTACACACGAGTCTCAAATGATTCAGTTGTTAAAATAAAATAGTGTCAAGGTGCAATTTCCTATCCATTGGCTCATAATCGAACTTTTCTTTGTTTTTTTTTTCTTTCTAGTTGAGTCGCTCGATAGTCAGTAGTACGCTGACCGCAGTAACCGACAACTCGACAGTCATAGAAGGTTCGTCCGAGTCATCTTCTAATGTGACTGTCGTTGTCATAGACAGCGATTCCAAGACTCCTGAACCTGGAACACACAGCCGCAGTCCATCTGTAGAGAGGTAAATACAACGTGCTAATGTAGGAGCTGTACCGCTGTACTAAGATTGGTATTCATTATCTGCACACTTTCTCTTTACATTTCCTCTGGGACTGACATGGAGAATTTGTTTTTGAGAATTAGATGCTCACTAAATTGGTGATCATTTCCTTTACTCTCATGACGTTTACATTTGATTTAAGGGTGATACTGTGAGGAGAAATTAGAGTCCAGTCCCTCTTTGAGGTGTAAGGGTTAAAGAGCTTATGTATTGTTTGGCGTGGATGCCCGCAGTCAATAAGGATTACAGCCGATCAGTGATAATAGGGACCTTAAGCAGTCAGGACAGCAACGCCTTCAGTTAAAAAATGAATTTCTGACTTTAATTAGAATTTCAAAAAATGGCTGAATGCGTTCACCGTCTCATACGGCGCCGCACCTCAACTTCAGCATAACGTATAAAAGAAGCGTTGAGTTCCAAATGGAAATTAAAATAATTTGCCGTCGCGGTCTCTGTTTGCAGACGACGCAATTTGTGGTGATGTCACGTTGTTGTTTTGCATGGGACGGCTAAGAAATGCACAAAATTTTCAAACGCACGTGCTAAGCTATTGTTCTGTCAATTAAATCTATTGTTTTTCCATGTCCTCGTTGCCGTCGCCGTCGTGGTTTGCTTAAGGTCCCTAATACGGACCAATGACCGCATGAGCAAACAACAACTGATGGGCGGAATAAAATGAAAACGATTCATAGAGTTTATCTCTTGTAGAAGAAAGCTCCTTCAAAATGTTCCGTCTAATTTGAGTTCTTTGGTTCTAAAAAAGAATCATTATAAAATTGTATCCTGTGACATTTTTCTCTAGAAGAATTATGTTATTCCTGTTTCTCTGTAGTTCGGATTCGTTACCTGGCGCTTCAGAAACCAGCTATTCTTACAAACTGTTTGCTGTGACTGAGATCACGTGGGACTCGCGTGAAGAGCCTGAGAAGTTGTGGACATCGCACGTGGGCTCTATAGTAAAAGACAATCTAGGAGTGACCGCTGTCAACACTTTCTCCATGTTCTGCTGCTTGTACAAGAGCACCCGCAGAAAATTCTACAGTTTAACACGAGAGTGCTGCAATTATCTGGTGGAGGACAAGTTTCGAGATGTGACCCATCACTTTTCAAACTGTTTAGAGTTCCTAGAGTCGCGAGGAGACTGTCCCTTTGTTTTCATTGATACAGAGACCTTGAATCGAACAAAGTTACTGGAGAGGCATAAGTTCGCTGTGTTGGAACTGCATTCGCATTTTTCTAGCTACATGCAAAAGAGCGAACGCACGCTAGAGTGTCTTGATGATGTGAAACTGGCGGTGAAGCGTTCATCTGTGGGCTCGCATCATGAGGAGCCTGAAACTCGCCTGTCTCCAGACCCGGACAGTCAGGAAGCGAGGCAGGTGCAGCTGTGTCGCTACTTGTACAAGACTCATTTTCAGTTTTTACTCTTCTGTAGCACATACGCCCGGCTACTGGAATCGCTGGTACAGGCTGCGCGACAGGCTGAGGTAGGTTCTATAACCGACAACTGTTGATAAAAGTTTATAACTGATTATTAATAGAGGTGTTGAAATAAAGATATCAAACACACACATGATACTCGATTGCGTGGTCAAATACTCTACCAACTTGCACTAACAATATCGTAGAGTTCAGGAAATATGTTGCAAAAAGAGTTTTCTTCTTTCCGTTATTGTTGCTGTTTTTCCTTGTTCCCTTTTTCCGTTTTTTTTTTCCCTCTCTTCTTTTCATTTACCCTCTGTAAATGCTTTCTGTCTCCAGGTAAACGATCTAACTCAGGAGGTAACCGAAATTCGCCGAGAGGTATCCTCGGTTCTCGAACACCCTCTGACGGAAGACACCACATTCGTCAAGAACTACTTGAATACTGAACCCTTGACAAGAGACTCCGCTGTGCAGGTTCTTGTAGAAAAGCTTTGCAGCAGAGACCTTGATCGTTCCATCCATCTTCTGCGAGCGTTTAGGGAGAAGTTTGGAGGAGAAGTGTTTGGTATTTCGGACGAGGACAACTTGGACAGTCTGGTGTCATTCTATTGCAAACACGTGGCAGAGAAAAATGTGGGGTCCCTGGTCATGTCAGGTCCAATCCAGAACTTTGCAGCGTTGTGCAGAAATCTAATGGAAGTGAATGTTGCCATTCTTGCTGCCGTTGAGGATCTGAACATTTAATGACACGCGCAATTCAGATAATCCAATTAACTTTTAGAGAAATTTTAATTTAAAGGAGCTTTCTTTTTTTTTCCCTTGGGTAGGTTTTTTCGGGAATTATTGAAGTAACCAGTGCTCAAGATCAACAAGAAATCCCTCGGGTTTCCTGCGGTGATGTAACAAGCGGCAACCGTTAGGTTAAGGGACCCTTTTTCCCTCGATTTTTTTTTTCGATGAGCTTAAAGATTTATATTCTCGTTTAGTTTTTATTCCATACATATTAGAGAAGTTAATTTACGGTTTGGTTTCCTTTACGCTTTGTTATCTGATTAGGTTAAGTTTAAAGGAAATGATATACGATGGAAAAAGCTATGAAAAAACTGATAAAAAAACTGAAAAAAACTGGAAAAAAACTGAAAAAAAAAAGAAAAATTGCTAATGATATAGTTAAGTAGGGTGACTGGATATAGTTCAAGAGGCATTTTTTAAAATTAATTTCTTGAATTTAGCAAACATACAATCCTTATGTTTCTGGAGCAAAGGCTAGGTCACTCTGGAGGAAGTTTCAATGTACTCATTTTTTTTTTCTCTTTTTTTTTCCGATGACTATTTTGATATTTTGATTGTATATTAATAGGGCTCGGTCACTGAAGTTATTTGGGAAGGTCAGGTTTGAATTAAATTTTGTTTCCCAGTAGGTTTAGTTGTGTAGTTCGACGTTGAAACAGCTAATATCCATTAAAAGTTGCCAAAAACTTAGTAAGCAGTGAGTTTCTAAATCGATGTTGAATTTGTCCTTATCTTTATAAGGTTTGTCTAGAATTTTTATCGCGAGAATCTGGTTTTAAATTTATTGTGCACCACTTTCTAGAATTTGTTCTAATTTAGCCGTAGCGTTTCTTAAAGGTCAATATTTTAGCCTTAAATATGGCTGGAAAATACTCGCTTTTGATTAGTTCCAAGTAGAAAATATATTTAAATTATTTTAAATTAACATGGTCTTTATTTTATTAGAGCGAGTTTGAGATCTTTGAGGAAAATAAAGTGGAAGTATAATGATACAAAAGCTGTATAGAAAATTGTGTGTTTAATCGAAATAACCTTCATGAGAAGAAAGTGACTTTGTGAGGTTCGAATAGTCACTTTTTCGAAGAAAACACCGAATCAAGAGACCGTTTTCAAAGCTTGTAACAAAAGTGAACTGTTGTTAAATCCTTTTGACACTGCCAAACTAATTTTCGGACTTTTCTAAAATCTTGCACATTAATGGCAGTTAGCTTTTAAATCTAGCTCAATTTATGACTTGTACTATTCCAGATGTTACGTAATAAAGTACGTTCCCAAGGCTTCTCAATGGAGATTGAATTTGCTCAATTATTTCAGACAACGTTAAAAGCCCTTTACTGATGATTGATCAAAAGAGTAAAGACTTCGAAGCTGGAGTATCCAAAATAAAAATATATCTGAAGTTTCATGTAGTATCCAATTGGAGGATAAGTTTCACAGCAGTTTATTTTTCTGAGACCACAGAGAAAAGACGAATATAGCTAACAACAGCTGCCCGGATTGCCAAGCTGTTATTTTTGAAGCTGCGCCGGATTGTCTTTGGACATTTATTTTGCAAGGTGCAGCTGTATGCAGCTAAGTTTAAACAATCTAGGTCAACGAAAAAGAAAAATATTTTTTCAGGTTATCCAAATAATCTTGGAGCCGCAACCCAGTGACCCTTTGGCGAACATGCAGCACTTTTTGGCTATCGCTCATAAAAGGTATAGTCACTTATTTCCTGAACTGCATGAATGTTCAGTCGGGTGGACCTAATAGAACAGAACTGAAAGAAACCGTACATGGACACAAACAGAATCCTGTAATGCCATCTGTTTACAGAAGTTGTTAGTCCCGTGTTAGTGGTATCAAACAGGATGTAAATTTGGAAGTATTCAGACTTATTTATGAGTAAAAAGAAAATCATTATTTAGCCTCTCAAACAAAATGTCTTTCTTTGAGCACTGGCAATTCGCAGTCTGTACAGATGGTTCTCGTATTTTTTTTTTCTTTTCAATGCAGTTCGAAATATTCCGCTGTCTGAAATAGCTTGACGCTGGGCATGTTGGATCCTGTTGTCTGTCTTTTGCGTAAGAGTTACCTGAATGAACATAGTTTCAGGAGAATACCGCAGATGCGCGACGGAACATCTTAGTTGAGTTACTCAATGATACGGACAGTGTCAAGTGTCGCAGTGTCAAGTGTCACCAGTTTGTTTATCCATGTTGTCAGCATTGACTTGCCTTTGCTCATGCAATGTTAGAACATCTGAGAAACCTGCACTGCAAGACAAACGAGAGAAGGTGCAGCAAACAACAGTTTGTCGCGATGCTGCAGGTGAGTAAACTGTATAGTAAATATTACCTGGTGTCTTTCTCATCCCATTCCAATACTTCATATTTCAAGGTAACAGTATGAAGTGGCTGAGTGTTTTTGCGTTGTTTCTGGCGTTAGTTGCGGCTGAGAACCCCGAAGGTAGGCTTATCTGCATCTGCTGTGTTAAGCTCGCTTTTGACCAGGACAAATGTATCTTTATTCGTCTTCTTGCGGAATCACACCAAGCAGCCAAAAAGAATGAAAATCGAAGTTTCGGTTCCATCGCAACATTGCTGATTGTATAAAAGGAACAAAAGAACAGTATTTTTTTTTTCACATTTTTATATCCTTAAAATTTCAATATAGACCAAAAACCTTTGATCATTGCATAAACAGTCAGCAAAATATGAGCTCGTGTATCTCTTTTTTCTTTTTCTTTTTTTTTTTTTTTGCGGCTCGGCAATTTAACTATTTCCAACTATTTGTTTGTTAGATAAAAATGAAAAACACTGTCAAATTCAAACAATTTCATAGAGGGAATTAACAGGAGGAAATCGGAAAGTGGGACTCAGCTCAGGTTTTTTAATTACACCTCATTATCGACAGAAGTTTGAGTATCTTTCCTCAAAAGTTATCCCTCAAAAAAAATAACGGTCGAAGTTTCATGTGAACTGAAAAAAAGCAAAAGCAAGCAATTTTTTTTTTGGTTGTCCAGTTTTTTGGGTTTTTTTTTTTTTTAGAAAATTGCCAGCCTGCGGTACACATGTTACATCGGTATTTATCTCTCCACCGTAGAAAATGTTGGTGTTTACGATCCAGACCTTTTCGAGGGAGACATGATTCTCACAACCGAGCAGCGTATGGCAGCCGAGAAGGGACTGGATGTAGACAATCTTTCTGGTAGAGCTTCGATCAAAAGCAAACTGTGGCCCAATGGTGTCATGTATTATGAGATCGACTCCAGTCTCTGTAAGTATTTGGATCTCGATTTGTTTTTAAAATTTGAAAAATAAAAGAAAAAAAAAATCTATACACTAAAACAGTGGAGAGCGTCTAAGGTGCGTTCTGATTGGCTACTCAATCTCAAAATATCATTTTATTGCTGTTCACTCCCGAGCAACTCGTGCGGGATTTGCGCGCAAAATATTAAATAATCGTTGCAAGAATTATTGAGTAAATTTATCATTTTTATGCTATATTATCCTACTGTTAGTTTATGCCAAAATGACTGTTCACCTCGGTGTAGGTGATTAGTGGTGGATAGTTACCTCGCTGCTTTTTGCCACAGCTCGGTAAACATTCACCACTGACCTGTTTCACTTCAGTAAATAGTCGTCAAATATTGCCATTGCACAAGAAGCGAATCATACTTTGCGGCGAGGGAGTGGAGGGGGAGGGTAACATGCATTTACGTAGATGGAGCACCTAAGAACAATTCTTGTTCAGGGCACGATTTAAAGCTAAAAAAAGGTTGTTATATTTGGAGGCACGAAATGGCGTCTTCCTTTACTTTCCTGGGATCTAATTCATTAATCAAATGAATTTACCCTTGAATTAAATGGTAGCCTTGCGACAGAGACTGGTTTGGTATAGTTGAAAAGAAAAAAGCACCACTAGACACCTCCCCTTAGGAAAAACATACCGGCCCCACTTTTCGAATGTTCGCAGTTTTCATTTCTTCCAACGTGTCTCACTCCCCCTTTATTTTTTTTTATTTTTTTTTTCTCAAAGCGGGAAATTCTCAAGCCATGGCAGCTATCAGGGCAGGGATGCAGGAATGGACAAGCAAAACATGTATCCGGTTCAAGAGAGGAGCAGGATCATCTTATGCGTACTTCAAAAAGGGCGGCGGGTACGGAATTGTGTTGATCTATTATCCATTTTCGCTTAAGCTGTGACATATCAGACATGAGAAGATTCACAAACAAGGAAAAAATAGCCTTGTCATAGTTAAATTAGCGCAGCATAGGAGAAACAAAGTGGCTATCATACACAAACCGATTCACTGCAACGTCCTCACGTTGGTTTTGTCAGGGGACCGCGCACGGGATCGCCTTGTGATTTATTTATACTATATAAGGGTAGCTTTAGACTCGGCGTCGCAAGAAAACTAGTTGTGAAAGTTTTAGTTTGTACGAAATTTATGTACAAAGTTTACTTGAAACGCCTTAGTCTAATGAAGGTTTTGTGAATTGTTTCTTTGATCAATTTTTCAGATGCTCATCATACGTGGGAAAAAATGGTGGTCGTCAGGATATAACTCTGGCCAGCGGGTGCTGGACAAGAGGAATTGTTGCTCATGAGATTGGTTGGTGTAATAACGTTTTGATATCAAGCATAATGAAAGCAAAATGTTATTTATTATTTTGATCAAACTCAATACTCATTGTGCTATTTATCAACGGACTTTATGGTACGTGCGTTATGATTGGTCGCCAATCACTGTTTGACCCGCTAAATTCAAAAGGTTGTTTGAATTAAAATCTTCTACTCTGTTCAAATATAGAGAATTAATAAAAATCTTTCCAACCTCGTTTTCTCGATTCGCATTGTAAGCTACGGAAACCCGTTTTACCCTTCTCAGATTGACGGCCCACCTGATTCGCTGACGGCCCTTAGGCCATAATTCCGAACGATAAAAGCTCGGTCTGTAAATACAGTACGCGGACCTCGAACTCAGTTTGTAGAAGCTATTTAGAATGGCTGATCTATTAGAGAAATTAAGGATAATGTTTGTCCCCAACCATCATCACTCAACATTCTTTTTTATGAAACTCAGTCGGCTCGACATCATGTTACTGCGCACATTAACGTTTATCTCTCCTTATAAGCTATGCACCTAGTTCAGGGAATGAGATTCTAAATTAACAGTAATTCATTCTGAAGCGCAGCATCACCTAAGAGGGCTCTAAGAGTTCAAAGAATGCAGCTGGCTATGCAGCTAGCGAAAATTAGCACAGATTCTTAGGATTCGACCTTTTTCCTGTCTTGCAGGTCACGCTTTGGGATTTTTCCACGAACAATCTCGCCCTGACAGGGATAACTACGTCACAATAATGTGGGACAACATCATTGAAGGTTAGTAACACATAAATTAATTCAACATAACTTAAAAACCTCAATAATGATAACAATGATGATGAAGATGACGATGATGACATCATATCATTACAATGATAATAATGTTGAAGTGATAATAATTATGTGTCGATCAATTCAAGGCTTCAGTATCTCCCTCCACCCTCTCTTCCACCCCGCCTGCGCAAAATAAGGAGCCCAATACTGGCTAAATTCTTCGAATTAATCAATGTTTAATGATAATGATGATGATCGCACTAAAACAACTCAATGCTCTCTTCTTGCTTAACTTAATATTTCTTTTTATAGTTATTCATTTCTGTCAGTTGTTTTCTTATAATTCCATGCATGTCTTGTAGCGAACAAGTTTAATTTTCAAAAGTATGGCCGTGGAACCATCGATTCCTTGGGTACTGCCTATGACTATGGGAGCGTGATGCATTACCAGAGCACAGCCTTCACAAAGAACGGAAAACCTACAATCGTGTCCAAGAGGCCAGGGGTATGTATAGCAGTGATTTGCTAAAAGGCTTTTTTGAAATATCACTTACTTGAGCAAATAAGTGAAACAGGCATTCAGATATCACGATGTTTACATACAGACCTGAGAATTGTCCAGATCGCCAACGGTCTACGTTGCTCAGGGAGTGCGTGGGCATCTCTCCGGCTAATGGATCTGGCTATGGATTGACTCCCCGCAGAAAGTAATTTTTTTCTCTTTCACTCCACTGTGAGGAATGTCAAACTTCTTACTCAAACGCCAGTGTGTTCTTTGTACCGCAACTTCTGAGACGTAGCGTATTGTTATATTTTCAGATCACACTTGGTCAGCGTCGGGGATTGAGCTCGATAGACGCAAGGCAAATGGACCTCCTCTACAAGAAGGAGTGTCAAGGAGGCGGAGGTGGGGGAGGAGGAGGTGGAGGCGGAGGTGGGGGAGGAGGAGGTGGAGGGGGTGGAGGCGGTGGTGGAGGTGAATAACTTCTCTTGTCATCCATCAAAATATTTTTTTTCCAGCACGCTATTGGTCTAAACGCTCCACGTGATCTGATTTTTCCCATCTCATACCTTCAGAAATGTTGGCATACGCGCACAGGTTTTTAAAGCGTCAAGGGACGTGCTATGCCTTGGCTAAAATTAAGGAATATCGGTTGATATTATACCTGTAATTTGCCTTCTATTCAAACACCACTTCTAATACAAGGAAATTTTCGTTGTTAGATAGAAACAGTGCTTTTCTATTGTTGCGAAGTAAGAGCAGCAGCCAACTTGTTAATTTCGAATGTTTGTAATGAGAGTAGAATTCAATAGATAATATCGCCAACAGAACGTTTAGTCTGTACTCAGACTTTCTTAGGCGATATCGAACGAGCAATAAGGCGGCCTGTAGAAGTAGGGATTTTTTTAGCTCCCCTTCGGAGCGTGGTCACTCAGACTTTTCATCAAAACCCATGTTAGGATGGTATTGGACTTTTTATGATAGTGAAGTGTATGGGTGAGATTATCGGCCTAACATAGATTATTTTCATATGTTTATTATTATTATTTTTATTATTATTATTATTATTATTATTATTATTATTATTATTATTTCAGGAGGTGGTTGCAAAGACTCTTACCACGCGCCTTGTCAAAAATTTTATTGCCATTACCAACAGTGGGCAAAGAAGAACTGTCGAAAAACGTGTAACATGTGTTGATGAAGGTAAAGTTTTCATTATGATTAACTGTCTATCGGATTTGAATTCGAATTTCGTGTGCTGCACGAACTTATGAGATGCCATTGGCTGATGCGGGTGCGTTAATGAATTATATAAATTCTGATTGGTAGAGAGAATTCAGTCAGTACACAATAGCATGTGAAATTGACATGATAAGCCAATATCTGCTGCAGATATTGCATTTATCATGTCTAGTTCTACGTTTGGTTAGAGTAAAAATCCCTTGTATAATGTGCTTAACCGCTAGCTAACTCAGAGAGGAGCGTACGTTTTATTTTACGCATTGTTTCAAAAAGTGTACAATAAAACCATTATTGAATCCAGTTTTTGCATGATATCATGTTTTCTCAAAGTCAGTCCTCGATTCTGATCATTCATGATATCATGCTCAATGTCATCCAACAATTGCTTAATGTCAGCTGAATTGATCGAAATCTAAATTTTTATTATTGTTTGCTCTTGCAGGTCCGCTCAAGGGCATTACAGCTTTTACGTAGTCTGACACAACGGGAAATAAACATATGTGAAAAACTGAACCTGACTTTAAATTATAATTTGAATCATTTGATACTGCCTTTTAAGGTCTATTTGACACGCAGAGCTTCTGCACTAAAGAAGGCGAAATACCTCAAAGTAGCAGGTTATCTAACACCAGGCCTGATAACAGGGATCGAATCTTGCTCGGTCGATGACTATGCAAGCAAAGTAGATCTTATACAGGGCTATGAAGATACAAAAAGGAACTTGAGAGTAGCCATGCAATATTAAAAAATAATGGCTAGGTTTGAAATCTGAAAAAAACAAAAAGCCGTTTTGCATTTTTCTAAAAAGTGAAGGAAATTTTTAACGTTTTCCCCGTCGATTCCATTTGGATTCGATTTTTTTAATCATATTGTCAGTAACTCCCAATTTCGTTCTCAGTTCTCACTGTAAGTCATCAACTAGAAAAGCTTACGATTCCCTTAAGAAATGCCTCTCATCTTTTTTATAAACTTGAAAAGGCAACTTTATCTTTATCGTTAGGCTTAAATTTTGCCCTAATCGAGACAAAATAGGCGGCATCTCGAGAGGGTGACAACACTGCTATTTAAGCATTTTATGGTGTGATGATTAGATCCCTTATGTGCGCAAACTCAAGGTTGTAGTCCAGTATTTCTAGTACTAGCGCGTAGCGTTTTTAGATTAATTTTGCGTCGAGAGGACGCAAGAAATTTCAACCACTTTCAAGTGCAAAAAATTATATATTTATTTGTGTTTTCAGGGTAAAACGCTATTTACAAATGTATTTGGAATAGGTTAGAAGGGCCTTAAATGCATCTTTCATTCCCAATTGGATCAAAATAAGTTTATCCCATTGAAATGCCCTCTTTGCTACTCTTTCCTTGGCACGAACGATATACAAGCACATCCTATTAAGATCACAGCTAACTAATCCAAATGAAAAGAAATAAAAAGATAGAAAATCTTTGATGAAACCAAATCGGTTCAAAACGAGGTCTTTTGTGATTCCCCTCAGTGTTGATTCCCTTGCAGGTAAATGATATCGAGAGTATTTCTTCCATGCAGCCGCCTTCAAAATTTCTGCTTTTTTACTCGCATAGGAACTTCTCAATAAATTGGTTCAACAGAAGGATTGAAATTCGTGTTTGCTATCACCAAAATGGGTAAGTGTACAAGTTTGTTTGAGTTTTCATCACATGTGCAGAAAAATTGAACCACGGATGACGCTATTCTAAAATTAAGTTCTGCTTCTCTTTCAGCCTACTTCTCGGTTGAAGATCTCTTCAACCCCGAGAAACCTCATAAAAGGCATTTTCACTCAAATTAAGGTGTTTTTTTTTCCTTCAATAACAGATACAGCAGCTGCTTGTGAACCGCGTGTCATGGTTTTGATTGTGAAGCCAGATCACTGTATTGTTTTGTAAAATGATGTCGCCCACTTGAATTTTTTTTTTAAAATTTGAGCATCTTTTTTAAGTTGAGGTTTCTTATTAGAAAAGAAAAATATGGTATGAGGTAAATCTTTAAAATAACGTTTTGATGACGTTTTAAAAGTGGACTTCATCTTTTTGATTAGCGGATAAACATTACGTTTGCGGAAACGACAAACAGAAAAAAAATTGACTTGATTTTGCCAACTTACTCTATAATTCCTAATTGGAGGCTGTTAATAATTCAGTTGAATCCCTTGTTTCACAGCAGATGCAAATGTCTTCATTTTAAAATCCATTTTTTGATGTTTGAAGGGAACATCACCCTTCATTTCCAGTATAGGATCATTTGCAACAGCCCAAATTATTACACCAAAAACTGAGATCAATTAAATTTCGATTTTAAAACAAGTAAAATGATTCAAATACAGAGCAGGAGTAAGGGTAGAAAAAAAAAAAAAAAAAAAAAGAAAGGTACATTATCCACATTTTTAAATCAGTCTTTAGGTTCAAATTCCCTTGGAAAATTTTTGTTTGAAAAAATGATCTCATTTTTTAACATTGGTTATTTCTTGTAAAACGTATAATCAAGTAAAACTGACCGATCTCATGAGAAACTGTTTCCTTTATCCGGCATCTAAGACCAAGGTTGATGACTTGCTTGCCTCCACGTCTCTCAACAGATGACGAAAAGCAGTAAAGATTGGAATAAAACGAAAGAAACGACAACTAAGAGCTGAAGTCAAAGAAAACCTTTTATCAATCTTTAAACAGCAATTAAAAAGAAAAAGTTTTTCGGCTTTTAGAACTACAATTTACAATTTTCAGGTGCTTATGTTTTAAAACTACTGTAGTCTGTAACGATATTGTCATGGATGGATGAAAACGAAATTAAAAATAAGCTGACTAGCAATTGATTAATTGATCCAAGCCTTCACAATACTGCTTCTGCCAAAAATACATATGATAAAAGGAAAATTAAACAATTGAAAATAAGATCAAATCAAAGTTAATTTCTAATCATTTCAATTTCTAGACCTATTTTTGATGAAAAGGTAATAAATTGTCAAGGTGACCCGTGTGCTCCCTAGCCATCTTTTCGAAGCAAACAGCTTCACCTGGGAGTTTCTCTTTTAAGTTAACTCTTCTTACACTCGCGCTCCAGTGCTGTAGTTTCCAAAAGTAGACACCCCAATTTCTTACCATGAATCATGCGGCTAAAGGAGAGAAAATTCCTCTGTTAAACTTTTTTTTCCTCTCTTCTCCGACACTTGGTAGCCCATTTTGTATATTGAATATATTGAAACATTATTTTAGGATGTACAGCAATATAGAAAAAAGGTCATTTTATGTTGTGATAGCAAGGTAAACCAATGTAAAGTTCACATAACTTTTATCGCTTTTGCGTTGCCTTCTGAAGCTGATACAGTTTCTTTTAGACCAATCTGGCATTCCTGCACGTATCGCATTCTTGGCTTTGCTCTGTCGAGCTTGAGATATAAATAAATGTCGCAAAGGGTTAAGACATTTATTTTCTCTACCTCGGAGCGTAAGATTTCCTTAATAGGTCAGAACTTTATGAGTTCAAGGAAATATCATGTAATGAGCTAATATAGCACAAAAAAGATGATTTTTTTAAAACTCGTTTATTCCTGCAATGATTACTGTGCATTGCTTTCGGGCGCCATTCCCGTGAAAAGGATATTCGGACTGTAAGTAGCCAATCAGAGCGCGCCTTCATTAATCAGTACCATCATTTGCATTCGGCAAACAACAACAAATAACAAAAAAATGTATTTTACAAAGAAAAAATGAAACAACCCCACCCCACTTTAAGGAACTTCACTTGATCCTCAACAAAGCCCTGCTTACCTTCGGGGTTGTCTGCCAACGCTACTCCGCACAGAATAAGAACGTATAACCGGGTCATTATGCCTTCCTTAAAAAGTCCGGTGAAGGAGTCTAAACAAGTTGAAATTCATTGATCCCTTCACGCCCGCTGATCAGCCGATACTCCATATGTTTAACGCATTTTGAGTACCGTTTATTAGAATTTGGTTTAGCATGGGATCATTGAACAAGTTGAGCAATCGCAAATGCTACAGATGAAAAAAAAAATTTTAAAAAAAAAAGGGAAAGGCGTCAAGTTAGTTGGCAGGATCACCTGCTCAGCTGATACTCCATTTTTTTAACGCATTTTGAGTGCGGTTATTAGAGTTTGATTTAGAATGGGATCATTTAACCAAACAAAAACGTTGCTGACAAAAAATAAAGAGGCACCATGTCAGTGGTTTTCGCTTCAGAAACTCTTCTTATACTGGTACAGAATTTCTCAAAAAACTTAAGTTATAGGAAATGATGTTTGCCACTTTTAATGCCCATCAGCGAAAGAGTTGACGTGAAACTACCTTAGCAGTTAAAAATATTATTTTGGACAGAGTTCTCCCAAATTCCAACCCACTGCATTTTCGGCAATAAATTTCGTATGAAAAAAAGTTTGAGAGAAGGCTATTCAGCTGGGTATTTTGATTTATTAATGTTTATCAATCATAACTAAAGCAGGGGCGTATGATATCAATCAATAAGTGCGTGCGCATCTCCAGCCTAAAAAGAGCTTGGAGTCTTTAAAGGGGGCCTTTCTTCTTTTCATAATTGTTCATTGAGGTCAAGTAAGTCTATGCAGGGGCGTATGTTATCAACTGCGTTACCACGCCAATAAAAAGAAGTTGTTTTTCCATTGAATAAAAATTGCTCTTAACAGGTGAATCGACACAAATTCATATAAATTCTAGCTACTTTGGCGGAACTTCATTGGCTCGGCTGATGCCAGAGATGGGAATTATGAAGTTACTCTTCGTTCTCGTTTTTTGTGGAGTCGTTCTCTGCAAAGAGTCCAAAGGTAATGTTAAAATTATTAGTAACACATTTTAGATTAAATTTCTAAATAGAAAATTTCGCGGAATATTTACGATTTTTTCCTAACTTATGAAACTATACGTGTCAAGGTGATTTGCGTTCGTGAATTGTTCACTTCTTATCCCTAAATGTACTCACAGATAGAGACTCGAGAAATTAAATGTGGAAAAGGTGCTTTATTCAGTTTTTTTGCACCCCAAATAAGCCTTAGAAGCTCCTAGGCGACACTCCGTTAAAAATCGTTTTTGAAACAATTCGCTTAAAACAACAAGATTTGGACATGAGAATACGATTTATCATAGTTTAATTGCAATTAGGTTCTCAAGAACTCGTTGATTATAGGAAAGCTAGACTAAAGGTAACACTGAAATTTCGTTTTCAGCGAAGCTTCTTGAAGATCCGAAACTCTTCGAAGGAGACATTATCCGTACAAGAAACCAACGTAACTCTGCTTTGGGCAGAGCTGCATCTACAACCGGAAGATGGCCGGGTGCTACGATGGTATATGCCATTGATCGTTCTCTGTGTAAGTGCTTATATGTAACATTTATGGTTATTTGTGCCTTTTGACAGGGTGCATGATAGCAAAGTGAAATGTCTACAGCTGAGTTATAGAAACTAGTGAGAAGGCTTTTATTCTTATCTTTGCTCTCAGTTTTGCGCGTGGCGTGAATTGTTAAACTTTCAGGTTAAGATTAAATAGGAGCATTTATCTGTGATCACTCGTGAGTGTTTTTTTTGTTTGTTTTTTGTTTTTACTTCTTTTGAACTTTTTCGGGCCCTTAGCTATCAATGAAAACTAATCTTTTTACTTTAATCGGGGTTAAAGCTGTCCATGCTCGCGCAAGGAATGCCATACGGGCTGGAATGCGTCAATGGAGTAGTAGAACCTGCGTCCGCTTCAGGCTACGAAGAGGGAACGAAAGGGCTTTCGCGTACTTTATACGTGGTTCAGGGTAAGAACAATTATTTTAGTCTTTGCTAAGTGTAAGTGTTCAGAAATGCTTTGCTTGTGGTATCAAAATTATAATCTCTCTTATATTGTGGCTGTGGCTCACATTAACGAGATAGATAGTGTGCACTTAAAACCAACTCATTGATGACCAAAACGCACCTTATTAGTTTCCTCCTTACTGCCACCTCTTACTCGTCCAAATGCTCTTTACAAAGGTCGGAGGAGACTAGCAGTATATCTAAGAAAAGTCGGAGAATGGGAAAAGTCTTTCCTAATGCACGCTTTTTGCGCCGGTAGATGGGGGCAGACCTTTTAAGAACTTGAAGCTCTAAACGGGGGCCTCTTTGAAGTGTTTATTACATATACATTCTTCGGATGAGCTTTGCTGCTCTAAGAAAACAAATTGATCATTGTCAAGGTCTTTTGAGTGATTAGGTCTGGATAGCAGCAGATATGTCACGAGTTTAAGAAAATAACCGATACTTTTTATAAACATATTTCGACAGTTCTTCCGTCATCTTCAGTTATGATTCATGCAAAGTACAAAGTTGACTTTAAAGTGCGTAGTAAAATGTTGATTGGACAAAACAAACACTAGTAACAAAACAATGTATGCATTTACAAAAAAAGGTTTTCAATGAACATGATAAAGTTGATGATTAAGTGTAGGTTGCTCCCATTGAATTTGGATAGCTTCTTTGATTTAAAGTTGGAAAGTTGTGGAAGCGTGATGATTTCGACACTATAGGGAAAAGGAACCCTCAAATCTAGCCAGTGTGCTGCAAGAATTCACATGCACAGGAAGTAAATTTCAAGTTGCTATGGGTCTGCATAAGAGTGAGAGTCTTGATTCTGTTAATGCTGCTGTTGTTATTCGTTTTGAGATGTTCATCATATGTGGGAAGAATTGGCAGGCGTCAAGACATCAACCTAGCTTCTGGTTGCTGGACCACAGGAATAGTGGCTCATGAAATTGGTGGGTACTATGTGGCTCTAGGAGGAAACAATCATGTTCCAAGGACTCATTTGCGAAATAAACTTGCACCAAAATGACATTTAAGGACTTAAGCATAGCTAAGACTAATTTTTTAGCAAAAATAAATTTTAAAAAGCAGTGGTCACCGTTTTGTTTTGAAGCAGTCCATTACTTAATTTGTTCAAATTGCTTCATTGCTTTTATTACTGTGGCTATGAACCATTGTGCTCAGGTTGTCTGTTGAAATTGTGCTTTCCCTTTTTTTAAAGGAGAGAATTAGCAAACAATATTTATAATCTATCGCAAAGAAAAAAAACAAAGAGAACGACAAAAAGGAAGGGATGGGAAGAAGCAAAAACTCGTTATATTCGTTAGCTCGCTCAGTCATTAAGATTCTTCATGGACATGATTCATGGGAGAACATGTCTATAACAGAACTTTTTTAAAGCTTTTTTGGGGATTGTTCTTGTATTTACGAGGAAGTAAAACACAAGATTAAGATTATGCGCTGACCTAATGGTGTACTCATAGCTAAACACAAGTGGTAGCCTGTGAACAATAAGTAATTTCTATAAGTGAAACTCTAACTAACCCTTCCACCCTCAGGGCACGCTTTGGGTTTTTGGCACGAGCAATCTCGCCCTGACAGGGATAGATACGTCCGAATACTGTGGCAGAACATCCAACCTGGTAAGTGGGCATACTCCTGAATTAAAAGTTGGGGAAATTAGCCTAAAGTACTCTGCTGTCGATAGAACGCAGATTTACATAAGGCCAGGGTTTTTTAGGGTTTCTATTAAGAATTACGGCGACTCGATCGACAGAAATTTTCAGCAGTATAACGAAAGTTCTTTACACGACCTTTAGTTTGAAACATTAGTCTGAGTGAATCTTTATCCCCGAAGGGTGACAATCTTTAAGATAGGCCGAATAAAACACTGGCACGTTGAGGTTTCTTTTTGGCATTTTGGAATAAAGATAAAGTAATTCGTAACCTTGTCAGGAAGTTACCATAACAATGAATTATTTATAACTGTATGAATCAATTTAAAAATAAAAAAAAGTTCTAAACAAAAGGTAAGCGTATACTTTACTGTCAAATAGAAAGCACAAACTATAATAGGCCTTACTAAGTTAAGGTCTTCAAAGTATTTCGACGCGTGTTTTGAGGAAAATAAAATTTAAAATAGTTTTAAACATACCTTTTCCTCTACAACCAATTCCTTATAGGAAGGGCGCATAACTTCAATAAGAGAAGTAACTCTGAAGTCAACTCTCTTGGGGTTCCTTACGACTACGGAAGCGTGATGCATTATGGTCCTACGGCTTTCTCCAAGAACAGACAGCCAACGATTGTACCCAGACGAAGAGGGGTTCGTTATCATAGTTACATTCTTACACTCAACGTATGAAAATTTAGATGTACATTGAAGAATGGAAACCTTTCTGATAAAAATAATAAAGCTCAGAGGGAATGAGATTCATTGCAAAGCTAGTTTACTTAAATTGCGCAGAAACTGAAAGTATTTTTGAATAACTCATCTTGGCTTTTTGTGGTCACATATTAGGTGAGAATTGGCCAACGAAATGGTATCAGTACTTTGGACAGACGTCAGATTATCCGCATGTACTGCAGAGGGGGCTGAAGGTGAGAGAGCAACTATGTCCTTCATGTAAAATTTCAAAGGCAGAGAGTAGAAAATAAAAGGCGGGAGCTGAAATGACTTTAGAAATCGCAGATCAATTCTATTTATATTATTTTAGCGATGTAGGATCTGACCCTTCGTGATAGATTTTGATATTTGATTTTACTTTTTGCAGGGTCTCGGAACTTTTAATAAACCAGTGGATTGCTGTAGTGAGCAGAATAGAAGCGAATAAAACAGTTAGAAACGAAAATTTGTGACTGATGTTTTTCTTTTTCGAAAACCCTGTTACGTTGTAATTTAACCAAAAGAAAGAACACTATAATCCTACAAACCTAAATACTTCAATTAAACTACGTGTTCTATTCTCTTTAAGAAGTGACTCCTAATGGCAGAACAACAATCATCCTTAATACACTTATCTAAGCCCACTACAGTCCATCACTTACTTGAGCCCACTACAGTCTATAACTTAGCTCACCACTAACGCAAACTCATAGTTGCCTCCAAATCTCCTCGAAATGAATCATATTCCACTGTAGCTCTCTCTCGGTAAAGCTTTCCAGACAATCAGACCCTTCTGACAACAACAAAAGTACCACTACACGACTGAGTCCTTGTATACATTTACAAAGTATTCTAGAATATTCCGAAAGTTTACAACGCAGATATTTTGGTAGCATTACATCATGACTATACATGCTAGTAAAATTTTCTGAAAACATCCATAGTGTGAATATAAAACGTTCGTGTATGTATGTCAGCATGATTAGGCATTCTAGAAATTTCTAGAAAATTATTTTTACGTTTGGCATACAAACAACCCCGACAGCCGGTAAAACTCAATAAACTCTAAAATCAAAGCACTTCCTCTTTGAACACGTATTACCATTCAGGGTCTAGTTGTGGTGCTCAGAGGGTGGGTAACACTATCCAAAGGATGGATCACTATCCAGCAAATAAGTGTAAAGAAATAGATAATAATACTTCATTAATGAATGAAAATAAATAAGACTTCATCAATGAATGAAAATAAATGAATCGACAATCCCCAAAAAAACAATCGTAGAATTCGTCGATGCTAACCCTTAAGATGGAAAAGTGCGTTGAATCATGATTACAAAAACAACAATGGTTGTAATTTTCTTCTTACCGATAGCCGGAAGAAGTCTTTCAGGTAAACGGCCAAAATCGGCCAGTGACAAATCTTCCAGTTGTCGATTTTAATTCTAAGCCGCGAGAAATGCCAACACCAAAGCCACTGAATGCGTAACTTTCGGTTTTTCTTTTAGTATGTTGGTTTTTTTTCCCCTTCTAAGAAATTTTGAACCTCACAGTTCGTCCAGTCTGTCAGCGATACGGGTATTTTAGTGTTTTAGCCGCCACAATCCGAGAAAGGTCCGACAAACGACCGTGTATTGAGAATCGTGAAGACTTTGCCATTCATTCATCAACCTGACCGAGTGGCGCCAAAGGCGAGTGACGTATCAGCAGCGTTGTTACGGCTTTTCTCAGGACCGGAAATCCCTGTACAACACCGCAGTTTATGTGATGAAACGTATTCCGCTATCCACCAGATAGAGACTCATCCGGTGGATAGCGTTATCCACCCTTCCAACAACCGGGGCCAGGAAGTTAAAAACTCGTGTACAATTCATAAGGTGCATTTCATCACTACTGTTGCTTAACTGACTTTAAACCGTGAGGATAGCACGTGAATAAAGTTTGACTATAACTGATTGATATTCGTCAGAAATCGATATATACCTGTGTGCAGAAAGGTTGTCGGACAAAGGGCAAAAGTGCACACAATATCCCCGAACGACATTGTGGGTAGTTTTCAGGTCACGGTTCCTTGACCTCAGGATTTCAGGAAAATCTGAGAAGACATCACTTTAAAGAAAGAGGCACGGCGGGTTTGATGAATCTACTTTGTTCACAAGACAAACAGTTAATTCTAGCCTAAGTCTTAATCAGGCATATCTGAAAAACATCGTATAACTCAGTGAGATTGGAATTCAACAGATATCTACTTTAAACTGTACTATTGTCTAAATGAATATGGTTATAAATTACAATTAAAATCCATCTTATGTTTTTTGCTATAAAATCACCTCTTAACTGTGCGTACCATCTCGTAGAAAAATATATAGGAAATAATTACATGTTATCCACCTGTGCCCAAGGTCTTGGATGTAGCCCTGGATTTACATAAAAGTGGCATGTTATAATGTGCTACTTATAAAGTAACATATTGTGAGATTAGCTTTGCTCGATTTTTACCAAATTAAGCTGAAAATCATGCTAGATTTTTATATTACCTTCTCATTAAGTATGCTTCTCAAAAAATAAGCATAACTAAAGTCCAAATTCATATATGTATATATATATATATAGAAGCTTACCTGTGTTCATCAGATATCAATCAAGTTCAATGTCTATTAATATTATAATAAAGGAAGCCATGCCAACAAACTACTTAGTGTCATGTAAATAAAGTCAATATTCAGCTATCATCAGAGTCACTTTCCAGTTCTAAAGGCCTCAGACGTTTCCATCTCGCCGCTTCGGGACTTGACGGATCTGTGGTAAACGTCGGAGACTGATTTACTGTGTTGGTATGAATGGAAAAATTACCACCTTGAATAACAGATTGATTGTGCTGGCAGAATAGCCCTTTTTCTTCAAATGTCGTTGGAAGCTGGCTATTAAACTTCGAAGCGAAGTCGGCTCGTACTCGTTGCCATCTTTAGTGCGTACGGAGATAATAAGTTCGCTAATGAATTCATTCAACTCAGCCGCTGAAATATCTTCAATTTTCCTGTCTTCGTCCTTCGTTTTCAAAAATCTTTCGAGCAATCTTACATCTCTTTCAGTTTTTTGAGCGGTATTTTTGTTTTCGTGTTCTAAAATGAATTCTTCAACTGAGTAAACAGAAGCGAACCTTCCCTCGGCCATTTTTCAAAGCGCGCGGGTTTTGTGCAACGGCTCTCGCATGACGTTCTCTTCAGTACGTTCATTCATCATTAGTGAAATTTCGTCGTTCTCGTTGCTGATTGGACGAACGATAATTTTTCACGGTGAAATTTTGTCGTTCGTACTCCTTATTGGCTACATTTAGAATCAGTACGAATTTTATTCACTACGATTTTTGTGGGTAAATCTCAGTACCTATGAAATAAATATATATATATATATATATATATATATTATGAGAGGAAAAAACGACGCAAGGGAAATGTAGTTGCGTCGTTTTTTCCTCTCATAATATTTATTCTGCTCTGCTTCAACGTATTGAGCACTGTTCCACGCGAAAATCGACTTGCAGACTTCCTATATATATATATATATATATATATATATATATATATATATATAAACATACATATAAGTTCTGTCTGACGAGCGCTTAGGCGCAAAACTCAGAGTAACAGAGAATCGATGCGTCCTCTTTGACTCTTTCATTTATATACACACACACACACACACACACACATATATATATATTGTTGATAATAAATGATATTTTCTTTATTTTGAGTGACATACTTGTTCTTATGAAACACAATTAACCACTGGACCTAATTCCACACTAGAAGTGATGACTAACTGTGTCAAAATGGTCGATGTTGGCATCACGTTCCTCTTCGACGCCATTTTGTTGCTTGTGGAGGCCAGAACTGGCACCGACCCAATATTTATTTCTGGTTGCCAAGTCCTCTTGACGACGAACGACTCAAAATTACTGTAGCCTTCTTCTCCCAAGACATTTCAAAGTTGAAGATAGAATGAACTATGGACCGAACTTGAAAATAATCAATCTTAAAGACCAAGCAAGTCATGACTTCGGTGGTGTTCGCTTCAAAAAACTGAAAATATGCTGATTAATTCAAACTCAAAAGAAAAGCTTCACCGAAATATACTTGTTTGCGTCGAGGCACGGTTTTTTTTTGTCAGCGTTTGTAACTGTCTGACTTCTTTCAATAAGAGAGCACATTATGATACATACCCCAAGTGCCACGGTCTAACCTGTCTTAAGCGTCACCCACTGATAACGGAGGGTGACCACGAAATAGAGGTAATATAGAGAGCACTAAAAATATTACGTTAGCCCATCATTGACCTCTTAATGTACAAAAACTTGTTAAAAAAACTACTAACATCGATTTCAGGCGATCACTGCAACATGGATTAAAATTTTTACTTGAAAGATTATTTTCTTAATTATTATTTCCGTGGTTCCGCTTTAAGTGACCGCTTAATACAGTACCGCTTGATACAGGTCCGATTGTATATCTATACATGCCAACCTGTATTGAGGAAGCCTACAGAGCGAACGGAGTTCCTGATTGGTGCAGTTTAGCTCCAGCTGTCAATCACAAGCCAAATGTGTCATTTGGACAGTTTCTTCTTGCAGGAAAATGCGAAAGATGGCTTTGTACATGGTGAAGTTGTTAGTTTCGATTCCGCTATCGAGAAAATACTTCAAATCTTTCGGGATTTAATATGTCTCGCGTGTTAAAATCGCAACAAAAAGAAGCAATTTCTACACTGTTTTCTAGAAAGGATCTATTTGCCGTGTTGCCAACTGGTTTTAGAAAAAGCCTGATATTTTGGGTGTTAGTTTGTAAGAAAGTAATTATGACGGGGAAGCTTCGAGCGTAGTTGTCGTTCCTCCGATTCATCGCATTGGTTATGATCAAATGGAGTACGCATCTTCGATCGGATTAACGTTAGCTACGCCACATAGCCACACCGTTTCACCA